AGGTGAGGTGAGGTGAAATGGGGTTTAATGTGCACTTACATAGCGACGTGTATTTTTGGCTGCTTGTACTAGTATGGACTAATGCCGGTTTTAAGTGCCAGCCCACTGAGATACCATGCCAGACCATATCATAACATGAATACCCCACTCAGACACAGTATACTAACTCCGAGCCAACCAGGCCTTGTCAAGCCCCTTAATGCCGAGAGCCAGGCAGGGTAACAACAAGTGCCATCTTTTAACGTCTTTTTGGTATGACGCGGCCGGGGATCGAAGTCCGAACCTTTCGGTCTCCGGGTGGACGCTCTACCAGTAGACCACGGAGGCTGCCAGTATTGCAATATGTGTAAACACAGACTTATTGTACGGGTGGCCCAGTGGCCAATGGCGTTGCGTTTTCCAGGGACGCCAAAAAATTTTGATCGTTGGTTCGAATCCCCTGTTTGCCCCGATTTTGTCCCTAGGTTTCTCAGCACCATACCAAAGCGGCTACCTGCATCACGTCGAACTTTCCTCCTACAATTAGCCGTGATGTAATTGGATAATGTTCAAAGCGGCGTTAAAACAAACGCAGTCACTCACATTCTTGCAACATTCCGTGTTCATGCCACCGTTACAATACATTACAGACGGATATAATAATACAGCTGATATAGTGATCTACTGATAGGGTTCAGATCAGTATTCACACAACACTACTGAAGCCCTGCTATAGATGAAGTATGATTAGCTGTAGGCTAACATTCTTTGGGGACGACTCAGTCGAAAATACTGCATCTGCGATCAATGTGTTTCCTTATACAGCGTAACAGTTTCAATAGACAAAGTACATGTTTCCCGACACAAATCGATGTAGCTTAGATGTCGAACTGGGAGCATTCTAAGGCAATCAGTAAACTATATTTACACTCAAGTTATTAAAGTTGGGTGTTTATTGACAATTCTGGTAATCAATGCATCATTTCTTTGCTCGTCCTTTTCATGGTTTATACAACCTACGTATATATTGTCTCTTGTCATGCCCTGGTGTATACATCTGTCCTATCTCCTGGTGGTGCTATTCTGCCTTTAACCAATGCATGAGTATCTGTCAGTGAGCGACCGCCTCCGTGGTCTAATGGTAGAGCGTCAGCCCGGAAAGCGGAAGGTCCTGGGTTCGATCCCCAGCCGCGTCATACCAAAAGACGTTAAAAGATGGTACTTGTTGTTACCCTGTCTGGAGCTCGGCATTAAGGGGCTAAAACAAGGCTCGGAGTCAGTATACTGTGTCTGAGTGGGGTATTCATGTTAAACTGCGGCATGGTATCTCAGTGTGCTAGCACTATAAACTTGCATCAGTCCGGATTAGTACAAGCAGCCACGCACACACACACACACACACACACACACACACACACACACGTGCATGCACGTCGCTATATAAGTGCAATAATCTTGGACGCGACGTTAAACCCCATTTCACCTTACCTCACCTGTCAGTGAGCGAATTGTTTAACGCCGCAGCAATATAATACGAAACGGACAAAACAAAATATACACCGGTGTTTGATGGTGGCCAAACATGCAACAAACATGAGATGATTATTCGATGATGAGCTATTTGATACGGGTATCAACGTTGGTTTTGGACCTTAAGAGTGCAGTGTTTTGGTGACAATACAATAGTCAAGTGTCTACTTGTTCATTTCAATCCATCCTGAAAAATAATCGCATCTGGACCAGTAACGTTAGTAAGTGGTATTATGAGTTACGAGCAAGAAGTGACAACCCGATCCGACGTTGTTTCCTAGGACAGGTATGGCTGAGGGTCTGTTCTACCCGGAATCCTACGGTGTGGATATGCATAAGGCTCCCGAGCGATCAAGCGGTCGTAAATGTAGTACTGGTCCCACAGCAAAAGTGAGTGAGTGAGTGAGTTGGGTTTAACGCCGCTTTTAACAGTATTCCAGTTATATCACGGCGTGTCAGCTTTATGTGGGAGGAAAGCCCGGAGTGATGGAGGTCTCAGACGTTTGCCACTTCGGTGAAACCAACGAGCACGGGTATGGTGCGGACAAACCTAGAAACATAATCGGGGCAAACCGGGATTCGAACCCACAATCATAGGTTTCTGGCGTGCCCAAGGGACTGCAAAGCGAATCCAGTCGTCTAGGCCAACCCCCCCCCCCCCTAGTGGTTAAAGCGTTTGTTCGACTCGCGTTCGATTCCGAACGGTGAGCCCGACAGTGATGTTGTGGAATACTTATAAATGCTGCGTAAAACCATACTAACTGACGCACGCACGCACTGATGTTATAGTATTTCATCACTAAATATAGATTACCATGTCATTTATTAATTCATCTTAATTCTATTGCATACTTCTAAGAGAACATGACGACCACAGGTGCATAACACAAAGACACAACGACACCCCGACACAATGAACTATGTAAATATAACACAATAACCGTTCCACTAAACAGTTTATTGTATAGAAGGCACTTATGCAAGACGCATAATTTATTCAACAGTGTTGTATCTCTTAACATTACTACACAATGAAATACACCAATCTCATGTCAGCAACCATTTTATGCGACTTGTTTTATACAATAAGAAAGTGATAAGACACCTGCAAAGTGGGAACACCAGCTAATGCATGTGCATATTTATAGATATATGTGCATGGTGCAGTCACAGGATATAATGCTGTGACACCAGGTCATATTAACCTGGGGTCCGTCCACAAAGCTATCGTAGCGCTGAGGAGATTCCAACATAGACTTACGACGGTCGCCATGATCGCTTTGTGGAACGGAGCCCTGCACCTCAACGCTACTCCCACCATTAGAGCACTTTTGTGGGGACAGGCTGGCGGGAACAAAACTGTGGTAATACTGTGTCACTTGTAGAGGTTACATGGTCATAATAACACATGCAATCATGTGTCCTAGCTCTTTACGGAGCATCTGTCTGATCTCTAGTTTTTTTAAGTATTGACGCAACGTTGTTGAATCCCAGTACCAGTATCAGATATGTGGTTGCACCTCTAGATATGTTGTAGTTGTGTCACTAGATATGTGGTAGCTGTACCTCTAGATATGTGGTAGTTGTATCACTAGATATGTGGTAGTTGTATCTCTAGATATGTGGTAGTTGTATCACTAGATATGTGGTAGTTGTATCACTAGATATGTGGTAGTTGTATCACTAGATATGTGGTAGTTTTACCTCAAGATATGTGGTAGTTGTATCACTAGATATGTGGTAGTTGTACCGCTGGAAAGTGTTGGTTGTACCTCTAGATATGTCGTACTTTCACCTTCGGATATGTGGTAGTTGTACCTCTAGATATATGGTAGTTGTATCACTAGATATGTGGTAGTTGTACCTCTAGATATTTGGAAGTGGTACCTCTAGATATTTGGTAGTTGTATCACTAGATATGTGGTAGTGGTATCACTAGATATATGGTAATTGTATCACTAGATATGTGGTAGTTGTACCTCAAGATATGTCGTAGTTGTACCTGTAAGATATATGGTAGTTGTATCGCTAGATATGTGGTTCTTGTACTTTAAGATATGTGGTAGTTGTATAACTAGATATGTGGTAGTTGTACCGCTAGAAAGTGTTGGTTGTACCTATAGATATGCCGTAGTTTCACCTCCGGATATTTGGTAGTTGTACCTCTAGATATGTTGTACTTGTATCACTAGATATGTGGTAGTTGTACCTCTAGACATTGGTGGTTGTGCCTCTAGTTATGTGGTAGATGTATCACTAGATATGTGGTAGTTGTACCTGTAGATATGTGGTAGTTGTGCCTCAGGATATGTGGAAGTTGTATCACTAGACATTGGTGGTTGTACCTCTATATATGTGGTAGTTGTATCACTAGATATGTGGAAGTTGTACCTCAGGATATGTGGTAGTAGTACCTTTCGATATGTGGTAGTTGTATCACTAGATATGTGATAGTTGTACCTCTAGATATGTGTTAGTTGTACGACTAGATATGTGTTAGTTGTACCTCTAGATATGTGGTAACTGTAGGGGGTAGTTGTACCTCATGATATGTGGTAGTTTTCTCACTAGATATGTGATAGCTGTACCTCTGGATATGAGATGGTATGAGTGGTATCACTGGCTACCAGTAAGTAACCACTAGATCCACACAAGCTGTCCTTACACCACGCGATACACCGTTGTTATGTCACAAACAGCTCCACCACGTATCTATGCATGAACCGGTTTCGCAACATGACTATGGACGTTTTAGATTTCAACAAATCAACCGAAAGACATTAAGCCCGCATGTCTCCCGTGATGGTTGTGCTGTCAATGGAATTCATACAATGACTACCAGTGGAAACGATTTGCTTGACAATAATAACAGCATGTTATGCATGAATGCGTTCGGTCGGACTGTTCTGAACAGTGTTGGTATCTTGATCAAGCTGTGATCATGTGCAGATATAGATCAAGCAGATGTATTCACGTGAAGCGAATAAAGGACTCGACACGAGTCAATATTTCATAGAACTACCCCTGCTGTAAAGGATATAGGTATAAACAGATTATATGCAGATAATTAACAATTACCTCGACCTGTGTAAGAATATACCACTTTGTCCTTGTGCAAAAATATGTTTTGGCTGAAGAAGAGGATTATCTCCGCGACGATGTATAGTACATCTTCTCACGATGAACACGGGGTGTCCAAAAAGGCAGTGTTTTAGTCCTGGGGTGTCAAAACAAAGAACTAAAGTTAATTACTTCCGGGTGTCTGAGGTGAGGTCAAACATCGCATCCAAGATTATTGCACTTATATAGCGACGTGCATGCACGTGTGTGTGTGTGCTACTTATACTAGCCTGGACTGATGACGATTAATAGTGCTAGCTCACTGAGATACCATGCCGTAGTTTAACATGAATACCCCACTCAGACACAGCATACTGACTCCAAGCCGACCAGTCCTTGTTTTAGCCCCTTAATGCCGAGCGCCAGACAGGGTAACAAAAGGTACCATCTTTTAACTTCTTTTGGTATGACGCGGCCGGGGATCGAACCCAGGACCTTACGCTCTCTGGGCGGACGCTCTACCACTAGACCACGGAGGCGGTCTTCCGGGTGTCTGATTTACATGAAGAGGATTACGTCTGTTGAGAGGATAACACTGCGGATGAGGTATATTACACCTATTTAAAGCCATGGATGAACACGGGGTGTCCATAAATGCAGTCTTCTTGTCCTTAGGTGTCATTGTGAAAATGAACTGACGTTTCTTCGAGGTGTCTGAAGCACATGCTTTTCATATATGGCGGCGTAACTGTTCACCTTGCAATGGAATAGTTCAGTCCTTACTCAAATCTAACAGTAACGCAATATACAGATATTTATATATCACAGTAACGAAATAACGTTATACACTCACCGCCAAAAGAATACCATACATGTTGGTAAACATATGAAGAAGTACTCATATTTAAGAAATATTAGATTGGTCCCATGCACAAACGAACATTCATGTTGCGTGAAACGACGCTTATGAACGCATCACATGTGACGTCATAGATCCATGACACGAGACGCATTTGTCTCGTGCAGGACTAGCGTGTAAAGTTTGGAAATAACGTGCAGCATATCGTGATAAGAATAAAGACACTGTGGTAATACTTGACTGAATGTTAGTTTTGTCATTAATTGGCACACATTGGAAACATTTCTTCTTAACGTACATACCTCTCAATATGTTTTTAGGGTTCGTGTTTTCTTTTGGCGGTGAGTATATACACCATCATAGTAATATTCACACGTAACTAGGGTGTGTGGTCTGTTCATCATGGTCACACATGCGCCCTTGTATAATTATAATGGCGTCAGGGTCAAGTATTATGCCATGGACTTCAGACGTCACACAAACATGCCCTTGTCGTCGTTCATGTTATTCGGTGAGAGTCACGGCGTAGTAGCCGATGATGTTCCTCAGTTGAGTAGACTCCAGGCCGATGCTGAAATCACGCATCTGCTTCCTCCGAGGGTAGGGATGAGGCTTCATGTGGAGCACCGATTTCCACGTAGACCCCGAGGGGATATCTCTGTAAGGCAATAAGGGATACTTACAGTGTTCTGGTGGAGATGGATTTTATCAGAAGACAAAGTTACGACACCATATTCTGGTCAACGATGACAATACTGTCACCCTACGAAATATCGAGTTTGTATTTATCGTTACTATATATCATGTATATCGCTAATATAACTACCTGTTTAATGTTTCCTGGAGTTCATGATATAAGGTATATGTTACGCGGTATAAAGAGGACATGGCACTTACGGTATAGCGAAGATGTCCTGGGTAGTATGCTCACAACTTAGACTGCCTTCAATATCAACCTGGCAGTTTGTGAGAGTCACCGGAAGTGGATTGGTGAAGGTCACAGTTACATCTAGGTCATCATCCACGTGACAGGAAGTGGGACCCTGAGATGCGAGGAGTCGAGATGAGAAGATATATGTATGAAATAAATCTGTTTCGATGTCTTAAGAGCGAAATGTCATCCACAAAGTAGTCAACCCGCGAAGATCCGGGTTAGAATAGGTTTACAGCAACCCATGCTTGTCGTAAGAGGCGACTAACGGGATCGGCTGGTCAGGCTCGCTGACTTGGTTGATGCATGTCATCGTATCCCAATTGCGTGGATCGATGCTCCTAATGTCAATGACTGGATTGTCTGGTTCTGACCCGATTATATACAGACAGCCGTCATATAGCTGCAATGATTTCTGTTTGCGACTTTAAACAAATAAACACACACATAAAGTCGTCCCAGTTTGTTACTGAAACGAAAATACGATGCACCCAAAATCTCGCTATTTAAACTTAAAATATCCACGAGTTAAAGGTAATTTACATTCGTAATTAATTAATGGGGAAAGCAACGAACCAGGAGCCGAATATTGGGCTGTCGCAGAAGGAACGACGTCTGTTCTGAGACAGGGTTTTCGTCGTCGTCGATCTCAGCCACAGCCTTGATGTGGAAGTGGAGGTCGTCCTTTTCACGTATCCAAGATACAGTGGAGTCCATTTTCATGATGAATGTCTCACCTAGGCAGAGTGCAGGCACATGTAGCCTTCTAAGAGCAATACATATCAAACGGCAGGTGGTAGTGCATTCGGTATTTTGAATCGAATATAAGCCACCATTAAGCATTGATAACGACTTTGCGTGTGTACCCAACGGAATCTGTTTCTGCGAAGGTCGAGGCCTATTTTTCTCTGGCTTTGACGTGTAACACTGTATAATAATGACTCGAGTGTGTGTTTTATGATAGTTTGGTATGATCAAAATCACGTCTATGTTTGACACTGTATAAACTGTAACACATATGGATACTTTCAAATGTTACAGAAGAAACTATCGAGGACTCACTTTGGCCGGGTGTGACCTGAAAAGATTCAAACTCTTTTCCTTGAGCCTGTCCAGTGATGGCACCAAAGTAGGTCTTGTACAAGACTTTCAGCACCAATCTTTTGACAGAACGCATATGACTTCCGGTATTCTTAACGTGTACCGAAAATTGAAAATCGCGGCCAACAAAGACGTCCCCGATATCTTCGATTTCAATTTTGATGTCCTGAAAAATATATAATAAAAAATAACAGAGGTATTCTACAGATACTGGCACATATTCTAAAATATTCTAATTTTTATTTTAAGAGGAGTATTCTATTAATGCCAAATCACAGGCATGGCCGATATGACACAAGCATAAACATTCGAACATGATGTTACTACATGCAAATACCATATTAACAAAGATATACCACCGGAATTATGCACAACATACATATTTGCTGCTGTCACAATGACTCCATCACAGCTGGCAACCCGAGCTTCGACATTCCCCTCGTCCAATCTACTTACACTTATTTGTAGACAAGTAAAATATCCGAAAATGAACCTTACATCTGTTCCCTTGGTGATGTAGTCGGTATTGTAGATGTCGCTGTTGTTGACACCGCTGAGTCTCTGGAAGGCCCTTTCCATCTTCTGAAGAACAACCTCCTCCTTTTTCGACCCTTTTAAAACAGACGTAGTGTTAATAACATCAGTAACTACAGTAGTAGTAGTAGTAGTAGTAGTAGTACCAGAAGTAGTAGTAGTAGTAGTAATAGTAGTTACAGATTAACAGATAAAATGCAGCAAAGACGGTTTTGGTAATCCTGGCACAGTCAGGCTGGTTATGTTCATCATCAGCCCAGGGCCCTTACCCCCTCTACACGCAGCCCAGACAGCGAATGGGTCTTCTCCCAGGAAACGCGACCTAGTCAAACCCATCCAGAATTTTTCGGAGAATGTAAAGACTCTCCAACACTGCAGACTTCTGCATTACCAAGATTGTCAGAAGGGCTGTATTCCTGGTAGCAAATCCGTGTACTCTCCCAATGTCAGTCAACAGATTGGGAGGTACCATATTATTCTTATCATTGTTATTATTATTTTATAAGACACAGGAGGGATGTAGGTGGTGATATCACTTCCGCTACGACGATATGGGTTCTAAAAGGATAATGTCTTGATGAGGATGCCTTGGATGACGTCTAGCTACCTTCTTCATATTTATAGGTGTGGGTAATATCGTATCTCTCAAGCTTCTGGGGGCCACCATAGCTTCTGATGGAGGCCCCGCGGTACGGTCGCCCTGTGGGCCGATGGGTGATGATCTCCTTCCCAGCGCTGAAACAAGGAGGGCAAGCATGTGTCAAAGGGGGCATGAGTGAGTGAGTGAGTGAGTGAGTGAGTGAGTGAGTGAGTGAGTGAGTTTGGTTTTACGCCGTTTTTAGCAATATTCCAGCAATATCACGGCGGGGGACACCAGAAATAGGCTTCACACATTGTACCCATGTCGGGAATCGAACCCGGGTCTTCGGCGTCACGAGCGAACGCTTTAACCACTAGGCTACCCGACCTCCCCAAATGGGGGCATTAATTGTTATTTAATCGGAATGTGTTAACGCATATATTCTAAATAACACATACATGTAAAATGTGTCCATTTTACACAACAACCAGTCATAGACTACATCCAGAAACAAATACACTACAACTGTTCTCAGCAGCCACTTCATCAATTCACAGAAACACTACATCCATTCACAGGTACACTACATCCATTCACAGATACACTACATACATTCACAGATACACTACATCCATTCACAGATACACTACATCCATTCACAGGTACACTACATCCATTCACAGATACACTACATACATTCACAGGTACACTACATCCATTCACAGATACACTACATACATTCACAGGTACACTACATCCATTCACAGATACACTACATCCATTCACAGATACACTACATCCATTCACAGATACACTACATCCATTCACAGGTACACTACATCCATTCACTGATACACTACATCCATTCACAGGTACACTACATCCATTCACAGGTACACTACATCCATTCACAGATACACTACATCCATTCACAGGTACACTACATCCATTCACAGGTACACTACATCCATTCACAGATACACTACATCCATTCACAGATACACTACATCCATTCACAGATACACTACATCCATTCACTGATACACTACATCCATTCACAGATACACTACATACATTCACAGGTACACTACATCCATTCACTGATACACTACATCCATTCACAGGTACACTACATCCATTCACAGGTACACAACATACATTCACAGACACACTACATACATTCACAGGTGCACTACATCCATTCACAGATAATCTACGTCTATTTTCTCCAATCAGAGTTAATTAACGGAAGATCATTCCTTGCCACTGATGTTTGTTCTACATGAATATTAATCATTTGGAATTCGACCCCATGGCCTGGGGACAAGAATTTGAAGGATGTGTTGATAAAGTAAAAATATTGTACACTTAAACAAATATCTAAACAGTCTCAATAATGGCTAGATATACTTCCCATTTCCACTGAGGCAACAGAAGCTCTCAAAACAGCGATACTCGTTTCTACTCAAAGCCCGCGCACCGGGGACAAGAGAGTGTCTGTTTACACAATGTACCCAGTGTTTGCCTTTGTGTTTAATGGGCACTTGAAGTGTATGTTTCAGGTTTAAAATATCGATCTCACTTACAAGTTCTTGCTACGTCCACACTCCACCAGCGTCTCAGTCAGCTGATTCTCTCTCCACTGCACTCTGTCAGCGTTCACCTCCGCAAATATGAAGCCGACGTCATCGTCTACACGAACGTCGCCCTCTTTCACAGCTCTCACAGGGCACGGCCCGCACGTGTAAATACCTGAAGCGGCGAAAAGCAAGATTTTGGGTATTTGAACATAATGCCATAGGGGTTGTTTATACCGTGAAGTTTTCAGTAAACATTCCAAGTCCAACTTACTGAGAGATTCAAAGGGATAATAATAAAATACTTTAAATAATATTGACGTTTTTAGTTTGTCTTTTGGATATTTTGAATAAACGCGTAGAATATTTTAAATGACAAACAAACCGATTTCTCTTTGATCACCGTAAAATCATATTAAAACGTATATACTGAAGGGCAAAAGAAGGTTCCCGAGTTCATTGTGTAACTGAAAAATTGAAAGAACTGTTGTCTATTTAACCGTCACTCATTCCTGCAACAAATTGTTAAGAGTAATCTGTGTCTGTGTATTGTTGAGTAAAAATATAGACTTGGGTAAGAAACGAATTTGCAACCACATGACCTCTACCATGTTTAAAATGTTGTAAATGTGTGCCGAAAAAAGCATCTTTATCGATTTTCAAACATATAAGAATTTACTTGTGTTTATTGAATGACACCCTTGTGACGTTGGTGTGTGACTGAGCAGATAGTACCCTGTTCACTCGACAAAATTTCCCCCCCAAAATAGTTTTTGCACATGCCTAACTATACATACCTGTGACAATTAACTAAGGTGTGTAAATAAGGTATGTTAATGGTGTAAGGCACACATATCCATCAGTCTGTTCACGACTTTCAACATGGAAATGTTGTCTTCGCATGAAGCACCATGAGTTTGTTCACAACCTTTTGACACTTTGAAACCCAAAGAAAACACTGTCCGTCCAGCTCTGAATGTCCGGTTAAACGTTGGTATTGCTGTATACTGGATAGCGTCAAGAGAACTATTGCCAATTTGTTTTGTGTTGGCAAATCTACAGATATAATAATAAGAACATCCTCTGGCGTTGGCATAAACGTTCACATGACAACATAATACATAAAGTGCAAATTTGCACTTTTGTAATATAGACCATATAGAAGTATTCTTCGAGTGCTGACTGAGCGCCAGTACAGTCCATGTTGTTGGAGATAATATAGCTAACTTAAGATATTTTCAATTGAAAATCAAACACAATCAACTGAGATGTGTAGTCTCTGTTGCTCCTCGGTTTAAAAGCAATGATTTTTATGTGTATCCTATACTGATTTATTTTGATTGATCTAAAAATTGAGTAACCTTCAAAATACGGAGGGTTCTACAAGACGCCATACAAATCCACTCATATTCCTCCAAATGCTAAACTAACATGACTAAACACTCGTGAATGTCCTCTCCAAAATCTACCATGACTGCGCTCCGGAGGGGTCATCATTCCCCCCCCCCCCCCACACACACACACACAAACTTACCATTACTACGTTCCTGAGGGGTAGGGTCGACCACTTGCCACCCATCGTACTCTCCCCGTGGGTCCAGATCAGGCCGCCTCATCCAAACCTCACCCCACACATGATAGGACCTGCAGATAGGCAAGTGGAGGTGGATGTCAGTACTAGCGAACACAAAATGGATGAGTGAATGTGGGATGAGTACTTTAATTTCCACCTCACATGGGAACACGGGATGGCAATTCGCCTGAGGTGCTGCAATTCTAACTTAAAGGTGCCTTGATCCTAAGCTTGTGGGTATGAATACCAGACCCGTACAGATTATGAACGTCACGCCAACATTAAGGTGACACATTGACTGAAATACTGTTCAAAGCGGCGTAAAACACAACCCACTCACTCATTGCAATTGCCAAATATATGATCAACACAGGTTCTAATTCGGCTAAATTTGAGTTTTGTTTGTTGTTTTACGCCGCACTCAACAATATTCCAGCTATACGACCCTGTCTGTAAATAATCGAGAGTGGACCAGACAATCCAGTGATTGACATCATGAGCATCGATCCACGCAATTGCGATACGATGACATGTATCAACCAAGTCAGCGAGCCTGACCACCCGATCCCATTGTCTCTTGCGACAAGCATAGTCCCCTTTTACGGCAAGCATGGGTTGCTGGAAACCTATTCTATCCTGGATCTTCACGGATCTGGCCAAATCTATGGCACAGGACACTCAGTATTGAAATTTGAACAACAATTTGAACAGTTTTAGGCCTTATCAGTTTCAAGTTTCAATGCCAATAATTTCAAACATGCTGGAATACAAAAACCTAAATAAATATTTTAAGCCAACAGATTAACGGTTGTCAGCAAGTAAAACATACACAGGCCATACGCCACCGGATGCGACACACCCACATTAAGTTGGCACGCCGTTTTGAACTACTGTTGGAAGACCATAAAAACAACGAGCTTTACCCGGAAATATGTGATATTGATCTAGACTACGCTACCGGGCAAGAGAAAGTATACCCACATGTTTGATGGTGGCTAAACATGAAACCAACAAGAAATGGTTATTCCATGGTGATGTATTTGATACGGGTATCACACTGTTTTAAGCCATACGTTTGCAGTATTGTGGCGACTGTTTTCAGGCTAGTAACGTTTTGATACTGTTTGTAATGAATAGATCAAATCCAATTTTCTTGGAAATATTGATCTAAAATTACCGTCATATGATTTAGAACTTTTTCTTTCCGTCTCGTGAAAGGGTTTTACTTCGGACATCACGTACTGATAAAAGACAAAAATATATGAAAAGACTGAGTTTGAAAAGGTCAAAAGAAAATCTATGAGACAGTCCGTGTACTTGATGACCTTGTTTATGCACGTTATGTGCATCCCCTAAAACATTTAGCTTGAGTGAAAAAAACAAATAATGTTCAATTATTAGATGAAACGCTGAACTTTCCTGAAAATCTTTAAAGACAACAGCACGGACGGGTTGACGTATCATGCTCGTTCTGTTTAACCTTTCTGGTAATACTTTTGAAAGGTTTTGCCTATTGCTGAAATTATGCAGATTGTGTAGGCTACCAAGGTCGCTATCATCTCTGGTCCTTCAAATGAAGGACATTTGGTAATAAAGTGTTCTCCTGACCTCTATGGAGGTCAAGGACAGCGCCATCATCACCCACCAGACGGAGTCATCTGAGATTTCACACCAGTATCCGCTCTCGTTTTTCATCTGGACGTAGTCGACGGCGAGGCTCGTCATGTCCATGTTGTGGGCGGTGTTGTAGCTGGTAACGCCCCGACACGGGATACCAAGGGCCCGGCACACTGAATAGGTAAAAAGAATCTTCGTACTGGCACAAATTGGTGTTTTATAATTTCAGTGATAGTTTGTGTCGTTTTTATAGCTGCTGCGATCAGGGTTCAGACGTGCACATTAGGCTCTCTCTCTCTCTCACACTAACTCACTCACTCACCCACCCACCCAACCACCCACCCACCCACTCACTTACTCACTCACTCACCTGTTATCAGAACACCAGCAAAGACCCAGCACTGGCCGTACTTGACAGGTTTAGCCGTGTCCATGTACTGACGAAGTATCTTGACGCTGCCGTTCCACTTGGTGGGGCGCGTCCCACCCTCGTACTCGCCGCTCCAGTTGCCCATCAACACGCCGTCGTCGTCGGGGGCGTTTACCTGAAGGTCATGTTCATTACACTTTAACACAGAAACACGTGATGTGTTCGGTACCAGTTAAACAAATGCCTCCTTCATTTAATAACATTAATTTGTTCAACGTGCTTCAAATTTCTAAGAGATCAGGTAGTGTAGGGGCGGACTGGGATTAACAAGGCAGGATTCAGAGGACGACATGAGTTCCTCACCAGCATATACAATAAAATACGGTTATAACGAACTCAAAGGGACCACCAATATTAATTCGTTATAACCGTAGTTCGTTATAAGAATATATATAGCATATATACAGCAAATGGACGGGGCAAAAAACAGTTCGTTATATCCGTCAGTTCGTTATGAATAGTTTACTGTAATTTACATGAGTTCAGCGGAACATAACAGTCTCCATGGCATTCCCCATCGCCATAGATTCAAGGTGTATTGAATTCTTCTGATTGATCAAATCATGCAGATCCGTCAAGTTGTCGCTAATGTGAATGAGTGATTCAGTTAAAATGAGATCGTGGCATTTTCAAATCCATTCATCTGACTCCCATGTTGCTAATGTTGACGCGACGTAACTTTTCTTTTAAATCAAATCTATCACCCGACTTCTCGAAACTCATGATACATTCGCACATGAGATATGCAAGCTGTAGTGCATACACTTCTTGCACGGATCTCCAAAGAATGGACTGAGACGGGACATATGCTGTATATTCCCCAGGGAGCTGAGAATGCAATATGAATGCAAACTAATCAATTGATCTGGGTAAAGATGGCATGCGGTTTCTGATCGACCCCTGTGATGTTAAATCTCCTTCTTTTGCCTATTATTGTTATTATTATTATGACAGATTGCAGCGAAAAGGGGTTTTGGTGATATTTGCATTATTATATGTACAGATTAAAATAAAAATGCACCAAAGAGGGTTTGGGTGATCCTGGCACAGTCAGGCTGGTTGGTTCATCTGCTCAGGGCCCTTGCCCCATTTTACACGCAGCCCAGACAGCGAATGGGACTTCTCCCAGGATGCGCTGCTCAAACCCACCAAGAACTTTTCGGAGAATGTGAAGACTCCCCAACACTCAACCTTTTGCATAACCCAGATTGTCAGAAGGGCTGTATTCCTGGTAGCAAACCCGGGTACTCTCCCTATGTCAATCAACAGATTGGGAGGTACCAAACCTAAGGCACCGAGAACAATGAGGAGTCGGGCAACTTGGTACTTGGGATACAAGCGTGACATTTCAATGATACTGTGTTTGTGCCAAAGCGGGGCATCCATTGACAATGTGTTGGACAGTCTCATTAAAATCATTGCATAATCTACATTTCATATTTACATTTTGATGCAAAATCACACATTGACTGTTTCGAGTGGGAAGTGACTGGCCCTGAGTAGCAAACAGAAAGCCTTCTGTTTCACTTTTCAGGCCAGTCGACTTCATCCAAGCGAAGGACTCTGCAGGGTTGATCTTCTCAACACACTGCACATAAACTCGATGCAGTGGTCGTTCCGATAGCCTCTTCTTGAAAAACTGAGTCTGGGCCGATTTGATATGGCACTTCACTTGGTTGACACTCATTTCTGTACCGTCCAGCAGTACAGAACCATCAACAAAATCAACACTGACATTGAGATTATGTCTCACACCCGTTTAAGTAAACTGTTGAATGCCTTGTTTTCATCATGAGTCTTGAGATGATTCACAAGAGGATCATCAGACAAATAAATGTGTGCAAAAGTGCACAAAACAATTCCATCATGAAGAGCCTCCACGTTAATCAAACCACGTCCTCCCATTATGATTGGTAAATATAGGCGATAGAGGGAAGAGCGAGGGTGGTAGGATCTATTGTCTGACAAGATTCTACGTGCAAGGGTGTCAATACTCTGAATTTCTTGTTTCGTCCAATCAACAACACCAAAAGAACATGAAAGGACGGGTACAGCATAAGTATTTGCTTTAACTTTATTGCGAGCATTTAGCTCAGAACTCAAGATTTCTTAAGCCTACATTTGTACTCTGCCCGAAGTTTTTCCTTGATATGAGCATTCTGGAGTTTCTCCCTAATCTGCATCCCTAGGTACGTATAAGTCTGACCTTCCACGAGATGGTCAATAACTCTTCCCCGAAGTAAACTTACTAATCCCTCTTCTACCTTGCCACGTTACACATGAAGAATGTTGCATTTGTCGAGTCCGATATCATTCGAAAAGGACTCGACAACATGAATCTGTTTTCTTAATATGGATCCTCCGCTGGCAATAAGCTCAAGGTCGTCCATATAAAGGATGTGAGTAAGGGGCGTTGGGGATCTGTGCCGAGGAGATCCAGGATGATAACTTTCCTCTTTGCTAAGCAAAAAGGATTTAGTTACAAACAGAAAAGTAAAGGGATAAAAGAATCGCCCTGAAATCTTCTAATAGAAACAGGTTCCGAAGTCACCACCTGCCCCTATTATTATTGTTGTTGTTATTGTTATTGCTGTTGTTGTTATTATTATACAAAGTGCAGTGTATACAAGAAGACTGTAAGACTCACGATTTGTGTGAGAGCCTTGACTACCCTGGCCGCACTCCCCATGGCGGGTGTCGCCTCGAAGCCGAATGCCCTCCTGACCAGATGGAGGGCCACCTCCAGGATGCCGTCCTCGAACTAGAGGGGACAAATCACAGATAACTCCCCGTGTCCACAGTGTCCGATATGTCCCATGTTACTGTTCTGGGCATGAGTTTCATAGACTCTGGCTATGTTTCGTGGTATTTGTTAAAGCACTCAAAAACGTTTATATTTCATTTTGCAATTCAAGAGTGAACTTCGTTTCTTTTATAACAAATGTTATATTTTGGATATCACTTTCTTAGTAAAGTACAGATTCTCGTACCTTTTTTTAGGTTGAGTCCCGTCTGGGATTCGAACCCACATTTGCCAGAGTAAGGCACCTAATCGCCAGCAAACAAAGTCAGCGATCTAACCCACTCAGCCACCGAGGCTTCCACAAAAATGAGAGTCCGGCAACTGGTAGTCTAGATCACGTACTTTGAGTACCCCTCTGACCAGTGTCGTTTCTTTTGCCCGGCAGTTTCTATCAAACTGAATCAAAAGCCATCTTATTTCCTGCCATGAACTGTGATAATGTTGGTAATCCAGATAAAGGTAATCCCAACTAATTCAACCTTTTAATAGTACGATCATAAGAAGCTATGCTTATAGAACAATGTGTCGATATTGTTTTATTAGCTATTAGTTCACCTGGCCATAGAACCAGGATGATGCCGCCATCCTGGAGACGCTTCCAGAGTACTGGGGTCCTGAGTCGTTCAGGACCGCCTCCTTCCTCCAGTCCTCGTCGTCCAGATATACCACGTCCTCTGAAACAGTACACGACAATCTTCACCATCGGGGAATTAGCAATATCATCCTCTTATTCTTTTGGTAACCAGTGAATGATGTATCGATTTGCGGACTTAGATTCTAGTATTTCAAATTGTTTCCTGGTAATAAAGCGACATGAAAATACGCCATACTTAATCTTTTGTATAATTAAAATGGAATCATTATATTATGGTTGAACGTGCTCCGAATGAGACTCTAGAGGAAAGTTCGGCCATTGATGTCAAGGTTACCACAGGCAACAAATTGCTCTGAAAGCAGGACGATTGTTACATTTTTTATATTATCAATGTATATTAGCATACTGTTTGTAAATTAATAACGTTGACTGTCATGATAATACTGTCAGCTACATGCCCAACACCCAACTCATAAAGTGTTATTGGATTGTCATCCGCGCATTCTGTTTTTTTAAGATTCTTTATCTTTCTCAATAATTCACCACCAGAGTACAAAGTCACAATCGCTGGCATTGATGTGTAAATATTCATCAACGTTTCTCCATTAAGGGGTCTTTGTTACAATCAGTCAGGTTGGCAACCATATTCTGTTTAGGTAACATGTGAATACACTAAGTAACAATAAAGGAATACCACTTAACATGGCACCGTCACCATTAGCACAAGGCAACGTTTATTGTGATTACATTAAATGGCATTCAACTGCGCCAGTTTGATTCTTTGACACAACATGAATTCCTTTATTCTGATATCGATCGAGGGCTTTGACGTCAGTTAACAGCTGAAACATTTATCACCTCACCTCTGCACCAAGGGTTGAAGATGATGGCGACGTCTTCATTGTGGGTGTACTGCCAGATGACCTCACAGTCCTCCTTCGCCTCGACGACAGCCGTGATACTGAACTCCCACTCCCCGACAGGTGTATGGGCGGGGACGAATATCGCCAGGGTGAGAGAGGTGGCGTCCTGACCCACACAGGTGGCCCCCCACTTGGTGCGGCTGTAGGAAGCGTTGGCCCCAACCTTCACCTTCATTGTGGAGCTAAGCTTCGTGTGGGGCTTGTAGTCCTCGCCTTCGAGAGAAGCAAATACAAATTCCGGTTAACTCGAACTGACTTCTGACGTTCCTGTGTTTTAACGTCGCTATATACAACTTAGTAATATGATTGACGGACGGGAAAGCCGTCTAAGGCATTATTGTGTTGAGTGGTGGCCCTTACAACATGGTGAAATTTGGTTCCACGTCGCGTTCAATATTAATTCAATTATGTAGTGACGTGCATATACGTGTGTGGCTGCTTGTAGTTGTGGGGACTAATACCGTTTTATTTTGCTAGCCCACTGAGATACCATGCCGCAGTTTAACATGAATACCCCAATCAGACACAGTATTCTGACTCCGAGCCCACAAGTCTTTGTTTTAGCCCCTTAATTCCGAGCACCAGGCAGGTAACAAACAACTACCATATTTAAGGTGTTTTGGTATGATGCGGCCGGGGATCGAACCTCGGACCTTCCGCTCTCCTGGCGGACGCTCTACCCCGAGACCACGGATTGTGGTCCCCGTTCTCCCTGACACAACTCAACTATATGGCTGAAATATTGCATTTCATTTACATTTCAAAAACTAAAATTAATTGTCAAAGGACTGCTCCTACCGAGATTAAAGGTCAAGGTGAGGTCTGACTGCTTAGGGTCACAGGGTCGGTCAAAGAGCACGGTCATGAGAAACTCCTGTCCTCTACGGATAACCAGTTCTGGCTTCATCCTGGCGGGATGTCTCCGCTGGTCCCCCGTACACTGGTACATGTTGGTGTGGTGAGCCTCTGTATTCTCCTTGATGTGCAGGTTGACCCCAGTGACGTGGAGGCGCTCCTCCAACAGTAACGGGTCAACCTCCATCATTGTTTCTTCTGAAAGAAAAACATCTCCATCAAAGGCTAACGCAGACAAGACCACAACAAAGCGATAATTTATTTTCGGATATTTTTACAGTGGACAGGGTGACTTTTTATTTTGTCTAAAAAAACAATATATCGTTCGAAAAATATAAACATTTTCTCTTGTAAATAATAAGAGAAAGGCTGGTGAGACATTCCAAAGAAAACATTAATGAATTTGTCGTGGCCTAATATAATAATGTTGCCAGCAATAATTGCCTAAAATAATTTTAAGAAATATTTACACATAATGTAGGCATTTTAATATTAGGGTGGATTTACAATATTCATAAGTACATCCACATCAACATGACATGTGTTTGGCATATTGTTTTAGTCAGAGAACACAAACCCTGAAATTTACATGATTCTGATAGCGCTTACGAGGTATACACAGCCAGGATCAAAAGAACTGACAATAGGTGTCGGACGAACAACGTTCCTTCAGTTGAGGAAACGCACTTTCAAGGTTACTTTTACAGACATATCTATGCCAATAAGTTATTCACAAAACACGATTAAAATGTTTTTGGTTTAAAGTATGGAACGATCACAACTGTCGACAGATTGTGTTGTATAATAGTCACGTACACTTGTGAAACTAGTGAATCCAGTTTCAATATGGATTTCTCCCAATGCAAGTCGAGATGACCAACGCCCTCTATAAAGTCGTGGTGTCGCAGAAATCCGTTTTTACTACAGGATGACCTTACTAGACAGTTCGTGCACATACACTCTGGAAGAAAAGAAATTAAACGGATAAAAAAAATATTCATCGCTACCTTCAAATAGCAGCCCGATCCTGTGATGGTCAGACGAGTAGCCAAATTCTGCATCTCTGTCCCATGCCGGCGGCCACGCCCTCTCACAGGTGTACCAGGGGAAGCGTCTCGTGAAGCGGTCGTGGATGCTCCAGTCAGCACTACAACCACGGACAAAAAAAAATTCACATCAATAATATGGCTTCACGTAATAGAGAGCAATATTACACCTATAACACGGTGGTCTGCGGTAGTCAGCAATGTTACACCTATAACACGGTAGTCTGCAGCAGTCAGCAATATTACATCTAAAACAGGGTGGACTGCACTGCATAGCAATATTACACCTATAACACGGTGGTCTGCGGTGGTCAGCAATATTACACCTATAACACGGTAGTCTGCAGTAGTCAGCAATATAACATCTATAACACGGTGGTCTGTGGTAGTCAGCAATATTACACCTATAACACGGTGGTCTGCGGTAGTCAGCAATATTACACCTATAACACGGTAGTCTGCAGCAGTCAGCAATATTACATCTAAAACAGGGTGGACTGCACTGCATAGCAATATTACACCTATAACACGGTGGTCTGCGGTAGTCAGCAATATTACATCTATAACACGGTGGTCTGCACTGCATAGCAATATTACACCTATAACACGGTGGTCTGCGGTAGTCAGCAATATTACACCTATAACACGGCAGTCTGCAGCAGTCAGCAATATTACATCTAAAACAGGGTGGACTGCACTGCACAGCAATATTACACCTATAACACGGTGGTCTGCGGTAGTCAGCAATATTACATCTATAACACGGTGGTCTGCACTGCATAGCAATATTACACCTATAACACGGTGGTCTGCGGTAGTCAGCAATATTACACCTATAACACGGTAGTCTGCAGCAGTCAGCAAAATTACATCTAAAACAGGGTGGACTGCACTGCATAGCAATATTACATCTATAACACGGTGGTCTGCGGTAGTCAGCAATATTACACCTATAACCCGGTGGTCTGCAGTAGTCAATAATACTATTTTCATATATTGACAAGACTGTCAAGTTGGTCACCTGGGTCCCCTGCACATGTCGGGGTCTATGGAGACCTCGGGGGAAGTGAAACTGTTTCGGGAGAAAGACTCATGCGTCGCCTCTGCCAGACTGTCGTCGGACTCCTTCGTCACCGAGGCCGGGGAACCCCTAGGAAAGAAGTGTCACGGAAATGCATTCAGACATCGTGGTGTGAGGAGGTCAGGAGTCGAGGAGTTCTAAGCACAGGATATAGCGAGGGGGCAGTTACTTCTTGGGGTGGAGATGGGGTGAAGACGGAATTCAGACACCACATGTGATGGGGTTCAACAGGATACTAAACGAGGAAAATGCATAGTCATGATCGGGAATGGAGAGCAAGGGTAACGTATTCGACTGCCAAAAGAGGGAAGATAAGGTAACGTAATTGGTTACAATCGATAGATGAGAGTCATGGTAACGTATTCGGGTGCAAACGAAAGAGGGTAGTCAAGGTAACGTATTCGGGCAGCACTGAAAGAGGGGATACAAGATAACGTATTCGGAGACAATCGAGAGAGGGGAGTGAAGATAACGTATTCTGGGGCAATCGCGAGGTGAATCAATGTGACCTATTCGGGTACAATCGAGAGAGGGGAGTCATGGTAACGTATTCGGGACAATCAAGAGAAGGGTGTCAAAGGTACCGTATCGGGTACAATCAAGACAGGTGAGTCATGGTAACGTATTCGGGTACAATCGAGAGAGGGGTGTCAAAGGTAACGTATGAGGTACAATTTAGATGTGGGTCAATGTAACGTATTTGGGTTCAATTGAGAAAGGGGAGTCATGGTAACGTATTCGGGTACAATCAAGAGAAGGGAGTCAGGGTAACGTATTTGGGTACAATCGAGAGAACAGAGTCAGGGTAAAGTGTACGGGTACAATCGAGAGAACGGAGTTAGGGTAAAGTGTACGGGTACAATCGAGAGAACAGAGTCAGGGTAAAGTGTCCGGGTACAATCGAGAGAACAGAGTCAGGGTAAAGTGTCCGGGTACAATCGAGAGAACAGAGTCAGGGTAAAATGTCCGGGTACAATCGAGAGAACAGAGTCAGGGTTAAGTGTCCGAGTACAATCAAGAGAACAGAGTCAGGGTAAAGTGTCCGGGTACAATCGAGAGAACAGAGTCAGGGTAAAATGTCCGGGTACAATCGAGAGAACAGAGTCAGGGTAAAGTGTCCGGGTACAATCGAGAGAACTGAGTCAGGGTAAAGTGTCCGGGTACAATCGAGAGAACAGAGTCAGGGTAAAGTGTCCGGGTACAATCGAGAGAACAGAGTCAGGGTAAAGTGTCCGGGTACAATCGAGAGAACAGAGTCAGGGTAAAGTGTCCGGGTACAATCGAGAGAACAGAGTCAGGGTAAAGTGTCCGGGTACATTCGAGAGAACATAGTCGGGGTAGAGTGTCCGGATACATTCGGGAAGAGTCAGGGTAAAGAGTCCGGGTACATTCGAGAGAACATAGTCGGGGTAGAGTGTCCGGATACATTCGAGAGAACAGAGTCAGGGTAAAGTGTCCGGGTACATTCGAGCGAACATAGTCGGGGTAAAGTGCCCGGGTACAATCAAGAGAACAGAGTCTGGGTAAAGTGTCGGATACATTCGAAAGAACAGAGTCGGGGTAAAGTGTCCGGGTACAACCGAGAGAACGGAGTCCGGGTAAAGTGTCCGGATACATTCGAAAGAACAGAGTCGGGGTAAAGTGTCCGGGTACAACCGAGAGAACGGAGTCCGGGTAAAGTGTCCGGATACATTCGAAAGAACAGAGTCGGGGTAAAGTGTCCGGGTACAACCGAGAGAACGGAGTCCGGGTTAAGTGTCCGGGTACAATAGAGAGAACGGAGTCATGGTAAAGTGTATGGGTACAATCGAGAGAACAGAGTCAGGGTAAAGTGTCCGGGTACAATCGAGAAAACGAAGTCAGGGTAAAGTGTCTGGGTACAATCGAGGGAACAGAGTTAGGGTAAAGTGTACGGGTACAATCGAGAGAACGGAGTCAGGGTAAAGTGTCTGGGTACAATCGAGAGAACAGAGTCAGGGTAAAGTGCCCGGGTACAATCAAGAGAACGGAGTAAGGGTAAAGTGTCTGGGTACAATCGAGAGAACGGAGTTAGGGTAAAGTGTCTGGGTACAATCGAGAGAACAGAGTCATGGTAAGGTATCCGGGTACAATCGAGAGAACAGAGTCAGGGTAAAGTGTCCGGGTACAATCGAGAGAACAGAGTCAGGGTAAAGTGTCCGGGTACAATCGAGAGAACAGAGTCAGGGTAAAGTGTCCCGGTACAATCAAGCGGGAAGAAAACGTATACAGAAACCTCCGAGGGAGGAACATTGTGCCTATGTAAGAATCGAAACAGGGACATATTTGTGATTAACAAATGTCTCAACCAAATGCACCGCCAAAGGATCACATTACCGCAAGCAACATATTATACCAATCCGAAAGAGGTTTTTTCTGTCAATATGTGTTCTTTTTCAACCAAAAAAACCAACAGTTTAAAAATGAAAAGTCAATGTGATATGTCTTCATGTATCTTTTATGAATCCTGTACCATTTTCCAATATGGATCAATAATGTGGAATGACGTTTTGTTGAGTTTGAAATCAATGATCTGAAAGTTAAAAATCGAAATCTGTTACTCGTATAATCCTTGAATGGCATTATATATATTTCCGGGTAGCAACAAACAGTTCTGCGTATCCAGGCGGTTCGAACTGCATGGTTACGGCGGTATAGTGAGGGATATGCGTGAACATTTACGATTAATATAGCACAGGTGAGGTGAGGTGACATGAGGTTTAACGTGACAAAATTACAGCCATGTTTATGACATAGTTCAACGATTGGAACGACAACGACAGCATTGATGGTAATGATGACGTCATTTTAACACAAAAATAACATCAATTCAACTATAACAGTAATAGCAAGCATGATGAAGATTATCCCAACGATATTTACAACGATGATGATATTATAAGAAGCACATCGATATGGCTTGGAGGACTATGTTCTCTGACATGTTACCAAGGGAAGCGCCTGTTCTCAATTCTCAAGCAGAAAGCTAAGACGTTATTGATTTCCAACTTGTTAAGATATTTAAAGCTTTGAAGCTTGAATCATGTATTCAATGAGCAATACTCTCTGAAGTTGTGTTGTGTTTCTAAGGATATCTGAAGACAAAGTGCCACCTTCTGCGTCACAAAATACACCCCCATGTATTAACGTGGAAGAAGGTGGTCGGTCAAGTTAAAAAGGAGGATTCAACTAAATATACAGAATGAACTCAAAGTGTATCATGGTTGAACGGCTCCCTGTATTTACTACATCTAGCGTTGAAGAGCATCTCGCTATAAAGCTTAACTTAGGTTGAGTAAACAAACACAGACTGGAACCAGAATAAGTGCTTTTGAAATCTCTTTGAAATCGAATTGAGATGAACCAGTGCAGTTCATCAATGTGCAATATGTCACGTAAATGGCGTTGTGTTGCACGACTGTAATAAACAGCCAACATGCATCCGCGTTCACAGATGAGGACCTCCGTTGACAGGAACACGGAAATTGATCATTACCGAGCACATTGAAATCCTTGAACTTATATGAAATAGGGCCTTAAAATTTCTGAAGAATAGACTTTATTTATGATCGCGTCAGATAAAAACCTTAATTTATCATAGAAATAAATGTAATTCTTGAAAATAACACATGCATGTGATAACTTCGAGTATGTGCGCATTGAAGAAGGCTCTCGGTACAAAATCGTCGCACATCTCTATGGAGTCACGTGTTGTTTCGAATTGAGGAATAGTTTGCTTACAATCAAGAACACGATCCACAGTACCAGTACTAACCGTAGCGATTCCAGACAGTCAACAATAACCCCGTAGGTAGTCCGCGTAAAAGTGATACATGGCACAAAATGTTTCCCTCGCGTAGGGATTCACCGTTAAAGCGGCCCAATGAATCAGTGTTTTAATGACCCCTGTCAGGATTCCAGACAAAAGTGACTCAGTACCAGTGTTTTTATTTCCCCGTATGGTTTCTAGTTACACATGGACAAAAGTGCCAGTGTTGTTTTATTTCCCCAATATAGTTTCTGGGTAAACGTGGCTTAAAGTACCAGTGTTTTAATTTTCCCCATAACGTTTAGGGAAACGTGGCTTAAAGTACCAGTGTTTTATTTTTCCCCATATAGTTAAGGTAAACGTAGCTTAAAGTACCAGAGTTTTAATTTCCCCTAAAGGATTACAGGTTAACATGGTCCAAAGTGCCAGTGTTTTAATTTCCCCCATATAGTTTAGGTAAATGTGGGTTAAAGTACCAGTGTTTTAGTTTCCCTTAAAGGAAAAGGTAAACATAGCCCAACGTAGCAGTGTTTAAATTTCCCCAATATAGTTTCTGGGTAAACGTGGCTTAAAGTGCCAGTGTTTTAATTTTCCCCATAAAGTTTAGGGAAACGTGGCTTAAAGTACCAGTGTTTTATTTTTCCCCATATAGTTTAGGTAAACGTAGCTTAAAGTACCAGTGTTTTAATTTCCCCTAAAGGATTACAGGTTAACATGGTCCAAAGTACCAGTGTTTTAATTTCCCCCATGTAGTTCAGGTAAAAGTGGGTTAAAGTACCAGTGTTTGAATTTCCCTTAAAGGATTACAGGTAAACATGGTCCAAAGTGCCAGTGTTTTAATTTTCCCCATATAGTTTAGGTAAATGTGGGTTAAAGTACCAGTGTTTGAATTTCCCCTGAAGGATTACAGGTAAACATGGCCCAAAGTACCAGTGTTTTAATATTTCCCCGTCTGGTTTCTAGGTAAACGTTGCCCAAAGTACCAGTGTTTTAATTTACCCCATATGGATACCAGGTAAGAGTGACACTACGAGCCAATGTTATAATTTCCCAGGTAAGGATTCCAAGTTGTACCCAGTACCACTTAATAATCATAGATGGAAATCAACTACATCCCAATGTCATGCCAAGTCGACTTAACATCGATCCACCAGATGTTCATATGTAGTTCATATGCAACATATGCATTCTTGTTTGACTGACAGGTATACACATGCATATGTTTGATTACACGTTTAAACAGGATTGGGCAATACAGTCGACTCTCGTTACGTGGAGGATACGGGACTTTGACCCCAAAGTGTCCTACGTTTCTATCGACCATGGCGTTTCTGACACCGTGCCCAACCATGGCGTTTCTGACACCGTGCCTATGTTATTAATTAGTTGTTTTCTCTGTAAATAAAGATGAGAAACGATGATACCAATTAGTGCCAGTAAGGTAAAGATATTTCTCCGTGAATGTTCTCAGCTGATGTGATGCTTTTAACTGACATTCCCATTATCGTGTATGAATAAAAATCCTTTCTAGTTAAACGATATATTTGCTATATGGAACGACGCTGGGCACCAAGGGATGTAATACGTGTCTTTAATACGTGTTTTTTTTTATCTTGTTATCTGGTTTCAAATGGTAATAAATAAGCAAGGGAACATTCGGGACCAAACGAAAGTATTTGCTTAATCGTTTAGTTTTTCTAGTTAACCGGATTCGTCTTGACGAGATGCGACTGTATAGCGTTCCTGCTGCATTGTTATATATGACATTCTCACACAAAATCTTTTGGAATATTTGTTTCAAAATGCAATAGCTAGCTCGATAGAAAGATGTTTATTCTGTATAAGAGGCCTAATGGTCTAAAGTGGAATTGATTGATGATATAAGCCTAGTCACGTGAGGGTAAGATATAGATAGTCTAACTGTTGTACAAAGGAAACAAGTGATGTAGAATCATGGCAACAGAACGAACACTATCAATAACATCAAAATTAACCATTGACTGTTTATATTTAACCACATTAACACTATATGCGATGAATTTCATTCCTAAACTTGAGTATCGTTAACACACAAACAATACATGGAATTCATTTTCGGTTTCACGAGATGTATACTGGACAAGAAGTAGTACGAATAGGATTAACATCTTTTGATTTACAGATCATTTATGAAATGATTTCCTTAACTAACAAAAAAGACCTTATGAATCATTTATCTGATACGTGAGTGGCATGTGACATGTGAAACCCAGTTATATTTGCATAGAGTTGCCTTAACATTTTATAACATTCATAAGGCAATAATCTTAATGCCTTCAGTTTTAGTAGTTATAACCAATATTTCATCAAAATGTAAACATGAAATGTAGATTATGCAAAGAATTTAATAAGACTCTCCAACACATTGCCAGTGGATGCTTTTGCGCAAACACTGTACTTTAAGCGACATGATGGAGTGGCTCGATCATTTTATTATCTTGTTGCTTTGACACAGAGGTCCATCCATGGTACGGCCCGGAATATGTAGAAGGTGTCATGGAAAATGATAAATACAATATAATTTTAAATATATGCCCGTTTTCAGCCCCAGACGTATACATGCCAACAAACCTGACCCTGTCCTTTTTGATAAATCCAATGAAATCATTTCAGGATTCAGGAAAAACATGGCAAATGAGCGGACCTCGCTTTCGAAATTTCACGGTTGCATCCCAAGTACCAAGTTGTCCGATTCCCCATTGTTCTCGGCGCCTTAGGTTTGGTAACTCCTTATCTGTTGACTGACATTGGGAGAGTACCCGGGTTTGCTACCAGGAATACACCCCTTCTGACAATCTGGGTTATGCAGAAGGAGTCTTCACATTCTCCGAAAAGTTCTGGGTGGGTTTGACCTGGGAGAAGTCCCATTTACTGTCTGGGCTGCGTGTAGAGCGGGCAAGGGCCCCGAGCTGATGATGAGCCTAACCAGCCTGACTGTGCCAGGATCACCCAAACCCTCTTTGCTGCATTATTTATTTTAACCTGTAAATGATAATAATGATAACAATAATGATAATAACAATAACTTACTTGACTCCCGCCGAGTTCCCCATACTCTAAAGGCCGGATCAATCTGAAACAGTTAAACAGTCAATCATGATTTACTTAAACCAACATGTTTCTCCGTAGAAACTACATCTTCTAAGACCAACATATCAATAAACTGAATATAATAAATGGATTGCTACACACATATGGACAATCAATATGATCAGCACGTCCATTTCTGAGTAATATATTTTAGTTATTGTGTTGGTGCTTTCATAATGGTATCTACTTCTTCTATATATATATATATGTGTGTGTGTGTGTGTGTGTGTGTGTGTGTGTGTGTGTGTGTGTGTGTGTGTGTGTGTGTGTGTGTGTGTGTGTGTGTGTGTGTGTGTGTGTGTGTGTTTGTTGTTTAACGCCGCACTCAGCAATATTCCAGCTATATGACGGCGGTCTTCTATATATAAACTGCCGGTCAAAAGAAAGTGTATCCCTATGTTTGGTGTTTAAATTTGAATAGATAGTTGATCAATTGTTGTCTGTTTACAAGATATCAAAGAGGTTTTGAATAGCAGGTGTTGTGTACATATGTATAGATCATTGTCATTTTAAACGGTGTCATGTAAAAAGAAAGGTATACATCCATGTTTGATGGTGGCTAATAATGAAACAAACAAGAAATTGTGAGGTGAGGTGAGGTGAGGTGAGGTGAGGTGAGGTGAGGTGAAATGGGGTTTAACGTCGCATCCAAGATTATTGCACTAATATAGAGACGTGCATGTACGTGTGTGTGTATGTGTGGCTGCTTGTACTAGTCCGGACTGATGCCGATTTATAGTGCTAGCTCACTGAGATACCATGCCGCAGTTTAACATGTATACACCACTCAGACACAGTATACTGACTCCGAGCCGACCAGTCCTTGTTTTAGCCCCTTAATGCCGAGCGCCAGACAGGGTAACAACTAGCTAGTACCATCTTTTAAACGTCTTTTGGTATGACGCGGTCGGAGATCCAAACCCCGGAACTTCCGCTCTCCGGGCGGACGCTTTACCACTAGACAACGGATGCGGTCAAGAAATGATGACCCCAATGGGATGTATTTGATACCGGTATCATAGTCGTGTTTGAGACCTTAAGTTTGCAGTGTTTCGGCGACAGTAGAGTATCGTTTTGATGTTTTTAATCTTTTGATCAAATTCAATTTTCATTCATACTTTTTTTTGCCTTTATGGAAATAGAGAAGTTAACAAATTTCATTCATTACAAAGGCATTCGTGTAACGATGACCTGGTCAGATAACGTTGTCTCATCAAATTTCGTGTTCACGTGATCTCAAATTGAAAGTTGTTGTATTATTTTCTTAAATGTATTAATTAGTGCTAATCAGACATTTCGATATGGTGACAAACTTCGGAACTATTTTCCAAGAAGGTTATGATTATAAGAATCTAATATATCTATTTTAATTAACGACCACAAAAACATAGCATTTATATTACATATGAAGTATTATATATTTGCACAACAATAAATGTTTATGATGTATGCTTTTATGCAGTCATATTACATAGTGTACATATTGAATATACTTAAATAATGCTCAAACTTATTATGAGAAGAGAGCCACGTTAGTTTAGTATTAGTATGAGACAGTTGATTGACGTAGCATAAAAACATCCACTCACAATGCAATATGACGATATGCCGAACATAACGAAAAATAATAGCTCAGGCTAACCAAGGTTATAAAATAAACGATAAGTGACATTATTAAGTTACGTACCTACCTATTCTTCGGGTGTATTTAGTCCTGGGTTCTTCCTCCCGTTCGAGTGAATGCAGTAATTCGCTGCTTAGAGTTTGTTCAGAGATGCATCCGAATCAAATTGCATTATCTTGCTAATCACTCGTCAGTCAGTGGTATTTCTCATTGTCTCACTATCCGTAAAAGAATAACGGGATCAATATATCCTCACAATCCGAACTCTAGGACAGTTAATGCAACGTGCGTCATGTCCGAGTCGTCCAGTGTCCAACGGTCTCTGCGCGTGTTCGTCGGTGTTGTAGAGGAGTTCACGTCGATGACGCCGAGATGACATACAAAAATCGATGCGTGTGAATCCTTTAACATTGATGCGATCAATACAATAGACACTTGCTGTTGACGTGGATATCACGTTGCACAAGAACAACATTGTCATGGTAAAATACAGATGGGAAATGTTGATACAATTTCCCATGAAGTACTCGTGTGTCACATTTGCATTGCGCGAAATACAGATCGTTAATTATTTGTACAATTTCTCATGGGGTACATATACATTGTATGTCACATTTGCATTTCGGGGCGATGGGTAGTTTATATCTGTATTGGATCGGTTCGTGTGCCACTTACCTTTACATCTAAATTGTGTGAGTGACTGGGGCTATCGGAAGGGAGGACACACCTGGTGTGGTCACTGATTTTCACGGCTATTTTGCGTTTATGGCCAGTGGAATCGGTTTCGTCGGATGATGGAGACGAGATATTCTCCGGCGTTGAGATTAGGGGCGACACGTTGGACTGCCAATACAACCGACAGCCATGATGACAATGACATACTTACAACCCTGCGGGAGGCAGGTGTAGAATCTGTCCAAACAACCTATGCTTGTAAAGAGACAAGATTTCCATAATAGCCTCTATTTTAGGAAACAGTGACATTCCTTTCCCCTTATCCAAACACTCTGAGAGGAACTACACTTTTCCCTTGCTACAACATGCATACTGGCCACTGACGACTGTCCCAAAAAGGGAGTCAGAGAAGTCAGGTATTGTCTAAGATCTCGAACTACATAACTGAAAAAGGATATATACTGATGATCACTGCATTAGAAACACGGGGGTTGCAGATGAGGTGTTACTGCTCTGGTAATAAATGTCAGGAATGTCAGCTATGTTTGAGAGAAGTTTATGATTGTGCACCAGCGAACCAGTCTGAAACAGAGACTTCAGAGCTACACCTAGCAGTACAGCACCTCAAGGAGGACCCGTGAAGATCTGGGGTAGAATTGGTCTTCAGCAACCCATGCTTGCCGTAAAAAGTGACTATGCTTGTCGTAAGAGACGACAAACGGGATCGGGTGGTCAGGCTCGCTGACTTGGTTGATGCATGTCATCGATCCCAATTGTGTGGATCGATGCTCGTGATATTAGTCACTGGATTGTCTGGTCCAGACTCGATTATATACAGACCGCCGTCATATAGCTGGAATATTGCTGAGTGCGGCGTTAAACAACAAATCACCCCCCACCCCCACCCCAAAAAAACACAAAAAAAACTCAAGGAGTCGTACTGGACCCAAAGTTGTGCTGTGAATTGAAGAAATATCTAAGGCGGCTAATTGTCAAAAAAAGAGGCGACTCAATGAATCAGGGGTCCAGGCTTATGTTGACTGCATGTCATTTTATCTTCACTGTGTTTAACGTTGCTCGTGAAATCGATCACTGGTTTGTCTTGTACAGACTCGATTCATTTCATCGTAATAAAGCTGGAATCATGTTTACTGCGTTTTAACAACCATCAAACAAACAAAACAAAACCATTTCCATACTCATAAGAAGTCTCTGCTAAAAGCATATTTCATTGTACGAATTTCATTGCTCTCCGGGCAGACGCTCGCTCCACTAAACCACGGAGGCGGTCATGGAAATTACAAGAAAGCCTAGTACATTGAAACCCCACCTTGCGGGCGATCTTTTAGGAAACGTCATATACACCTGGAAACTAATTAAGCAAAGCTTACTATAGATTTCTGTATACAATTATAGCAAAGGGTAAAAATGTATCTTATATTTTTTCTGACGAAGTAAAATACTCGTCTTTTAATACAGGAACCGAAATCGATATATCAACATCTGTTTCCCTTTCTTCCCATCAATTGTCAATGTGAACATCTGGATGAAGTTACAGGGTCTTTATAACCAACTTATATTATATATATATAGGGTTTGGTCGCCTGATGCGCACATCACACGGATACTATCTGGGGATCAGTTTGAATCCAATACTCCCCCAAAAATCAATAACACCACAATTTGATGATATTCGTTAATACTACACTATATTGTAATTATAGGGCAATTGATTGGTGTGTGAATAGGTTCACCGAAACGTGAAAAAGCAAACTGAGATGTTTTTCTGCGAGACCATTTCAGCAGAATGCATTCTCAATGAAATGATAAGCGCAATTGATTGGATGAACCTTAGCATCACGTGATTCCTGAATGACGTCCGTTTCTTAAGTTCGATTTTGTATGTCTGTATCATTCTCAAGGTTAATATCAGTTTGACGTCATCACTTAAAAAAATCGACCGCAACGATCTGTACATAGATTCACAGAGAAGGTCATTAAGAGCAAGAGGGGAATAAGAAAAGAGTACATATATATCTCTGTATCAGCTCGTAAATAAAGGATGTTTCCTGGCTAGTCTAATAACACAAAGTGTGGTATTGTTGAAACGCCATGGCAATTGATACACAGCCGCAGAAAGAGGGCATCTTTGATCCGCATCAATGATCTGTTGATATCCTGAGTATTGAATCCGGGTGATGGTGTTTATACTAATATACTGAACCGTAAAAGAAACGTCACCATGGACAGATATATGAGAAACCTTATTTTTCCAAACACTGTAAACATACTTTGAGACATATTATAAAGATGAAACTTGGCAAAACTGATCATCAAGGTTGAGATTAAAGTGTCAAATGTTCTTAAAGTGAAACACAACACTAGTCGCTGAGAAAAAAAGGCATCACAAGTCAGAATCTCGTGTGTCCGCCATATGCATTGATGACTGCCGTGCAACATGGAATGGATGAGACGGTTGATGAAGGCCATAGGCACTTGAGCCCACACTCTGAGGAACCCTTACGCAGTTCAGCTGCAGTTGTCGGCCTTGGTCGGACGTCATTCAGCCGTCTTTGAATCTCGTCCCACAGGTGCTCAATTGGATTTAAATTGGGACTGAGGGCAGACCACTGCATGGATCTGATGCCATTCTGCTGGAGGAAGTCTCTTGTTGCTCTCGCAGTGTGGGCACGGGCGTTATCAGGCTGAAACTCGTTGTTGCGGCGACGTGCCAAATGAGGTATGGGGTGTAGACTCAAGACTTGATCAATGTACCGAACTGATTTGACACCATTGCCTCTCCCTGGACCGATGTTCTGGAACAACACAGGGTCAACCCTCTGTGCAAGACCAATTCCACCCCTCAGCTTGCAATCGTACAAGGGCTTGGTGTCGTTGATTTCTTGTCAATCTTGGCATGTGGTAGCAATTCAATAATGAATGAATGTTATCCGATCTGGGTGGATTTTTATAGGGCAAGAAATGGGGGATCGCATGTGAATTTCAAATTTCACGGATCTCACGTGCATCGGGTTACCATGGCCGTTGCCGTGATGCGTATGGGCGATCGGTTTTATTGTTATCTGCTTTGTTTTTTTATCATCAAATTTCATTTTTCCGGACAAGGTAATGTTAAATTTTAGAAACTTTGACAAAAATTACCCAGATATTTAAATGACAACTTTTCATGCAATGTTACTGGGGGTGAAGTTTTTTTTGCGGTTCAGTATACATTGAAGCCGGGTGATGGTCCTTACGCTTGCACATTGAAGCTGAGTGATGGTCCTTATGCTCACACATCGAAGCTTGGTGATGGTCCTTATGCTCACACATCGAAGCTGTGTGATGGTCCTTACGCTTTTACATCAAAGGTGGGTGATGGTCCTTACGCTTATACATCAAAGCTGGGTGATGGTCCTTACGCTTATACATCCAAGCCGGGTGATGGTCCTTACGCTTATACATCGAAGCCGGGTGATGGTGTTTAGGCTTACACATCAAAGCTGGGTGATGGTCCTTACGCTTACACATCAAAGCGGGGTGATGGTTCTTACGCTTATACATCAAAGCCGGGTGATGGTGTTTAGGCTTATACATCAGAGCTGGGTGAAGGTCCTTACGCTTATACATCGAAGCCGGGTGATGGTGTTTAGGCTTACACATCAAAGCTTGGTGATGGTCCTTACGCTTACACATCAAAGCGGGGTGATGGTCCTTACGCTTATACATCAGAGCTGGGTGATGGTCCTTACGCTTATACATCAAAGCCGGGTGATGGTCCTTACGCTTATACATTGAAGCCGGGTGATGGTCCTTACGCTTACACATCGAAGCCGGGTGATGGTCCTTACGCTTATACATTGAAGCTGGGTGATGGCCCTTACGCTTATACATTGAAGCCGGGTGATGGTCCTTACGCTTATACATCAAAGCCGGGTGATGGTATTTTCGCTCACACATCGAAGCCGGGTGATGGTCCTTACGCTTATACATTGAAGCTGGGTGATGGTCCTTACGCTTACACATCGAAGCCGGGTGATGGTCATTACGCTTACACATCGAAGCCGGGTGATGGTCCTTACGCTTACACATCGAAGCCGGGTGATGGTCCTTACGCTTATACATTGAAGCTGGGTGATGGCCCTTACGCTTATACATTGAAGCCGGGTGATGGTCCTTACGCTTATACATCAAAGCCGGGTGATGGTCCTTACGCTTATACATTGAAGCCGGGTGATGGCCCTTACGCTTACACATCGAAGCCGGGTGATGGTCCTTACGCTTACACATCGAAGCCGGGTGATGGTCCTTACGCTTATACATTGAAGCTGGGTGATGGCCCTTACGCTTATACATTGAAGCCGGGTGATGGTCCTTACGCTTATACATCAAAGCCGGGTGATGGTATTTTCGCTCACACATCGAAGCCGGGTGATGGTCCTTACGCTTATACATCAAAGCTGGGTGATGGTCCTTACGCTTACACATCGAAGCCGGGTGATGGTCATTACGCTCACACATCGAAGCCGGGTGATGGTTCTTAATTTGCACATTGAAGCCGGGTGATGGTCCTTACGCTTACACATTGAAGCCGGGTGATGGTTCTTAATTTGCACATTGAAGCCGGGTGATGGTCCTTACGCTTACACATTGAAGCCGGGTGATGGTGCTAAAATTTACTCTTTGTAGTTGGGTGGTGGTGCATTTATAACATATTTATACCTTGTTGCTCATTAAGCCCTAACAGTTACAACATATTTATATCTCTTGGTACATAGGCTGACACACAGCGTACATCACGCCATGTGCCCCGAGGGGTCGGTTGACAACGAATGTATCTTACCGACATTCATTCATACAGACCCAGAACACATGTCTGAAGTTTCACTGAGTCAGCAAAACTCGCTCCCCTCGTCTTGAGAAATCAACAACATTAATTACGTTTACTGACGCGGACGGCCGTTTTGACAGGTAGCAGACGACGCAAACGAACTGAGTTACTTCCCTTTACCCCATACAAACGTATAAACATCGGTTCATTTCAGCTCAACGATACTTATGCTTGTCAAGAATGTGGTCTGAGGTGTGTTACATTCGTTTTCTCAACGGGATACATGAGCGGGATACATCGGAAAAAACTGCCCGTTCCTTAACCAATCAGAACCTAGACGTGAGGTGAAATGGGGTTTAACGTCGCGTCCAAGATAATTGCACTTATATAGAGACGTGCATGTACGTGTGTGTGTTTGTGTTGCTGCGTGTACTAGTCCGGGCAGATGCCGATTTATAGTGCTAGCTCACTGAGATACCATGCCGCAGTTTAACATGAATACCCCACTCAGACACAGTATACTCACTCCGAGCCGACCAGTCCTTGTTTTTAGCCCCTTAATGCCGAGCGCCAGACAGGGTAACAACAAGTACCATCTTTCAACGTCTTTTGGTATGACGCGGTCGGGGATCGAACACCGGAACTTGCGCTCTGCGGGCGGACGCTCTATCACTAGACCAGGGAGGCGGTCATCAGAACCAAGAGATCACTTACGACACATATATTCAGTGTAGTACATGACGTCCATATACAATAACACATGACGCAATAACAGTTACTGGATAACCACCAACGCGTACAAACTACACCTTGTCAACATGGAACATCCAATATTTATGAAACCTACGAGTTTTACCTTTTCACGAACACTTCTTAAGAGACAAAAAGCGCTACGCTCCAAACGTCGCCAGGGTCCATGACCATAACATTCACATGTAACGTAAACAGCCTGCTGAATGAGCTATCATATTGTCATGAATAAATCTCTTGCAAACTATGTAAGCTGAGAGGTAAAATGAGGACTTTGAAGTAGGTTAGTTAATATTTTATCATAATATTTGAAAGAGCTTTTAGTGCAATTGTTTTGACATAATGCTCTCGGGTATTTTGAGTCTAAATATTAGTCTGCCTGGCGCTCGGCATTTAGGGTGTAAAGCAGGGACTTATTTGTAAGAAGACATTAGTTTGTGTCTGAGCTGGGTATTCATAAGCAGCATGGCATCTCAGTGACCTAGCAATATATACCGGCATTAGTCCGGACTAGTACAAGCAGGCACATATGTATATGCATGTCGCTATATAAGTGTTTGTTTGTTTTGTTGTTTAACGCCGCACTTAGCAATATTCAAGCTATATGGCGGCGGTCTGTAAATCAAGTCTGGAACAGAGAATCAAGTGATTGACCGCTATATAAGTGAAATAATCTTGAACGTTGACGTTGAACCCCATTTCACAATCTTGTAATTTCCACTGTCAACTAGTTGTCAGTGTTTAGAGTAAACATGTGAATATATCAAACAGGTCGACAGTTATTTGCTAATTCACTTACATTTCGTTGTGAGGTGAGGTGAGGTGAGGTGAAATTGGGTTTAACGTCGCGTCCAAGATTATTGCACTTATATAGCGACGTGCATGCACGTGTATGTGTGTGTGTGGCTGCTTGTACTAGTCCGGACTGATGCCGATTTATAGTGCTAGCTCACTGAGATACCATGCCGCAGTTTAACATGAATACCCCACTCAGACACAGTATACTGACTCCGAGCCGACCAGTCCTTGTTTTAGCCCCTTAATGCCGAGCGCCAGACAGGGTAACAACAAGTACAACCTTTTAACGTCTTTTTGTATGACGCGGTCGGGGATCGAACCCCGGACCTTCCGCTCTCCGGGCGGACGCTCTACCACTAGACCACGGAGGCGGTCACATTTCGTTGTGAGGGGTACCACCGGTGGAGTAGGATACACTCTCCTTTTCGTGAACACCTGGTATCATTCATAGTGATTCCTAAACACGTGTTTATGATAAAGTCGGTATCGCACACTGGACTCTGACCTCACCTATGCGTAAATAAAGCGAAATACAGAGAACCTCGTTAATACGGAAATCTCGCTAACCGGACGATTTTTTTTTATGTTTACATGTGCATATAATTATTCATTGCAATTACATTATTTGTTAATTTGAAAATAGGGTAGTTTCGACAATTTCACTGGAATCAGCAGCATTCTGTTTAACAGGGGTTCATGTTAATCTTGCAGTGACCGTAGTAGCATGGTTTAAGACAGTGAGTGAGTGTGTATGGTTTTACGCCGCTTTGAGTAATATTCCATTAATATCATAGGCTTAACACATTGTACCCATGTCAGGAATCGAACCTGGGTCTTCGGCGTGACGAGTGAACGCTTTAACCACTGGGTTACCCGACCGCACCTGGTTTGAGACAAGCGAGTTGAAAACGATCCACGCGAAGATCATTGTTACGCTCTTTCGGAAAACACAACATATTTGACACTCGTTTCCGTAAAACCTGTACAACACACGTTGTTATGGGATATCATCAGTGTCTCGCTCTGATGTATCAGAATGTAAGCATTTGCTTGGAACAACGATGACATTTAGCAATACTCTTTCCCGTGGGTGACATCCAATTAACTCACACATATGGTGAGCGTTACAGGTGTGAACAACATTATTGATAAATACAATGAGTGAAGGAAGGAATGTCAAAGCATATGTCGAAAACTGACATGAGAAAGGGGTTCAACAAATAATGAACAGAATTGACAGTTACTTGATGCATTTATAGCTCGAACGGTCTTGAACGGTCTTGAACAGTCTTGAACAATCTTGAACAGTCTTGAACAGTCTTGAATGGTCTTGAACAGTCTTGAACGGTCTTGAACGGTCTTGAACAGTCTTGAACGGTCTCGAACTTGTCCAATACAAAGTGTAGCCGTAGGTTCGAACCCAAGATTTGCCCAAACAATTCCCATATGTTTGAAGTAATTGATAAACGCCCATGACATTCATTAACTGTTACCCTTCTGCCATAACAACTAACTCCCTCACAAACGGAACGCCACATATCTCATAATTACTCCGAAAAACAGAGCCTATTTCAATTGTTTCTAGAGAATGCTTTTGTAAAACTTTTGCCAATGATATTGTAAAGCGCGTGTTTATGTCTTGTACGATCAATATGACATACTGGAGCGCGAGAGGAGTCAACACGAACATTCTGCATGCGATTCGTTAAAAATGTATTTAGCCAGCTGATAATCGCTATTCACATTTCTACTAGTGAGGTTTTGCATTACAACACTTCCGGGCAAAATAAAGTATACACTTGAAATTTGTTACTATGCTAAAAAATGTCGCCGAAACATTGTAAACTTAAGGTGCGAAACACAACTATGATACCCGTATCAAATACATCACCATTGGAGAACCATTTCACGTTTGTTTCATTTTCAGCCACCACCAAACTTGGATGTATACTTTCTTTTGCCCGGCAGTTTATATGTTAGATGTAACGTCCCTGGCTAAGTAGGAGGGTACTGCGACCTCGTCAACAGAAGGCACGTCCCTGGCTGTGTAGGAGGGTACTGCGACCTCGTCAACAGAAGGCACGTCCCTGGCTGTGTAGGAGGGTACTGCGACTTCGTCAACAGAAGGCACGTCCCTGGCTGTGTAGGAGGGTACTGCGACCTCGTCAACAGAAGGCACGTCCCTGGCTGTGTAGGAGGGTACTGCGACCTCGTCAACAGAAGGCACGTCCCTGACTGTGTAGGAGGGTACTGCGACCTCGTCAACAGAAGGCACGTCCCTGGCTGTGTAGGAGGGTACTGCGACCACGTCAACGGAAGGCACGTCCCTGGCTGTGTAGGAGGGTACTGCGACCTCGTCAACAGAAGGCACGTCCCTGGCTGTGTAGGAGGGTACTGCGACCTCGTCAACAGAAGGCACGTCCCTGGCCAAGTAGGAGGGTACTGCGACACTGTCAACAGAAGGCACGTCCCTGGCTAAGTAGGAGGGTACTGCGACCTCGTCAACAGAAGGCACGTCCCTGGCCAAGTAGGAGGGTACTGTGACCCTGTCAACAGAAGGCACGTCCCTGGCTAAGTAGGAGGGTACTGCGACCTCGTCAACAGAAGGCACGTCCCTGGCTAAGTAGGAGGGTACTGCGACCTCGTCAACAGAAGGCACGTCCCTGGCTAAGTAGGAGGGTACTGCGACCTCGTCAACAGAAGGCACGTCCCTGGCTAAGTAGGAGGGTACTGCGATCTTGTCAACAGAAGGCACGTCCCTGGCTGTGTATGAGGGTACTGCGACCCTGTCAACAGAAGGCACGTCCCTGGCTACGTAGGAGGGAACTGCGACCTCGTAAACAGAAGGCACGTCCCTGGCTACGTAGGAGGGAACTGCGACCTCATAAACAGAAGGCACGTCCCTGGCTAAGTAGGAGGGTACTGCGACCTCGTCAACAGAAGGCACGTCCCTGGCTGTGTAGGAGGGTACTGCGACCTCGTCAACAGAAGGCACGTCCCTGGCTAAGTAGGAGGGTACTGCGACCTCGTCAACAGAAGGCACGTCCCTGGCTGTGTAGGAGGGTACTGCGACCTCGTCAACAGAAGGCACGTCCCTGGCTGTGTAGGAGGGTACTGCGACCACGTCAACGGAAGGCACGTCCCTGGCTGTGTAGGAGGGTACTGCGACCTCGTCAACAGAAGGCACGTCCCTGGCCAAGTAGGAGGGTATTGCGACACTGTCAACAGAAGGCACGTCCCTGGCCAAGTAGGAGGGTACTGCGACCTCGTCAACAGAAGGCACGTCCCTGGCCAAGTAGGAGGGTACTGTGACCCTGTCAACAGAAGGCACGTCCCTGGCTAAGTAGGAGGGTACTGCGACCTCGTCAACAGAAGGCACGTCCCTGGCTAAGTAGGAGGGTACTGCGACCTCGTCAACAGAAGGCACGTCCCTGGCCAAGTAGGAGGGTATTGCGACACTGTCAACAGAAGGCACGTCCCTGGCCAAGTAGGAGGGTACTGCGACCTCGTCAACAGAAGGCACGTCCCTGGCCAAGTAGGAGGGTACTGTGACCCTGTCAACAGAAGGCACGTCCCTGGCTAAGTAGGAGGGTACTGCGACCTCGTCAACAGAAGGCACGTCCCTGGCTAAGTAGGAGGGTACTGCGACCTCGTCAACAGAAGGCACGTCCCTGGCTAAGTAGGAGGGTACTGCGACCTCGTCAACAGAAGGCATGTCCCTGGCTAAGTAGGAGGGTACTGAGATCTTGTCAACAAAAGGCACGTCCCTGGCTGTGTATGAGGGTACTGCGACCCTGTCAACAGAAGGCACGTCCCTGGCTACGTAGCAGGGAACTGCGACCTCGTCAACAGAAGGCACGTCCCTGGCTACGTAGGAGGGAACTGCGACCTCGTCAACAGAAGGCACGTCCCTGGCTACGTAGGAGGGAACTGCGACCTCGTAAACAGAAGGCAAGTCCCTGGCTGTGTATGAGGGTACTGCGACCCTGTCAACAGAAGGCACGTCCCTGGCTAAGTAGGAGGGTACTGCGACCCTGTCAACAGAAGGCACGCCCCTTGCTACGTAGCAGAATAGTGCAACCTCGTCAACAGAAGGCACGTCCCTGGCTGTGTATGAGGGTACTGCGACCCTGTCAACAGAAGGAAAGTCCCTGGCAACGTAGGAGGGTAGTGCGACCCTGTCAACAGAAGGCACGTCCCTGGCTACGTAGGAGGGTACTACGACCCTGTCAACAGAAGGCAAGTCCCTGGCGACGTAGGAGGGAACTATACGACCCTGTCAACAGAAGGCACGTCCCTGGCTGTGTAGGGGGGTACTGCGACCCCGTCAACAGAAGGCACGTCCCTGGCTGTGTAGGAGGGAACTGCGACCCTGTCAACAGAAGGCACGTCCCTGGCTACGTAGGAGGGAACTGCGACCTCGTAAACAGAAGTCACGACTCTGGCCGCGTGGCAAGTTACTGCGACTTATTGTGCACAGTTGGGCAGATCCGAGGAAGCTCCACATCAGCCCTATTAGGAATATATTTGTACATTGTAGATGTATACCCCGCAGTTGGGCAGATACAAGGAATATTCCTATCAGGCATAAGATTATGACAACATAGTTGCATATCACATAGTTTAGGTTAATTATAACGTAGATGCAATCAACAAAACGTACAACTTTTTGGATAACAATTTCTTGTTTATTTCATTAAGCGATAAGATTATTACCACGTTATCAAGCTGGGGTGAATACAACCAAGTAATGTGAGGTGTATTCACATGATAAACAACCACGGGTAATGGATAACAAGGAGCACGCGGATAACAGGACGACTCCAGATGTGAAGTAAGAATACCAACAAGCACACGGGTACTGAAGCCGGACATACAGTGAGGAATAAGAGGTTGATCAAGCCGATTGGACACTAATTAAAGCAGTTGAAGACGCTGAGTGGATACTTATAAAAAGTGTCTATTGTTTGAGTACATCTCCAAAGGCAGAAGAGATGTACATTGTAATTCCCTTAAGCTTGCTCTCTGTTGATCAAAGATTTGTGACGGCGGATTTCTATGGCTAAGTTTTGATGTTTGATCAAAAGTGAGTGAGTGAGTGAGTGAGTGAGTATGGTTTTACGCCGCTTTTAGCAATATCCCAGCAATATCACGGCGAGGAACATCAGAAATGGGCTTCACACATTGTACCCATGTCGGGAATCGAACCCGGGTCTTCGGCGTGACGAGCGAACGCTTTGATAACCACTAGGTTACCCGACGCCCCTGTTTGGGAGAGAGGATTTGGAACTTGTCAAACTGAATTTGAATGGCTGGGGAACTTTGGCTGATGGTCTGAGAGGGCTGATTTGCTGTCGGCTTTGTCTGTTGAAGTTCTACGTTCTTTGAAGCGGGTATCTATTTGGCGGGAGGTTTCACCAATGTACGACGAGTCGCCACAGTCACATCTTATGGTGAGTGAGTATGGTTTTACGCCGCTTTTAGCACTATTCCAACAATATCACGAAGGGGAACACCTGAAATGGGCTTCATTGTTATCTTATAGATTATTCTTTTTTTCTTTTCATTTTTTGGAGGGGGGTGGGGGGTGGGGGTGGGGTGCTTGTTGGAGGGAGGGATACGGACATTAGCTTGGAACTTAGTTTGGTATGGGGGGGTGAGGGAATCGAATTACCTATCTTCCGCTCTCCGGGGAGACGCTCGGAGGCCATCACCACAATTAGGGAAACGGGTTAGAATGGGTCATCGAATGTTGGAGGAGACTTAGTGGACCGGGTGGTCAGCCAAATTGCATAGATCGATGCTCATGATGTCAATCACTTGGTTGTATGCCCCAGACACGATTGTTTACAGATCGCCGCCATATAGCCGGGCAATTGCCCAGTGCCACGTTAAATAACACACACACACACGCACGCAAGCACGCACACACTGACTGTACATTAGGCTGAAGTCTCCTGCATGTGTATAAAACGCACCCCGATCCGTCCTGTTTTCCACCCGGATCTAGTCAGTACAATTACCCCTGGGTGTAAGAAGACCCCCGCCCACGCTACCTGGATAGGGCTGCATTTTATTTGTCTGAAAAACAAGGGATTCATAAAATCGTTTTCACGTTGTCATGGTAACCCCTGACGTAATCTGAACCCATAGCGTGTTAACTAGTTTCATCAAAACCAGAGATTAAAACATAACCAAAAGTTTAAACTTATGCAAGTAACAAATACTGTTATCACGGCAAATAAATATCAAATAGGTCAAATATAATATTACAATACAGCTTAACTTCATGAATATAGGTGAAGTACAAACGAAAACACACTTTTATTTCGCTTTGAATTTTCTGAAATTTGAATTTTTGAACACCGTTGATTTTAAAACGAAATCTGTAAACCAAGTGTAATAAAAAGAATTAAAGGCCTAAATGATTTGGGAAAAATATTTGAGCAAGATAATAACTTGTAAAACAGAACACGGTTATAAACATATATGTATATACATATATATTTATATACATATATATTTTACATACTAACAGAGCGGTTGAGGTACTCATTTGAGTTTTATTGTGAAAAAAAACCACTATTATAACTGCATAATCATCCACTCCACAAAAATGAGTTAAAGCAACGATCAACTGAGCATGAGTGTATTTTACGAACGCTTCTAGCTAAGATTGACTTTGCACAATGTGGACAGAGCTCGTCTTCAGATGAGCTGTGAGGCCTTCAAGCAGGCAGTATTCAGGTAGTTAACGGATAAGGCAACTTTAGACGAGCCCAACTTTGTACATTCCGACCACATCCTTAACCTCATCACATGACAAGATGATATTGATTGCTCTCATAGGAATATACTTCGGGGATTTCACCATCTTCAGCAGCATGTCTGTGGACCACGTCTTCCCAGCGCCGATTTTCCTATACAGAAGCAAAGATCGACATAAATTCATTATCTCTAGGTTCATGCTCATGTGTATTTTATTACTTTACTATAACTGAATAAATAAAGTTCATAAATGATCTGTGAAATTAGAGAGAGACCTTAATTACAGTTTTAAATAACCGCTAGTATATTGTTAAGGGCGTAACATATATAATTGTCATTCAAGAACATATTCCCAACAGCTTCTCATTTCATTTTGTATTCAGTGTCACCTACAGAGGATGCAATTTAGTCCTACGACTGATTTTGCAACAAAATTATCACTTCCCTTTATCTTACCCTAGAGTTTGTTATGAACACTGAACCTATAGTTAGTTGTGAACACTAAACCTATAGTTAGTTGTGAACACTGAACTTACCCTAGAGTTTGTTGTGAACACTGAACCTAGAGTTGGCTGTGAACACTGAACTTACCCTAGAGTTTGTTATGAACACTAAACCTATAGTTAGTTGTGAACACTGAACTTACCCTAGAGTTTGTTGTGAACACTGAACCTAGAGTTGGCTGTGAACACTGAACTTACCCTAGAGCTAGATATGAACACTGCACTTACCCTGGAGTTAGTTGTGAACACTGAACTTACCCTAGAGTTGGTTGTGAACACTTACCCCAGATTTTGTTATGAACACCGAACATATAGTTAGTCGTGAACACTGAAACTAGAGTTGGCTGTGAACACTGAACTTACCCTAGAGCTAGATATGAACACTGCACTTACCCTAGAGTTGGTTGTGAACACTTACCCTAGAGTTTGTTATGAACACCGAACCTATAGTTAGTTGTGAACACTGAACTTACCCTAGAGCTAGATATGAACACTGCACTTACCCTAGAGTTGTGAACACTTACTCAAGAGTTAGTGGTGAACACTGAACCTATAGTTAGTTGTGAACACTGAACTTACTCTAGAGTTAGTTGTGAACACTGAACTTACCCTAGAGTTGGTTGTGAACACTTACTCTTGAGTTGGTTGTGAACACTTACCCTAGAGTTTGTTATGAACACCGAACATATAGTTAGTCGTGAACACTGAACCTAGAGTTGGCTGTGAACACTGAACTTACCCTAGAGCTAGATATGAACACTGCACTTACCCTAGAGTTGTGAACACTTACTCAAGAGTTAGTGGTAAACACTGAACCTATAGTTAGTTGTGAATACTGAACTTACCCTAGAGTTAGCTGTGAACACTGTCTTTACGCAAGAGTTAGTGGTGAACACTGAATCTAGAGTTGGTTGTGAACACTGAACATACCCTAGAAGTAGTTGTTAACACAGAACTTACCCTAGAGTTAGTTGTGAACACAGAACTTACCCTAGAGTTAGTTGTGAACACAGAACTTACCCTAGAGTTAGTTGTGAACACAGAACTTACCCTAGAGTTAGTTGTGAACACTGAACTTACCCTAGAGTTAGTTGTGAACACAGAACTTACCCTAGAGTTAGTTGTGAACACTGAACTTACCCTAGAGTTAGTTGTGAACACAGAACTTACCCTAGAGTTAGTTGTGAACACTGAACTTACCCAAGAATTAGTTGTGAAAACTGTGCTTGCCCCAGAGTTGAACTTACCTTGCAGCTATTGTGAATACTGATCTTACCATATAGCGAGTTGTAAAGACAATGCGTACTCTACAGCTAATAGTGAATACCGAATTTACTCTAAATAACGTAGTTGTGAATATTGAGCTTACCCTACAACTAGTTGTGAAGACAACGCTTACTCTACAGCTAATAGTGAATACCGAATTTTCTTTAATAACGTAGTTGTGAATACTGAGCTTACCCTATAGTCATCTCCTGCTGGCTCTCGTCCACACACTTCATGTTGCCCTCGACGCCCAGCTTGCAGTTTGTCAACGGTTTCCGCAGAGTGTTGTTAAAGGATACCTTCACAGTGACCTGGCCCTCTTTCTTACACTTCTCGGGACCCTGGAAGCATTGTATGACATTGTAGGGAAGAATCATTTGTATATTAAGTAACTGTAATTGACCTTTTTCACACTTCGCTACTTCCGGTTTGAAAGCGAGGCTTGGAGAGCAGAAGGTGAAGGCTGGATAGCACATGAAACACATGGAGATGTCAACAAGGCATGCAATCGGGACAAACTGTGACAATTTAACCATCCCGGTACATTTATCGTAAGTATTGAACATTATTCTTATTAACAAACTATTCTACTGTTATCTGGTCTCCTTATCGATATAAATTTGAGTCTGGCCGTTCTGTTGTGATTTCAATTTAAAATATCCATGACCACCTGGTAACTCCCAGTGCAGTTTATGGTAGCTGAACAGACTTAATACAAATTCTACTGAAATCTTGTAAAAAATAATTCATTGTTTACACACCATTAAGCCAAACTATTTATTGTGAGTTTAAATAACTTTGCGGGTTGTATTTAAAGTCGAAATATTGACCTTTTGACCATATCTAGATATATGTCAGAAACTAACTAAATTGATATGTTGATATAATGTATCAAATTGTAACCTACTGAGAATTTACAATCGTAACAAATCAGAAGTTTGCATCAGTTGTGTATTTGATGTAAATTGTAATGGACTCAAATGCATTCCAATAAAATATTAGACCTCTAGATCTACTTGTGCTGTTGGGATTGTGAACAGTTGTTATTTTGATTGTCAATGTTGACAGATTAGATAGCATGAGGTGTAATATTTCAACTGAATTATTACATAAAGGGTGTGTAAATATTTAAAGTAAAGTACAGTTTGATCTGCAATTTTGGTAACAATTAATATTTCTACCAAAATGATATTTACATTACTGTACCAATTTAATCATGTCATGAAATGATCAAAAACCCAACTAATAATGTCCAGTAAATGTTCAATCTACATGTGATCTTTATATAATTTACAGAAACAGATAACTCTTTAACAGTTTGTATTCAAATATTTCAAATGCATAAATTGATATTGACATTACTAAAAACTTAAAGTATAAAAAGAATTATTTTTAATTCCCATGCGTATTGCAATCATAACTCATTTATTCCCTTTGTTTAATTGTGAAACCCATCTGGTTTTATGTCCACAAACATGTTTTGAAACTTTTAAAACAAAAAGATATTTTTGGGTGCAAGCAATTGCCATGTATTATTGATTATTAATCATATCAATTTATATATAAGAATATAGTTGTGCTTACTGTGTCATTTTGCAATAATTATATTGTTATGATGTAATATTTTACTAAAGTTAACAATCTTTAGAACTTTAGTTTATTTCAATCAAGTCAAGTGGTGTGATCATTTTGATATTTTTTTATAATTCAATCAAAACGAGAAAAATAAAAAAATATAAATACATAGAAGAAATTTGTTTTCCTTGTCAAATTACGATGATAGCATGAATTTATCTCATGCTCCTTGTATAGCATGCTCCTTGTGAAAATTCATTCCATTTCTTCTTCGAATGTACCTTATATGATGATTTTAGGGAGACATTACTGACAGCTATCGATAATCTTGGAGGACAAAATACTGAGAAGGTGAATATGCATTGTTTATAAAAAATGTTATTGAAGTAGGAATATTATTACAATATAATAGAATTATTCATTTCAGGCCAGCGAGTCAACACAATGAAGTACTAGTATCCCGTGACGGATGTCTGGAGGAGCTTTCTGCAGACAGTAACACAATGGTTACAATGTGCGTCCTGTCAAAGGACGAGGAAGTGAAAAGCCATATTCATTCAATCAACAAATGTGGTTCCTGTCACATTTCTCTTAAATAGGACGAGGAACTGAAAATCCTTATTCACTCACAAATCAAAATGGCCAATATTTATCAGACACTTAAAAAGCACATTGTACCATTTGTTTACAAGCAAGAAAATTATTTTCTCCTGGAATTTAATTAGGTGCTTTTGACTGACAAAGACACCCAGTCCATGTTAAGTTTTGAAAACTTATATTGTGAGAAATAAAGATATGAAAATTTTGGTTTGTTTTTCTTTGTAAAATATGAGAAATCCAGATTGTTCCATCAACATAATTTGTACCGATACATATATTTTATCTTGGCTTGATTACCAATTGAAGTTGATTCCTTTTTATCTTTTGTTATTTTATCTGTACTCATATCTGATCAAGACATTTTCAAACTATTCAGGATAAATGTATTAGTAGCTTCCTTTTGATATACAATTACCTTTCATCATACAGGATTAGGTGAGGGTGTTCAAGAAGTTGGTAGTTGTATCAATTCTTATATTTCTTCAATTTCATGCATTATTTATATTTATCAATTTTTAGTTTCCTTTTAACTTATTTTAAACAGTTCACACATTATTACTTTTGTAGTGCACGGTGCAATCTCAATCGGCAATAATCAGTTAAGTAAGTGATGTTTGAAGAACAAGTAAAGTATCATCTGTCATTGTACACACTGAATAGGGTTATCGCCCCTTCTGAATATTTATTTTGACACACGAATTATTTTCATAATTAACATTGTAATATGTTAAAATGAAAATCATAGCAGAAAAAGTGTCTTTTGTCAACTGGACTCATGGCAAAACGATAGTGCGTTGTGCAGCAAACACCACTATGAAACGTGAAATAAACATGATCTCAATCTTGATCTAGAGTTTGCCAAGCCACGCATTGACTGAGCAATTTTGCAAAAGTACACTGACGTGTTTCATGTTATGCGGTTTATTTACTATAGAAAACTTCTGTCATTGAATGTACTGTCACATTGTACCTATATGCCGACGAGGTTATGATAAAACAATCTATTTCTGAAATACGTATCTCGAAATGCACCTTTCGATTCACTTCCGGGATCCTGACAGCAAAATGCTAATTCCAGTGTATAACAGGCATATTTTAGTTGGACCTCATGATTTAATGTGAAATATCTTCTGTATTATATTTTTGTTTGTTTGAAATGTCCATCAGTGAAATGCACAACATGCTGTCTATTCCCTATGAGCTGATGCGACTCTCACTGCATGGAGCTATGCTCTCCAAGCCTCGTTTTCGATCCAAGATGGCGAAAGTGTGAAAAAGGTCAATAGGTATCTCCTTAAGGAAGAAGCCATTGATGGGCTGATGTACGGTAATAATCATCACTTGGACATGACATGTGGTACAGAGATCTATTACGGGGACATGAGACGTGGTACAACGATCATCACAGGGACATGAGACGTGGTACGGGCATTATCACGGGGGGACATGGGACGTGGTACACAGATAATCAAGGGGTCATGAGCCGTGGTACTGAGATCATCACGGGACATGACACGTGGTACTGAGATCCATCACGGGGACATGACACGTGGTACAGGGATCATTACGGGGACATGAGACGTGGTACGGGGATCATCACGGGGGGACATGGGACGTGGTACAGAGATCATCAAGGGGACATGAGACGTGGTACGGGCATCACCACGGGGACATGAGACGTGGTACAGAGATCATCAAGGGGACATGAGACGCGGTACGGGCATCACCACGGGGACATGGGACGTAGTACTGGGATCATCACGGGGACATGAGACGTGGTACATAGATCATCAAGGGGACATGAGACGTGGTACGGTGATCATCACGGGGACATGACACGTGGTACAGGGATCATCACGGGGACAAGACACGTGGTACGGTGATCATCACGGGGACATGAGACGTGGTACAGGGATCATCACGGGGACATGAGACGTGGTACGGTGAGCATCACGGGGACATGAGACGTGGTACAGGGATCATCACGGGGACATGAGACGTGGTACGGTGAGCATCACGGGGACATGAGACGTGGTACAGGGATCATCACGGGGACATGGGACGTGGTACAGAGATCATCACGGGGACATGAGACGTGGTACAGAGATCATCACGGGGACATGAGACGTAGTACCGAGATCATCACGGGGACACGAGACGTGGTACGGTGATCATCACGGTGACATGAGACGTAGTACGGAGGTCATCACGGGGACATGAGACGTGGTACAGGGATCATCACGGGGACATGATACGTGGTACGGAGATCATGACGGGGACATGAGACGTAGTACGGAGATCATCAAGGGGACATGAGACGTGGTACAACGATCATCACGGGGACATGGGACGTAGTACTGGAATCATCACGGGGACATGAGACGTGGTACAGAGATCATCACGGGGACATGAGACGTGGTACAGAGATCATCACGGGGACATGATAGGTGGTACAGAGATCATCAAGGGGGCATGGCACGAGATCATCATGGCTTAAGACACCACAATGCACCCTACACTGATCCGCTGATCGTGGATGCATCTGGGAGATTAAGGGTGTCTCAGCTAGTTGTCTTAATAAAACAAGACTACGAGTTTCTTAATTTGGACTTTATCTATTACAGTATCATTTCTTTACCGTTATCTTCAGTGGCGGATTGCGCACATAAACCCTTCTTGATGTTTTCAGACTGTTTCCGGATTCCTTGACGGTCGCCACGGCCTTGCACACATAAGTGGACCCTCTTTTAGGCTTATCAAGGTCTAACATGGTATCAACCTTTACCTTGATCACCTTCACTGTAATATTTATAGCAATAACAATAACAATTATAATTATAATAACAACAATGATAATACTACTACTACTACTGATGATGATGATGATGATGATGATGATGATGATGATGATAAGGCCTTGGTGATGTACGCCTCTCCGTGGTGGTCCATGATAGGGAGGATTTATTCCCCTGAACTAAACGTACATCACCCAGTTAGGGCTAACCCCCAAACCTGGTTAACTATTGTGTTACAGATCAGTTTGAAGAAAGTCATCATTCAACTCAACAGCCCAGTCAGCCTCCCTCCGGTACACAAACCAACCAAACTGCAGATGGGACTTGCCCCAGGGAAGGCACAGAACCCATCCAAAATTATCTTGGACGCAACAACTCAAGTCCACAATTCTTGAGTGTGCGAAAGCAACAGGATGGCCAGAAACATCACGAATAAATGGCAAATTACGGAAGCAGCATTGGGATAAAGCCATGACAATGTATCCATACCTGACAGAGCCGAATATTCGCGACCACCTATGGCGACTGAAGTTGTATATTTGCCGTGAGCGTGGTGAGCTAACTGTCAACACTCGTCAGGCGACTTTGCATGAACCCTCGGTTCCAATAGTAGAAGGCCGGTAATTACAAATGGACGTGCGCACTGTTCTCCCTAAATTAACTGATGCAGTTGTCACTTATGACCCACTCATGGGGTCACAAAATGAAATCCTTTGATGTTGGCCTCGAAGATTTTGAGTTTTCCCCCTCTTCCGAACTTTCTTCTGTCGATGATCTTTCTGATGATCCCTTGTATATTTTGTTCACGTCATTATATAATCAAATCTGTGATTCACCGATTGAGAAACGGAGGCCAATATAACAATTCAGCCAATCATTTCCACAGAATCAACTTTTTAAATTAAATGACATTATTTCTGTCACTTTCAATGCGGACTGTTCTTTGCTGCTCGAACACTGGAAGAACTCCATACAGTTTCCAAAGACAATGAACCATAAAAGGCTAATAAACAAAAACATCAAAAGAAAAACCGATTCCAGATAAAACTAAATGAAACAAGGAAAGATCTATCCTGGATAGAACTTTGTTTGAAATTACGTTCCTCAGGGGAATCAATTTGGAAAAGGATAACAACAAAATACAAGACAACAAAAGTGACAATTCTATATCAAGTTATTGATTCTCTGAAGACAAAGTTAAAGGTTTGGACAGAAAGAAAAAGAAAGTGGGACAAGAAAATTAATTTCATTAAACAAAATAAACTGTTTAAATCTAATGAAAAACAATTTTACAGGCAATTACACGCAACCGATGGCGGTGAAGAGAAAAGACCCACCAAGGAGTCCAAGGACACGGCAACTGCAACCTCGAGGAACCATGGGAAGCAGATTACATGGATAATGTACATCACTAAATAAAGTCACCATTGTTGTGTTTCATTACACCTCATTGCCTGAAAAGGGTAACTGAAAAGTCCAAATCTAATACAGCGCCAGGGCCTGAATGTATTCGAAACCGGTTTTGGAAATCGTTTCCTTGTGTCCAAACAGCATTACTTCACCGTTTAAATTTTCTTGTGGATACAGGGGATGTTCCGCCTTGGTTGTGCAAAGGCCGAACAATACTTCTCCTTCATTAAGGTGACTTGATTGATCCCCAAAACTTCCGCCCTTTTACTTGTCTAAATACACAGGAAAAAATATTCACAGGGTGTCTCACAGATCTTGTGTATTGCTGGGTTCAGCGTTATACAACAAACAAACAAGACTTTGTGTTATCATTCTGCGCTTCCAATGACATTATTTACATGGAGCAGAAAGGAGCAAGAAAGGGATGCTGGTGTTGCTAGTTCAGAAAAGGATCCTTGAAGAGGGTAAAACTTATCAACTCTCAATGTGTTTGATCGACAACAGAAAAACGTATGATTCTGTACCTCACAAATGGATTTTGAAGTCACTAGAATGCATTGACCACCTTGAGCGACCACTCAAGTCTTCAATGACTTGCTGGTCAACTCAACTTGAGATGTATTTGCAGGGGCAGGTGGTGACTTCGAACCCATTTCAATTAGAAGGGGGATTCTTCAGGGCAATTATATAAGTAATTTGCTTTTCTGTTTGTCACTAAATCCTTTAAGCTTTTGGCTCCGCAAAGAGGAAGGTTATCATCCTGGACCTCCTAAGCACAGATCCTCAACACCCCTTACTCACCTCCTTTCCATGGATGACCTTGACCTTATTGCCAATGCCAATTGTCTTCGCGGTGCTTGTGGTTTTGACAAAGAGGTCACATCAGACATATCCAGGTCAACAATCTTGTCCTTTTTGAAAAATCCAATGTAACTATTTATATTATTGAATTTTGTGTCCCGTTTGACACTAATGAGATTGACACGCGGACCACGCTTTCGAAATGTCACGCTTGCATCCCAAGTACCAAGTTGTCCGATTCCCCAATGTTCTTGGTGACTTAGGTTTGGTACCTCCCAATCTGTTGACTGACATTGGGAGAGTACCGGGGTTTGCTACCACCATCCCTTCTGAAATCTGGGTTATGCAGAAGGCTGCAGTTTTGGGGAGTCTTCACATTCTCCAAAATGTTCTGGGTGGGTTTGACTAGGCATTGCTTCCTGGGAGAAGTCCCATTCGCTGTCTGGGCTGCGTGTAGAGGGGGCAAAGGCCCTGAGCTAATGATGAGCCTTACAAGCCTGACTGTGTCAGGATCACCCTAACCCTTTTTGCTGCATTTTTTAAATTTTAATCTGTAGATAATAATAAAAAATAACGATAATATTGTACACTCAGCTTCTAAAGTGTCTGCATCCACTACCCAATTCACCATTGTATTCACAAACTACTTAAAAACGTTTCAGGGAACAGCGGCGCTCAGTACCTGAACTCAGCAGGCCTTCGAAGTATGTTCATGTTTGATACACAACTTTGCAAAAGCTCACTGGTGCCACTTTGTTAGTATATTTTATTTTTTTAAATCGTGTTTTTGTGTATTTGTCTCGTTATTTCAATTATTTATTTATTTTCGAAATTCGCATATTTTCTCGTTATTTCGAATAATCAAAACACTTAATTTAAATATCGGAGTTTGGGGAAAATTCTTTATTTTTTTCATAATTTCCATTATTTTCATGTTATTTCAATTATTTATTTATTTGGAAATTCGAATTGTTTTTTTTATTAATCATATTTACAAATTCGATATTTCATTTTTTTGCTGTATTTCGATTATTTTGTTGAAATGTAAATTATTTTTGTATCTTCGAAACAAAATCTCTTTTTTCTTTCATAACTTTGATTATTTTTCTCGATATACACTAATAAGAAATACGAGAAAATAATCGCAATTAAAATAATCGAAATTCGATTTTATACCAAAGAGGCACCATTTAAGCTTTCGTATAACTTAAATAAACTGCACTAAACATCAAGGTAATAGTCCTTACCATCTCCCACGTTCATGACGAGGTCGGCAATCTTCTTCTCAGCTACAGTCGCCAACGTTTTGCCGGTGTAGTCAGTATTAGTTGCCTTCAGGGAGATGGTGACTGTGCGAGCCAAGTCGCCGGTGTTCCTCACAGTCGACTTAAAGTCAAACTCGGAACCCAAGTACACCCCGTCTATCTCTTCAAGTGTTAGTTCAACAGCCTATAAAAATCAACGGAATCACATAATTCTTATTATATTCTGAAACATTCGTAAATATTTGGGGTTCCCCTCCATCCTTACCTCTACTGGTGGTGTTCCCCTTCATCCTTACCTCTACTGGTGGTGTTCCCCTTCATCCTTACCTCTACTGGTGGTGTTCCCCTCCATCCTTACCCTTACTGGTGGTGTTCCCTTCCATCCTTACCCCTACTGGTGGTGTTCCCCTCCATCCTTACCTCCTGGCGGTGTTCCCCTCCATCATTACCTCTACTGGCGGTGTTCCCCTCCATCCTTACCTCTACTGGTGGTGTTCCCGCCCATCCTTACCTCCACTGGTGTTGGCTCCTCCCCTTCTTCTCCATCAAAGTTGGCCAACCTAAACGTCCGCTCCGCCCGTCGGAACGCGGCACGCTCTTCTTTGGAACCTGGAATTAGTTCCATAGCAAGATATCTCTCAGTTCAACCTATAGCTGATAACTGCATACTTGTACTCTCTCTTAGGATATTTGTACTACCTCTTATTATAGTTGTACTCACTCTTAGTATACGTAAATTAACTCTTAGTACAGTGGTACTCAATCTTAGTATACTTGTACTAACTCTTAGTATAGTTTTACTCAGTCTTAGTATACTTGTACTAACTCTTAGTGGGGACACATGGGGCCCAGTCGTCTAAGGCGCCGTGATTCGCTGTGCGTCCCTTGGGCACGCCAGAAACCTATGACCCCGGATTATGTTTCTAAGTTTGTCAGCACCATACCCGTGCTCGTGGGTTTCACCGAAATGGTAAACGTCTAGGACCTGCATCACTTCGGGCGTTCCTCCCACATTAAGCTGACACGCGGTGATATAACTGGAATACTGTCAAAAGTGGCGTTAATCCCAACTCACTTACTCACTCACTCAATAACTCTTAGTATACTTGTACTGACTCTAAGGATACTTGTAACCGCTTTTAGGAAACCTGTATCAACTGTTGTCCGCATCAGTTTTCTCTGTATATAATGTTTATAGCGTCATACTACTATTCCTACCCATCTTCCTATATAACAATGTTGTATATCGATATTTATATGCTGACACTTTACAGTTATACATCTATATCGATCAAAGTCTGACGTACCTTCCTCATACTTGTACTCTCTCGTGATGTCAAGTCTTTCTGTGTCGTCTTCGTCCTTCTTGTACGGCTCGCCGGTCGGCGCATGGGTACTGATGCACTTGCCAATACTGGAAGGTATCGTGTTAGGTGATATAACCTCATTGGTACTGATATATTTGCCAACACTGGAAGGTATCGTGTTACGTGATATAGCCTCATTGGTACTGATATATTTGCCAACACTGGAAGGTATCTTGTTACGTGATATAGCCTCATTGGTACTGATATACTTGCCAACACTGGAAGGTATCGTGTTAGGTGATATAGCCTCATTGGTACTGATATACTTGCCAACACTAGAAGGTATCGTGTTAGGTGATATAGCCTCATTGGTACTGATATACTTGCCAACACTGGAAGGTATCGTGTTAGGTGATATAGCCTCATTGGTACTGATATACTTGCCAACACTGGAAGGTGTCGTGTTAGGTGATATAGCCTCATTGGTACTGATATACTTGCCAACACTGGAAGGTATCGTGTTAGGTGATATAGCCTCATTGGTACTGATATACTTGCCAACACTGGAAGGTGTCGTGTTAGGTGATATGGCATCATTGGTACTGATATACTTGCCAACACTGGAAGGTATCGTGTTAGGTGATATGGCATCATTGGTACTGATATACTTGCCAACACTGGAAGGTATCGTGTTAGGTGATATAGCCTCATTGGTACTGATATGCTTGCCAACGCTGGAAGGTATCGTGCTAGGTGATATAGCCTCATTGGTACTAATATACTTGCCAACAATTGAGTGAGGGAGTGAGTTAGTGAGTGAGTGAGTTGGGTTAAACGCCGCTTGTCAGCTTAATGTGGAAGGAACGTCAGAAGTGATGCAGGTTTCAGACGTTTACCACTTTGGTGAAACCCACGAGCACGAGTATGGTGCTGATAAACCTAGAAACATAACCTGAGCAACCCGGGATTCGGAACCGTCAATCCTGTTTTAGCGTGCCCAAGGGGACGCAACTCTGCACAGCGAATTGCAGCGCTCTGGACGACTGGGCCACCCCTGTCCCTCCCCGCCAACACTGAAAGGTATCATGTTACATGCTATAGCCTAAAGGGTATTGATATCCAAGCCCAAACTGAAAGGTATCATGTTACATGCTATAGCCTAAAGAGTATTGATATCCAAGCCCAAATTGAAAGGTATTATGTTACATGCTATAGCCTAAAGGGATTTGATATCCAAGCCCAAACTGGAAGGTATCATGTTACATGCTATAGCCTAAAGGGTATTGATATCCAAGCCCAAATTGAAAGGTATTATGTTACATGCTATAGCCTTAAGGGATTTGATATCCAAGCCCAAACTGGAAGGTATCATGTTACATGCTATAGCCTAAAGGGTATTGATACCCAAGCCCAAACTGAAAGGTATCATGTTACATGCTATAGCCTAAAGGGTATTTATACCTAAGCCCAAACTGAAAGGTATCATGTTACATGCTATAGCCTAAAGGGTATTAATATCCTAGCCCAAACTGAAAGGTATCATGTTACATGCTATAGCCTAAAGAGTATTGATACCCAAGCCCAAACTGAAAGGTATTATGTTACATGCTATAGCCTAAAGGGTATTGATATCCTAGCCCAAACTGAAAGGTATCATGTTACATACTATAGCCTAAAAAGTATTGATATCCAAGCCCAAACTGGAAGGTATCATGTTACATGCTATAGCCTAAAGAGTATTGATACCCAAGCCCAAACTGGAAGGTATCATGTTACATGCTATAGCCTAAAGGATATTGATATCCAAGCCCAAACTGAAAGGTATCATGTTACATGCTATAGCCTAAAGGGTATTGATACCCAATCCCAAACTGAAAGGTATCATGTTACATGCTATAGCCTAAAGGGTATTAATATCCTAGCCCAAACTGAAAGGTATCATGTTACATGCTATAGCCTAAAGGGTATTGATATCCAAGCCCAAACTGGAAGGTATCATGTTACATGCTATAGCCTAAAGGGTATTGATATCCAAGCCCAAACTGAAAGGTATCATGTTACATGCTATAGCCTAAAGGGTATTGATATCCAAGCCCAAACTGGAAGGTATCATGGTAGAGCCTAAAGGGTATTGATACACTTGCCATAACTGGAAGGTATCATGTTACATGGTATAGCCCAACGAGTATTTATACACTTGCCATCGCTGGAAGGTAATATGTTACATGGTATAGCCTAAAGGGAATTGATACAGTTGCCATCACTGGAAGGTAATATGTTACATAGTATAGCCAATAGGGTATTGATATACTTGCCATCACTGGAAGGTAATACGTTACATGGTATAGCATAAATAGTAGTGATACACTTGCCATCACTGAAAGATACCATGTTACATGGTATAGCCTAAAGTTTACTGATACACTTGCCATCATTGGAATGTAATATGCTACATGGTATAACCTTACGGGAATCGATACACTTGCCATCACTGGAAGGTAATATGTTACATGGTATAGCCTATAGGGTATTGATAAACTTGCCGTCACCGGAAGGTAATATGTTACATGGTATATCCTGAAGGGTATTGATACACATGCCATCACTGGAAGGTAATATTGATATCAAAGACCAAACTGGAAGGTGTCATGCTACATGGTATGGCCTAAAGGGTATTGATACCCAAGCCCAAACTGAAAGGTATCATGTAACATGGTATAGCCTAACGGGTATTTATACCTAAGCCAAAACTGAAAGGTATCATGTTACATGGTATAGCCATTAAAGGGTATTGAAACACTTGCCGCAGTATTCATTAATTATCCCGTTATAACACACCATGCCTCCATCTGCGAGCCACATTAATCTGAAGATGACCCAGGTCAAGACCCTATTTTACGTACGCGTTTCTGTCCCTGGACAGTTGTATGAAGATTTTTTTCTTCGGGTCCACCAGCCACTCAACTTTGTCCCCGTTCACCTCGGCGAAGACGAATGCGGTGTCGAGACCGACATTGACGTGACCCTCCTTCACTGCGATGACGGGGCAAGGCCCGCACTGATACGAGCCTGGGGAGGGTAGAATCGATCACTTTCATGTTCAGTCAATGTCCGGCGTACCTAAATAATATTTACTTCGAAACAAGTGGAGTGCCGGTACATCAGGTTATTGACGTTGCATTTTTATTTCAAAGGCTTTTTGAATATTTCAACAGGATTGACTTTTGTGTCATTATCTGTTCTTTGTTTTCCTACCGTTAAGACATTGCAAATGACAATACGATGATCTTCTCTTTACTGTACTATCTATATGTATAGTATACTACATTACTTAGATATGTAAACATGTTACTTGTTTATTCAGCGGCCGAAAACATATCCTGTCTCTAACAAAAATCCCTGTCGGGCCCCGAATATTAATTAATGAGACGGACTCTTCATGTCGCCATGGCCACAGCACAGAGATGCACCCACCGTCACTTTCCTCCTGGGGGGTGGCGTCTATGACCTGCCAGCCGTCGTACACTAAACCTCCCCCCTCGCTGTCCGTCAGGTCCGGCCGACTCATCCACGCCTCGTTCCACACATGGAAATTCCTGGAATAACAGGTTTGGTTCCTCCCATATCATCAATCATTGTACGAAAAGACCAGGGCCAAGCAGTATTCCGACCACAGTGCCGATCATTATATGATAAATATATTGCAAGTAATTCTGTGGCATTTGATTGGCTATGAACCATGAACAAATTTATGCGTTAATTTTAGGCCACGCCCACTGACGGACTACTGTTTCCTGATTGGCTGATAATAGTGGGCGGAGCTTGTGTTGCATTATTACGCTGAAGGACGGCACTGATTTCACATCGTTGTCTACAATGTTTTTGTGTTAAAGATTATATAAGCAGTTTGTGAAGTTATTATTGTTGACGTATACACAGATTCACAGTACACACATCGTTTTTACGTTTATGAATCCATAAAGGCACAAAATATTGAAGTGAGTGAGTGAGTTGGGTTTAACGCCGCTTTTAACATTATTCCAGTTATATCGCGGCGTGCCAGCTTAATGTGGGAGGGAAGTCCGAAGTGATGCAGGTCTCAGACGTTAACCCCTTCGGTTAAACCCACGAGCACGGGTATGGTGCTGACAAACCTAGAAACATAATCGGGGTGAACCGGGATTCGAACCCACAATCATAGGTTTCTGGCGTGTCTAGGGGACGTAACTCTGCACAGCGAATCGCAAATACTGAAGTTAATTCTTACAACTCACATTAGTACCTGCGAGGACAGATATGAGAAGATCATGAGTGAGTGAGTGTGTTTGGTTTAACGCCGTTAAGAACAGTATTTCAGCTATATCACGGAGTGTCAGCTTAATGGTTGGAGGTAAACCCAAAGTGTTGCAAGTCTAAGACGTTAACCACTTCGGTTAAACCAACGAACACGGGTATGGTGCGGACAAACCTAGAAACATAATCGGGGCAAACCGGGATTCGAACCCACAATCATAGGTTTCTGTTGGCGTGCCCAAGGGACGCAACTCTGCATAGCAAATTGCGGTCCCTTAGGGCCACCCCCTATAAGGATAAAGAAAGCAAAACTAACCGTTATCATATTCTTCCTTCAGATATCAAATATCTTTGTCTTTGAGAATTAAGCGTGCAGTGGTTTTTGGTTGGACCCAATATGATTTCCACACATTTAAAAGCAAAAGGCGAATACTAAACTTCAAATGTAATTTCTGAGGTTTATTGTTTGTGTTCTATGCACAAATTATTTCGAAAGTTCGACTTCTTGTACTCCACTCAGTGTTAAAACGTCTACATTCTACCCGACCCGTGAAAATCGTGGTAGAAAATAGGTCTTCAGCAACCCATGCTTGCCATAAGAGGCGACTAACGGGATCGGGTGGTGAGGTTCGCTTACATGGCTGATACATGTCATCGTATCCCAAATGCGTAGATCGATGCTCATGATGTCTATCACTGGATTGTCTGGCCCTGACTCGATTTTTTACGGACCGCCGTCATATTGCTGAGTGCGGCGTTAAACAACAAACAAACATACAAAACATGCTACCCTAGTTTTTCTTGAAGGTTAGTTTGTTGTGAACACAGCTGGAATAACGACCAGTATGTTAAACCTTGACAATATACATGTATATGATCATTGTCATTATTAAAGTTATGTTATTAATAAGGGGGCGGTCGGGTAGCCTAGTGGTTAAAGCGTTCGCTCGTCACGATCAAGACCCGGGTTCGATTCCCGATATGGGTACAATGTGTGAAGCCCATTTCTGGTGTCCCCTGCTGTGATATTGCTGGAACATTACTAAAAGCGTTACTCACTGTTATTAATAAGAAGTATGTGATCAAACTTTCGTCTTTGTACATATTCTCGATTATGCCTACCACACGGAGTCTATTCTTTCCTCTTCCAATTCTCCATTTGGCAACTTGTAGTTGTACGTGTCACAGCTCAGGTGCTCCTTGTCAGTGTTGTGGGCCGACTCAAAGTTGGTGACACTGCGACAAGGGATGCCCAGCGCCCGACACACTGTAGGTAGACATTCATCGGTAATGGCAAGACACATGAAACACGTTGTTCCATTGTAGAGACGCATCCATAAAATCCCCGACTGAAAATGATCTTATCTCCTTGCTGTTTTATTATAATAAAACACCCCTTGAATCCCTGACTGAAAATGATCGTATCATCATGCTGTTTAAGTGTAGTAAAACACCCATAGAATCCCCGACTGAAAATGATCTTATCTCCTTACTGTTTTATTATATATATATATATATATATATATATATATATATATATATATATATATATATAATTATTATCTTGCTGTTTTATTGCAGTAAAACAAGCCGAGAATCCCCCTACAGAAAATATCTCTTATCATCTTGCTGTCATAGTAAAACACCCTAAAATACCCGTCTAAAGAAAACGCCCCATTATCAACTTGATGCTTTATTGTGTTATGCCATGATGCCGAGACCAAACTGTGCCACCTCACAACATTACTATTCTTTTGTAGTGAAGCATCGTTACTGAAAAAGTCCTTTCTTCTCTGAAGAAAATTTCCTGTCAGCAACAGTTCCCGATAATCACTGCTTTGAACCATTCGTAAAATATCCCCCGTCACACAAAACGGTCGTGGCGCTACGGTTATCTAAGGCTATGTTAAACCATGGGAGTTAAGACGGTCGCAGCGATAAGATGACTTTGGTGAATGGGTAACTCATATACAGCATCTGTGTTTAAACAGTTGTTTTACCTGTAGTGAGGACACAAGAGTACACCCAGCACTGCCCATACTTCACTGGTTTGGTTGTTGTCATGTACTGCTTGAGAATCTTCACACTCCCGCTCCAGGTGGAGGGTGAGGTACCACCGAAATAGTTACCCGACCAGTTGCCCACCAACACCCCGGCGTCGTCTATAGAGTTCACCTGCAACACAATGAAGATGTAAGCGCAAGCTCAGCTCACGCTACCAGATAACCCTGCAAGAGGACATTGTTCTCTTTGTGTGTAAACAATCCTTCATTGCGAGCAGGTGCGCGAGTAAAGGGTGTGTTAGTTCATTGGCTTTCAGACATTACTTACAATCTTGGAGAGGGCACGTGTGACTCTCACAATGCTTCCCAGGGCTGGCGAAGCATTAAACTTGAAGGCTTTCCGCAGTAGATGGAGAGACGCCTCGAGTACTTGGTCTTCAAACTGAAACCGAGAAGGTTATTGTAAGAAGTAATTGTTGTTGTTGTTTTGTTGTTGTTTTTTTGTGTAACGCCGCACAATATTCCAGCTATGCGACGGCGGCCTGTAAATAATCAAGACCAGACAATCCTGTGATTAATACTATGAGCAACAATCCATGCCGTCGGGGTAGGACAACACGCAATGAGTGAGTGAGTGAGTGAGTTGGGTTTAACGCCGCTTTTAACAGTATTACAGTTATATCGCGGCGTGTCAGCTTTATGTGGGAGGAAAGCCCGAAGTGATGCAAGATTCAGACGTTTACCACTTCGGTGAAACCCACGAGCACGAGTATGGTGCTGACAAACCTAGAAACATAATCGGGGCGAACCGGGATTCGAACCCACAATCATAGGTTTCTGGCGTGTCCAAGGGATGCAACTCTGCACAGGGAATCGCGGCGCCTTAGACGACTTGGCCACCCGTGCCCCATAACACGCAATGAACCAAGTCACCGAGCTTGACCAGCCGATTCATTGTGTCGCCTCACACGACAACCAGTATAGCCGGAGTCCCAACAAGACTGTAAGATTTCAACATGAATAAAACCTCAGCTATAAATATCTTGAGAAAAACGCTTTAGAAGTTAGATGGGCCGCCAAACCAACAATTTAAATAGATAAACTGAGGTCAAATGTCATGAATTCTCATAATCTATCTTCTTTCCAAATCATCCATTTTTTTACAAAATAATGTATATCACCTTATAAAACTACATTGAATGAAAACTTATATAATAAATATGGCGAATTAATGGTATTAGAAAGTTATTTGTTCATGCTGCTCAATGGTTCACAAAAATTTTTATTGTTGTTGAAAATGTTTTGATAAATCTATTTTTATTTCATGCAATTAAAATCAAATATTACATAACATAGTGCTGCTCTACATCGGGGCTACACCATCAAAGCTGTGTTGGTTTTCAGTACATTACGTATAATTACATTTAATTGAATATGGTTTGTACCCTAAAAGATCCGGGTTACAATTGGTCTTCGGCAACTCATGCTTCTCAAAAGAGTCGACAGACCAGATCGGGTGGTCAGACTAGCTGACTTGGTTGATGCATGTCATCGTATCCCAATATCCAGGCTCATGGTATCAGTCACTGGATTTTCAGGTCCATATTTGATTTTTTACAGACTGCCGTCAAATAGCTGAAATATTGCTGAGTGCGAAGTTAATCAACAAACAAACAACGTATAATTACATAGCATGTGGTTTGAATGCAGAAATGTAAAAAAATAATCTCCTTCAATGTGCCAGTTGGAAATATAAACATAAAAACATATGGTTGAACGCACTTGTCCAAAATACCAAGGACTGGAATCCATCCAACTGTAGAGGCCAAGATAGACACACCCTGAGTCATTCAGTACAGCCTCTTTGAGCCAGTCTTTGTCAGCCATGTAAACGAGGTCCTCTGAAACATCAGTGGTAATGTTAGTTTCAGTGTCTTCAGTACGGTATGCATATCTTTGCCTCAGTAGATGAAGATTCGCTCACAAAGGTTAAATCTCGTTCAGTAATCAGGACGACTTGTATACCCGTATAAATATATTGGTGGGCAAAAAATAACACACACTTGAAAAGTCTTCACGAACATTCTGTATGCGATTCGTTAAAAATGTATTTAGCCAACGGATGATTGCAATTCGCATTTCTGCTGTTGCGTTTTCGGATTGCTTAACTACAGGGCAAAAGAAAGTATAAACTTGAAAATTGAATTTGACCAACAAATACAAACGTTATCAAAACGTTGCAAGGGTGAAAATTGTCGCTGAAACACCCCAAACCTATAACATTATGTTTGTTTTCATTCGCCATCATTTAAAACCGGAAAACTAGAATTAAATAGTAGAGAACCGCACAAGCCGTATATTTAACTGGTGCCTGTGCCATTATATTTCGGCATATTGATCGTTTGACCAGAAACGTAATTGTTAAGCAAATTCTCTTTTTGGGGGGTTAAGGCGTGTTTCATATGTATGTTCCTACACATGTACCTTGACACGGAGGATTGAATGTTGTTCAACCTCAAAACAAGGTTGAAGGATTTGTTTCACAAATGCTTCTATGCCAGTAGTTGAAGCTTGTTTCACATACCTTCTGGCGAGGGATTACAGATTCGTATCACATACTTCTACATCAGGGGTTCAAGACCGTTATATGCCTCTTGCTCAAAAGTGGTTGACACCTTTGACGAATATATTGACCAAACTGATGTCCGATTCCCTATGTTCCCGTGTTTGTTCGGGTGAACACTTGACTTGCCTTTGCATGAGTTTGTGACCGGTGCTATCAGGGATGACGATACTATCACCATTTTCGCGAACACCTGGTATCATCACTTTTAGATACATGCTTGATCGTACGATGATGGAAACGGCTGATGATCGTATGATGATAGAAACGATTTGTCGCTTTTATGCACATACCTTTACACCAGGGGTTGAAGAGAACGATGACCTCTTCGTCGTGGTTGTACTTCCAGACGATGTCTTCGCCGTCCTTGACGTCCACGACAGTACTGACACTCAGCTCCCACTCCCCCACGGATGATGACGCGGGGATGAATACTGACACTGTGAGAGACTTTTCCTTCTTCTTCACCAGGTTCGCTCCCCACTTCCGGGGTTTGTAGGGGGCAGCTCCAGATTCCTCCAGTCTGAAGGACTTGATGACCTTCTGCTTATCCTCATCTTCACCTCCTGTAGTAACACAATGCAGCAACTGCAATCCTGCTCCGTTGTGATTCATCTATAACATTACCCCCTTCGTGAGAACCCCCCTCCTCCAAAAACAAACCTTTCTTAGCGGTATGACTATTGTATGTCTACGTTAAGGTCCTTTTAAGTACAGAGTCACTATGTACACGTCTCGAAAAGGATCATTTGATGTCTGTTGACCTTTGAGACGGTTTGGTAGCCTTGTATTAAGGGGTTTGATTCAGTACATAGGTTCTATGCGTGAAACGGGGGCACGGGTGGCCAAGTCGTCTAAGGCGCCGCGATTCGCTGTGCAGAGTTGCGTCCCTTGGGCACGCCAGAAACCTCTGATTGTGGGTTCGAATCCCGGTTCGCCCCGATTATGTTTCTAGGTTTGTCAGCACCATACCCGTGCTTGTGGGTGTCACCGAAGTGGTAAATGTCTGAGACCTGCATCACTTCGGGCTTTCCTCCCACATTAAGCTGACACGCCGTGATATAACTGGAATACTGTTAAAAGCGGCGTTAAACCCAACTCACTCACTCACTCACTATCTATGCGTGAAACCCTGCGTTGATATTGCTGGAATATTGCTAAAGGCGGAGTAAAACCTAACTCACTCACTCACCCACCTTGAAGCTCATTGTTTCGAAGGCTTTCATTTGACAGTTTTATGCTTGTTTTTATTTTCGAATATTCCAAAGGATTGTCGGTAATTACCTGGTAATTGTATATGCTACCTACCAAGAGAAAAGTCAAATGTGATGTCATTTTTCTTGATGTCATACGCTCTGTCAAATTGGATGGTCATCGTGAACTCTTGACCTCTACGTAGGACCAGCCGCGCCTTCTTCTTGGTGTCCCCACTGACTCGGTCTTGTGTACACTCGTACATGTCGGTGTTGTGGGTCTTGGTGTTGTCGGCAATGTGCAAGTCGACCCCGGTGACATGGAGTTTTGTTGCTAACTCAGTCTTAGGAACAGGTGGTATTTCTGCTTTGGGCTTGGTAGTCTCTACAACATGTCGGCAACCATACCATTAACGCATACCACACACCGTACTGAGTGTGTCAGGTGTGCATAAATTTGATTTCTAAGATAGAAATGTGCACAGTAGGACAATCAAGCCACCACTCGTCCACGACAACATTACACCTGGAATTTTATTTACTCCCTCACCCTCGTTCATACATGGCACCTCCGTATACACAACCACACAGTCACCCTTACCAATATCCCAACCAATACCCACGCCTACACCAACAACAAAATCCGCACCCACCTCCACGCCCAATGCAACGCTCACAACCATGAAATCACCCAAACTCACATCCTAACCAATAACCGCATCCCCACTAACCCGTGCTCACACTAACATCCACACCCGCACCAACATCCACATCTACATCCAAATCCACATCCCCACCAACATCCACATCCACATCCACATACATACCCATACCAACGCCCAAAATCAAGCCATCACCCACAACAACAACAACAAACACCCATGCCACCCTCCACGTCTATGGCATCACCACACCCGCATCCTGACCCACAACCACATCTACACCCACATCCACACCCACACCAACCTCCACACCTATGCCAACGCTCACAACCGTGCCATCACCCACACCCACACCCACACCCACACCCACACCCACACCCATACCCACACCCACACCCACACCCATACCCACACCCACACCCACACCACACCAACACCCATACCCACACCCACACCCACACCCACACTCACACCCACACCCACACCCACACCCACACCCACACCCACACCCATACCCACACCCACACCCACACCCATACCCATACCCATACCCACACCCACACCACACCCACACCCACACACACACACACACACACCCACACTCACACCCACACCCACACCCACACCCACACCCACACCACACTCACACCCACGCCCACGCCCACGCCCACACCCACACCCACACCCACACCCACACCCACATCCACAACCACCTCCACACGCCGACGACCATGGTATCTCCACACCCACTTCCTGACCCACAACCACATCAATACCAACCCACACCTACACTATCTTCCACATCTACATCTACATCCACACCAAAATCCGTACCAACATCCACACCAACATCATCACCCACGCGGGTGGCAAAGCAAAGCGAAAATAACGGTATTTTTACCTGGTTTCGGGGTGGCGGTTGGAAATAGGCTTGTGCTCCCGGGGAAGGCATTTCGCACCCAAGGGGCATCTCTCAGCCAGGAGTTGGGACGACTTCTGCCGTAGACATAACGGGCGTACGGGTTGCTGCAGTAACATCTGAAACATTAGTGTTCAAAAGTAACTTTGTTTTTTTAGCTTAACCCCGGACCTAGCCACTTGACGACAGTCTGAAAATACTCGAGTTTGTACCAGATAATCCAGTGATCGACATCATGAGCATCGATCCACGCAATTGGAATACGATGACATGCATCAACCAAGTCAGTCGCCTCTTACGATGAGCATGGCTGCTGAAAATCAATTCTTCCTTAACCTGGATCGTCACTGATCTCAATAATAAGTACCGACAAGAAGTAATATCACAAAACATTCCCAGTAATTGTCCCGACAACGATTGCAATGTTTGGACTGTCAAAAGGACCGTCCCTAGTAACGCCCCTAGATATATTAGTATCCCTAGCAACATGCATAGCACTGTCTACACAGCAATGTGATCAGAACTGTCACCAAGATTGTCCCAAGGAATGACTTTTGGGATGTCCCAGCAATGCGCCCGCAATACGCCCATGTTGACAAGTAATTATCAACTAATATCCCTATTAATCTTCTCTTTAATGTCCCAGGCTTTGTCCCCATAAATGTTCCCAGTAGTTTCCAAACAGCACATGCACTGGCATTCCAGGGAACGTTCTCCGATTTCCTCATGATTATTGTTAAACGCCGCACTCAGCAATATTCCAGCTATATGATTGCGTTCTGTGAATAATCAAGTGTGGATCAGACAATCCAGTGATTAACACCATGAGCATCGAACTATGCAACTATGCATGAACCAAGTCACCCGTATGACCACCCTACCCCCTTAGTCGCCTCTTACGACAAGCATGGGTTGCTGAAGACAATTGTTATCAGGGTCTTCACCGGGGGATTGCCGTCATGAGCATCACAAGGATTGTTCCAAACTTTTCTCATCAATGTTCCATCGACCAGGGGGATGTCTAAAATATTTCTCTTGGAATAGTGACAGAAATGTCTAAAGCTTACATGGAAAAATGGTACTTGTTGCTACTCTGCCTGGCGCTCATTAAGGGGATAAAACTCGGACTGGTCAACTCGGAGTTAGTATCCGTTGTTAAACTGCGGCATGGTGTCTCAGTGGGTTAACACAATAAGACCGGCATTGGTCGGTAAAAGCACCACGTTCACACACTCATACACTCTAACGTGCACGTCGCTACATAAATGCAATAATCTTGAACGCGACGTTAAACCCCACTGTTTGTTTTATTCGTTTGTTGTTTAGAGACGCACTCAGCAATATTCCAGCTATATGACGGCGGTCTGTAAATAATCGAGTCTGGACCAGACAATCCAGTGATTGATATTATTGGGACACAATAATTTATAACATGCATTTACCAAGTCAGCGAGCCTGACCACCCGATCCCGTTAGTCACCTCTTACGACAAGCATAGTCGCCATTTACGGCAAGCATGGGTTGCGTAAGACCTATTCTACCCCGAATCTTCACAAAACCTCACTGCACCTCACCCCCAAACAATGAATACAAGACTCAGACTTTTATATGACGCGTCACTATGAGTTTTGTATTCCTTGCTCGAAACAAATGTACAGAAATGTGTTTGCACTCGAAATGGTTTACCGTGCATGCATTATTGCAAGATAACCGCTTATTTACGTATGTTGTTATCGGCGCTCAGCTTAGAGTATGAATCATATCACATGCCATGCAGGCTGCCATGAATAGATTTGATAAACATCCAAACATTATTCAAACTTCCTTATATTCAAACAGGAACATATTCACAACAGATCGGAGCGTATTTTCATCGAAGCAGAGTTTGAGCTGTTATTGTAGTTCATTAATTTTATCATACAACGAAAAGTTCAGCTGTATTCAGAAAGTATGAATCCCCAAATCATACCCACGCCACCCCCTCTCCCTCTCACCGTCTTCTCGGGAACATCTTCGCAAATTAAAGTTGCACGTTGCTATCGGTGCACGTTGCAGTTGCTAGCTTCCGCGTTGCTCTTGGTGATCAGTCGATGTGGCCGTCAAATCTACACTTCACGTATGAGACGTCAGAACGATGCGGCAAGCTTCAGCTGCAACCGAGAGATGGTCAGAAGAGATGTCAGTGTGACCCATGTGGACAAACGTTCAACGTTATGACATAGGAAGATACCTACAATACAATAGGAAAAGGTGGCAGTAGGTTTGTAAACCTACCTAAAGCAGAAACACACCAGGATCTATGAGTGTAGGCAAGTTGTCTTAACAGTGTAGTCACCCAACAACACCCAACAGATAATCAGAGGTGAGACAACAGCTAACTCAAATGTTTCTGAAGTTTTTTTAAACTACATTTACCTCGTCTTTGACCATGTATTACATTCGTTATACATTACCTTAGCTCTCTCTGCTATGTCACACTGTTTGTACTCACCAAGCTTGCCAGCTGTGTAGTGTCCTATTGATTAAGCAGCACACACAACTATCTTCTTCCCTTGTTTGTGTCACGTATAAGAGTTGGTATCCCATAAGGAAACTCTGTTACATGTATCCCTTCGTCCACTTCAAATCGCGTCCTGGTTCAAAGGGGAGAATCAGCTATTGAACTGAGCGTTGGTGTCGCTGTTGGACTGGATTGCTTTGTGTGGTGTGCATTCACTTGTAGGGAGTATGCAGTCAGCATTGTAGCATACTAGGTCATTTCATTGCACAACACATGCACCGGCTGCCAGATTGATTCGGTATCGTCTCTAATTCAATGGTGCTGCTAAGCTAAGGTTATTATTATTATTATTATCACGTAGGTCAGAATGACATAATCACGTCATGTACTTACAATTTTGCGAGATATGCAAGGAGTGGTGGGCGGGGTGAGTGAAAGTCGTTAGCTACAACCCTGAAGATCCGGGTTAGGATAGATCTTCAGCTACCCATGCTTGTCGTAAGAGACGACTAACAGGATCGGGTGGTCAGGCTCGTTGACTTGGTAAATGCATGTTATCGTATCCCAGTTGCGTGGAGCAATGCTCATGATATCAATCACTGGATTACTTGGTTCATAGCCGCCTCCGTGGTCTTGTGGTAGAGCGTCCGCCCGCAGAGCGGAAGGTCCGGGGTTCGATCCCCGGCCGCGTCATACCAAAAGACGTTAAAAGATGGTACTTGTTGTTACCCTGTCTGGCGCTCGACATTAAGGGGCTAAAACAAGGACTGGTCGGCTCGGAGTCAGTATACTGTGTCTGAGTGGGGTATTCATGTTAAACTGCGGCATGGTATCTCAGTGAGCTAGCACTATAAATCGGCATCAGTCCGGACTAGTACAAGCAGCCACAGACACACACGTGCATGCACGTCGCTATATAAGTGCAATAATCTTGGACGCGACGTTAAAACCCAATTTCACCTCACCTCACTTGGTTCATATTTGATTATTTACAGACCGCCGTCATACAGCTTTAATATTGCAGAGCGCAGCGTTAAACAACAAACAAACAAGCGTAAAGCCACTTTTGTGTCCCAATAATTTGTGCACGTTTTGAATGCTCTATTACTCAATGAAGGTGGCAATATACACTGAACAAGTTAGAGATCATGACTATTTTTTGGGATATGTGATTTATTGTAAAGAACACAATATTTCGTACAAATATCCGAAACAATATTCATGATCCCTTAGTTCTTTTTTCAGTATATAATTGCTAAGAGGTAGATTTTACCTCCTCGAAACACCGTCCGTGACCTGAGGTGTCAGTAAATAGATTAGGTTATCACCAATCAAAAATCTATACTGAGCCTGTGTTCATGGTTCTCAAAGTTGTAGCCTTATAATTAGAACAGCCAATGTTCTCTACTACAGTTATACCACAACTCTACAACATCTAGATAACATCCATGCAACAGGTAAATAACTAGAGTAGTATACTACAGTTATACCACAACTCTACATCATCTAGATAACATCCATGCAACAGGTAAATAACTAGAGTAGTATACTACAGTTATACCACAACTCTACAACATCCAGATAACATCCATGCAACAGGTAAATAACTAGTATACTACAGTTATACCACAACTCTACAACATCCAGATAACATCCATGCAACAGGTAAATACCAAGTATACTACAGTTATACCACAACTCTACAACATCCAGATAACATCCATGCAACAGGTAAATAACTAGTATACTACAGTTATACCACAACTCTACAACATCCAGATAACACCCATGCAACAGGTAAATAACTAGTATACTACAGTTAAATGTATGCGACAATGGGTATACTAACGTAAAGCAGTTATTAAACAATCATACAAGGTCTTTATAACAGAGATTACCAGCAACACAACAAATACATAACAACTTTGTAACAGACATACAAGTGCTATATAACTTACATATAACACGTACACATCACGCAACAGTCAATGAGAGAAGTGGTTAAGTGACGGTTTGAAAACTATTTCGGTTATATCACGTCGTGTCAGATCAGCTTGATGTGGGAGGTAAGCCAGTGATGCAGGACTTAGACGTTTACAGGTACACAACGGTCATACAACAGTACTATAACAACTATACATATCACGTGCACATATATAAAACAACCATATGGCAACTATATTAAAGCTACACAACAGTCCCATACTACATTTCTCATTATATATGATTGCAATGTAATTGCTGTATAACAGGTATCCAATAGCTTCAATACATACATGAATGCATGCACGCACGCACGCACGCACGCACACACGCGCACGCACACACACAACATACATACATACATACATACAACAGCTACTTCACTACTGGTATAGGTTTTCAATGCATCATGCATTCAGTCACACCGACTCATTATTTGGCCCAGGTTTTCTCTTATCATGCATATCTGTATTTACATGTGACACTAAACAGGTATTATGTACACAAACCTGTTCATTGTACCTCCATGACGTACAATTTGTGTTGAAACGCTATCCCTCTCATGGCCTTGAGAAGTTCTTAGTTCAGGATCATAGGTACGTTAGTGCATGGGTATACAAGTCAAAACAACCTGTTTGCTTTGAGAGTTAGCTGCAGAGACATGTATTATCCAATGACGTCCCTATCGTCATTTCATTTTTATTCTTTTGAGTAAGTGAGTGACTGTCGTTTTAATCGACAGTCAGCAGATCCCCAGGTGTATCTCGGTCCAGTATGGACCAGACTGTCTGAATCCACGGGCAACGCCCCTCAATGCGGGTTAGAATAGGTCTACAGCTACTCGAGCAAACTCAAACTCACACAAACAAACAAACAAACAAACAAACAAACAAACACGATGATTGAACAATTAGACGGAAATCTGTCACCAGGGGCATTCAAACTCTCAAAATCCGCACAGAAGCCTAATGCAGTATTTTGACATTGCCTTACGGAAGAATTTAGGATAAGAAATTATAATAAATATTTACCAACATTAAGCTTAATAGTTCTTCCGTTTATGAATGTAGTTAACTGTTATTTATTTAGTAATATTCCATAGTAAACGTATTTGGGAGTCGGTAGCTTTTTCCTAAAATAGATAAATAAATAGAAAAAAAAGTAAGTTTCTTGATCAGGGATATGTGTACTCATATTTTGCCCATCAACACAGCCAATATTATTTCGGTGATTCATAAAAACATTATGAGCCATTTATTTTGGCATATATTACAACAAATAAATATCACACGGTGCATATACTGCCAGACAGTCCAGGCGTCAACAATGTGTCTCTCTATGAAGCTCTCTAGCCCATGCAGAACTACCACAATGTCTGCATGATATTAACTCTAGATTACGAGGGTTGGTCAATAGATTATAAGCCTTACAAACAAAACCAACAATTCTGAAAGTGTTTTTAATTATTTATTTTTCAACATAATTTCCCCGCTTTTCAATACACTTTCCATATCGATAATGAAGCTTTTCAATTCCAGTCGGAAAGAAATTATCTGAATCCACCCTGAAAAACCCATTTATGGCAGCTTTGAGGTCATCGTTGTCGTCATAGCGTTTTCCAAGAAGGTGTTCTTTCAGTTTAGTTTAGATGGAAATCATTTAGTACCAGGTCTGGCGAGTATGGAGGGAGTTCTTTTCTCTGAAGTCAAAAACTTGATGACTGCTCGGTACTCGTTCTTTTTCCTTTCTGTGTCCATTTGGAGCCTAATCACGTTCAACTGTATGTCACTAATATACAAACAGACCAAATACACTAATGAATTACATTGACTAGTTCACTTTGTTATGGCCCATATTTGAAAGTTAGTTAGGTGCATAACATTTTGACCAGCCCTCGTACCACCACAGCCTTACTTCAAGTATGAATGCTAAGCTCACAGTAATCTATGGTACTTTTTTTAATTTATTTGAATTATGTTTTCCTTAAGGGGTACAATGTGACATATATGGGCATTCTCCATGAAGTTGTGCGTCCTTGGGTATATTACTAGATGAGCATTTGTCAACCTGTATGCTGTACTCTTATCTACTCCGTACACAGTCAGCGAAACATCACATGGGTTACGTCAAGGATGTAAGTGTAGGTGCAACAAGTAAACGAACTAATGCACTGAACTGAAACCACATATTGTCACGCGTCTAGTTCTCAATTCCTGTAATTGAAAAAGTTCCCAGTACCCATCACCCTGAGGCAAGGGAGTTATATTGTAATAAAACGGGTCTTATCCAGCGAAGTGCATCAAATCACTTGACCACCTTGATGAATGCGGATTCATACAGTTTGCACATCGGTTTTTCGATTCATACCTCAATGAACCGACAAAAATACACAGTCAATTCTTAAATGAATTCTGTGATTTTTTAAATGACTCCATGTTGACAGACATAAACCTTCCTTTGTTCCTTCGTTCATTCCTCCGTTAAATTCCTTTTCCCTGTGCAATGTATGATCTGGCAGCTACTCAGTTGCCCCTTGATCTTCACCATATCAGAAGCTTCTCTGTGAATTTCTTGCACACACCATACATGTAGTCGTGTATAATTTTACGCTTTAAACAACACACACACACACACACACACACACACACACACACACACACACACACACACACACACACACACACGTTTCTACATATCTACAAACAATAATTTATGATATGCCATTCCCAAACACTCCAAATATTAACGTACAAAGAAAGGTGTTTGTGGTCGGAAGTGTAGGACGATGAAGATGTGAGTGGGTTGGGTTTAACGCCGATTTTAATAGTATTTCATACATATCACGGCGTGAGGCCGGTCGTAGATATTGTCCAAAATATCATCTCTTTGGAAACGTTATCTACTGCAGGGCAATACTCATGACTTGCCATGGGCCGATCGTCCACGTGTGACGTCACGTCGGGAAAAGAACCATATTCAGTTGGTTCAGAAGACTGGGGCAGTATACTGTCATGGCTCTGATGGTCATGCAATGGTCCACAGGCGTCCAGGAGAACGTTTTAGCGACGCTTGCGTTACTCAACGTCTTCAGTTTGGAGGTGGTGTAATGATATTGGGTGGCATCACAACACATGGGAGAACACAACTCATCCTTGTTTATGGCAATTTGAATGACGGACGCTACAGGGGCGACATCGTTCGAGATCTTGTTCTAGCCTTTGTGCAAATTCTGGGACGTTGCGCGTTCGGTTCCAAATTCAATTTAGCACGGTTGAATCTACAGGTAACCTAGCTCTTCATTAAAAAAACAGTATGTTTATTTCCTAATTAACCTTATGCTTTATTGAAGCTGGGTTCAAATCAAATCCGTCGCCTGTGTCATAAATTGAAAATCCTCGAACAGGGCTAACTGACGGGCTCTTCCACTTAATTGCCCGCACCCTTATATTAAAGGACATATTTATGTTTTGGACATTATCCGTTCAGTGTGCAGTTATCAATGATCCCATGCAGCAATAAGTAGGAGTTATCAATTTAAGTTTTTTATATTAATGTCCTTCAAATTAATCACGTGAAACATTCCACAAGTGCATTGTGGGGTCGAGGTAAGAAATGTAAACAAACCAGTCGAAGTTCTGTGTCGCTGGTTATTATGTGCGAAGGTGTTTTCTTGTCGTATAAGTTGCAGCTCTGTTTCCACCACTAATGTTAGAAAACTGCGGGGAGGAAATTTAAACAGGGCTAATACGTCAGTCCATTATGACGTAACTCAAAAACTGTACTTTATCACAGGATAAAGTACAGTCGGCGCCTTTGATCTTCCCGTCTGGACCAGACAATCCAGTGGCTGACATCATGAGCATCGATCCACGCAATTGGGATACGATGACATGCATCAACCAAGTCAGTGAGTCTGACCACCCAATCCCGTTAGTCGCCTCTTACGACAAGCACAGTCGCCTCTTACGGCAAGCATGGGTTGCTGAAGACCTATTCTACCCCGGATCTTCATGGAATAGTTCAGTTTCTGGAAACGTTTACCTTATTTGTCAATAATGTAGATCTAGAGGGCTTAAAGTATTTTATTGAATGTATACAAAATTATATAGATAGTCTTTCTGAATCTCAAGCCGCCGCAAATACCTTTCTTGTATTTTTATAGTAAGATTGTTTGCATACAAATGTCAAACTAAGACAAATAATGACAAAATGGAAAATAAATCTATGCTTTATAAATGTGTAAAAATTAACATGGAAACAAAATGTAACATGTAATATGGAGGTATACAGAGTCGTACATAACGTTAAACAATGCACAACGTTACACACTGTTAAGCTTCATCGCTGAAAAAAATGTTCAATCACTTACACAATCTTATGTTATGCCAATGTTCTCACATTCAATAATAAAATTACATGCTGCTGTTTGTGGTCTGAAACGGAAGAACATTTTGTTCATTTAATAATATGTTCTGAATAAAAATAACTGAACAATGAAAACACGATGGCTTGGAGACATCCAGTGCTGACTCTGGACAAGGTCAATATGTTATAACATGCAAGCACAATTAATAACGACGTGTCCATAATTTTTGCGTGTAAGTTTGGGCATAATGTGAATACATTGATAGAAATTATCACTGATGTTATTTCACTGCAAAGAGGACTACAATATTCCAGGGATGCTTGGGACACACGTGTCTCCATGGGTACCGGAGTTAACTATTATGATATTGCTATTGAACAGGAATAATATCAAACTCAGTGGCAAGTCTAGATTGCCTTAGCAAATTAAGCATTGTTCTGGGCTCCATTTAGATCGATTTTTTTGTTCATATTTATTTTTAAGTAAGCTGAATTTATTTCTGGGACTTAATGTTAGTAGATGTTAAGATATAAGGCCAAACTATTGGTTTAAGCTAGGATTACGGATATATGAAAACTTTCGTGTGGTGTTTAACGCCAAACGAACGTTTCGTTATTGTCGTGGGCAGTGCGCAATGTGTTATATGTCCTCTCCTTTCACCATGAGATTCTGCAGCCCATCCTGCAATAGATATCATTGGAGAGGAAAGGAATATTGCCACTTGCTCTAATACCGCTAAGCTATGGAATGTGGAAGCGGAAACGATTGTACAGCTATCACATGTAATTGTCAATATGGTCGCTCTAAGTGAGTTTGATGCTGTAGGATCCTCTGACATCACCGAGCTGGTCGGACTCCAGACCAAAGCTGGCCTCCCTCTTCCTCTGGGCTCGGGGGAATAACGTGGGGGACATCTTGATCGTCTTCCTCCAGGTCTGTCCAGGAGAAATGACTCTGAAAAACAGAATGCGTCAGCGAGTCTGTGAGTTGGTCAGTATGACGAGTCAGTCAATGGGTCAGTTTGAGTGAATCAGTCAATTAGTCAACGTGGGTCAGTGAGTGAGTCAATGTAAGTCGTTCAGTCAGTGTGAGTCAGTCACTGTGAATCAGTCAATGTGAGTCAGTGAATGAGTGGCTCAATGTGAGTGAGCCAGTGAGTGAGTGGGTCAATGTGAGTGAATCAGTCAGTCAATGTGGATCAATGAGTGAGTCAATGTAAGTCGTTCAGGCAGCGTGAGTCAGTCAATGTGAATCAGTCAGTGCGTCGGTCAATGTGAGTCCGTCAGTGAGTGGGTCAATGTCGTTCAGTCAATGTGAGTCAGTTACATATATATCGAAGACATGTAAATTATTGAATCTGGGCCTGTCAAACCAGTTGCTGGACGCATGAGCAACGGCCAACGCCATCTTGGCACGATGACACGCAACCAGGCAAGTCACAGAGGCTGACCCTTATTTAAATCGGCTGTTACTACAAGCAAGAAGTATTGGGGACTTAGCCCGACCCAGAACCCCGCAAAAGAAATAGTAAATAAGTATTCAAAAGTAAGTAAGTATCACTTACCCTATTTTGATGTTGTCCGTGAAGGGAGCCACCACCTTCATATTGCCGTCAATCTCCACCTCACAGTTGGTCATCAGGACGGGGAGAGGGTTGGTGAAGGAGAGTTCCACCTCTACTGTCTCCCCGGGCTTAGCAGTGGAGGGACCCTACATAACACACAACATGTGACAGTAAGTATATATATGGACGGAAGAGTTCCACCTCTACTGTCTCCCCGGCTTTAGCAGTGGAGGGACCCTACATAACACACAACATGTGACAGTAAGTATATATATGGACGGGAGAGATCCACCTGTACTGTCTCCCCGGGTTTAGCAGTGGAGGGACCCTACAAACACACACCATGTGACAGTAAGTATATATATGGACGGGAGAGTTCCACCTCTACTGTCTCCCCGGCTTTAGCAGTGGAGGGACCCTACATAACACACAACATGTGACAGTAAGTATATATATGGACGGAAGAGTTCCACCTGTACTGTCTCCCCGGCTTTAGCAATGGAGGGACCCTACATAACACACACCATGTGACAGTAAGTATATATATGGACGGGAGAGTTCCACCTGTACTGTCTCCCCGGCTTTAGCAGTGGAGGGACCCTACATAACACACACCATGTGACAGTAAGTATATATATGGACGGGAGAGTTCCACCTGTACTGTCTCCCCGGCTTTAGCAGTGGAGGGACCCTACATAACACACAACATGTGACAGTAAGTATATATATGGACGGGAGAGTTCCACCTGTACTGTCTCCCCGGCTTTAGCAGTGGAGGGACCCTACATAACACACAACATGTGACAGTAAGTATATATATGGACGAGAGAGTTCCACCTCTACTGTCTCCCCGACTTTAGCAGTGGAGGGACCCTACATAACACACAACATGTGACAGTAAGTATATATATGGACGGGAGAGTTCCACCTCTACTGTCTCCCCGACTTTAGCAGTGGAGGGACCCTACATAACACACAACATGTGACAGTAAGTATATATATGGACGGGAGAGTTCCACCTGTACTGTCTCCCCGGCTTTAGCAGTGGAGGGACCCTACATAACACACACCATGTGACAGTAAGTATATATATGGACGGGAGAGTTCCACCTGTACTGTCTCCCCGGCTTTAGCAGTGGAGGGACCCTACATAACACAGAAAGTGTGACAGTAAGTATATATATGGACAGGAGATTTCCACCTCTATTGTCTCCCCGGCTTTAGCAGTGGAGGGACCCTACATAACACACAACATGTGACAGTAAGTATATATATGGACGGGAGAGTTCCACCCCAACTGTCTCCCCGGCTTTAGCAGTGGAGGGACCCTACATAACACACAACATGTGACAGTAAGTATATATATGGACGGGAGAGTTCCACCTCTACTGTCTCCCCGGCTTTAGCAGTGGAGGGACCCTACATAACACACAACATGTGACAGTAAGTATATATATGGACGGAAGAGTTCCACCTGTACTGTCTCCCCGGCTTTAGCAGTGGAGGGACCCTACATAACACAGAAAGTGTGACAGTAAGTATATATATGGACGGGAGAGTTCCACCCCAACTGTCTCCCCGGCTTTAGCAGTGGAGGGACCCTACATAACACACAACATGTGACAGTAAGTATATATATGGACGGGAGAGTTCCACCCCAACTGTCTCCCCGGCTTTAGCAGTGGAGGGACCCTACATAACACACAACATGTGACAGTAAGTATATATATGGACGGGAGAGCTCCACCCCAACTGTCTCCCCGGCTTTAGCAGTGGAGGGACCCTACATAACACACAACATGTGACAGTAAGTATATATATGGACGGGAGAGTTCCACCCCAACTGTCTCCCCGGCTTTAGCAGTGGAGGGACCCTACATAACACACAACATGTGACAGTAAGTATATATATGGACGGGAGAGTTCCACCTCTACTGTCTCCCCGGCTTTAGCAGTGGAGGGACCCTACATAACACACACCATGTGACAGTAAGTATATATATGGACGGGAGAGCTCCACCTCTACTGTCCCCCCGGCTTTAGCAGTGGAGGGACCCTACATAACACACAACATGTGACAGTAAGTATATATATGGACGGGAGAGTTCCACCTCTACTGTCTCCCCGGCTTTAGCAGTGGAGGGACCCTACATAACACACAACATGTGACAGTAAGTATATATATGGACGGGAGAGTTTCACCTGTACTGTCTCCCCGGCTTTAGCAGTGGAGGGACCCTACATAACACACAACATGTGACAGTAAGTATATATATGGACGGGAGAGTTCCACCTCTACTGTCTCCCCGGCTTTAGCAGTGGAGGGACCCTACATAACACACAACATGTGACAGTAAGTATATATATGGACGGGAGAGTTCCACCTCTACTGTCTCCCCGGCTTTAGCAGTGGAGGGACCCTACATAACACACAACATGTGACAGTAAGTATATATATGGACGGGAGAGTTCCACCTGTACTGTCTCCACGGCTTTAGCAGTGGAGGGACCCTACATAACACAGAAAGTGTGACAGTAAGTATATATATGGACGGGAGAGTTCCACCTGTACTGTCTCCCCGGCTTTAGCAGTGGAGGGACCCTACATAACACACAACATGTGACAGTAAGTATATATATGGACGGGAGAGTTCCACCTGTACTGTGTCCCCGGCTTTAGCAGTGGAGGGACCCTACATAACACACAACATGTGACAGTAAGTATATATATGGACGGGAGAGATCCACCTCTACTGTCTCCCCGGCTTTAGCAGTGGAGGGACCCTACATAACACACAACATGTGACAGTAAGTATATATATGGACGGGAGAGTTTCACCTGTACTGTCTCCCCGGCTTTAGCAGTGGAGGGACCCTACATAACACATAACATGTGACAGTAAGTATATATATGGACGGGAGAGTTCCACCTGTACTGTCTCCCCGGCTTTAGCAGTGGAGGGACCCTACATAACACATAACATGTGACAGTAAGTATATATATGGACGGGAGAGTTCCACCTCTACTGTCTCCCCGGCTTTAGCAGTGGAGGGACCCTACATAATACACACCATGTGACAGTAAGTATATATACGGACGGGAGAGTTCCACCTGTACTGTCTCCCCGGCTTTAGCAGTGGGGGGACCCTACATAACACACAACATGTGACAGTAAGTATATATATGGACGGGAGAGTTCCACCTGTACTGTGTCCCCGGCTTTAGCAGTGGAGGGACCCTACATAACACACAACATGTGACAGTAAGTATATATATGGACGGGAGATTTCCACCTCTACTGTCTCCCCGGGTTTAGCAGTGGAGGGACCCTACATAACACACAACATGTGACAGTAAGTATATATATGGACGGGAGAGTTCCACCTCTACTGTCTCCCCGGCTTTAGCAGTGGGGGGACCCTACATAACACACACCATGTGACAGTAAGTATATATATGGACGGGAGATTTCCACCTCTACTGTCTCCCCGGCTTTAGCAGTGGAGGGACCCTACATAACACACAACATGTGACAGTAAGTATATATATGGACGGGAGAGTTCCACCTCTACTGTCTCCCCGGCTTTAGCAGTGGGGGGACCCTACATAACACACAACATGTGATAGTAAGTATATATATATGGACGGGAGAGTTCCACCTGTACTGTCTCCCCGGCTTTAGCAGTGGAGGGACCCTACATAACACACAACATGTGACAGTAAGTATATATATGGACGGGAGAGTTCCACCTCTACTTTCTCCCCGGCTTTAGCAGTGGAGGGACCCTACATAACACACAACATGTGACAGTAAGTATATATATGGACGGGAGAGTTCCACCTGTACTGTCTCCCCGGCTTTAGCAGTGGAGGGACCCTACATAACACACACCATGTTCCAGTAAGTATATATATGGACGGGAGAGTTCCACCTCTACTGTCTCCCCGGCTTTAGCAGTGGAGGGACCCTACATAACACACACCATGTGACAGTAAGTATATATATGGACGGGAGAGTTCCACCTGTACTGTCTCCCCGACCTTAGAAGTGGAGGGACCCTACATAACACACAACATGTGACAGTAAGTATATATATATGGACGGGAGAGTTCCACCTGTACTGTCTCCCCGGCTTTAGCAGTGGAGGGACCCTACATAACACAGAAAGTGTGACAATAAGTATATGTATGGACGGAAGAGTTCCACCTGTACTGTCTCCCCGGCTTTAGCAGTGGAGGGACCCTACATAACACACAACATGTGACAGTTAGTATATATATATGGACGGGAGAGTTCCACCTGTACTGTCTCCCCGGCTTTAGCAGTGGAGGGACCCTACATAACACAGAAAGTGTGACAATAAGTATATGTATGGACGGAAGAGTTCCACCTGTACTGTCTCCCCGGCTTTAGCAGTGGAGGGACCCTACATAACACACAACATGTGACAGTAAGTATTTATATGGACGGAAGAGTTCCACCTCTACTGTCTTTCCGGGTTTGGCAGTGGTGCAAGGGGTGCTGCCAAAAAGTAGTTCATGGGGTAAGTAAAATACTGGCTTTAACGAGTCAGCTTGAAATAAAATAAAACAAATATTTCCATCATTCCGATGATCGTAGGGACCCTGGTTGCAATATGTTCCCTGCGTGTCGTGAGAGGGTCGCCGGACTCCGTCGTTTCTCATTATATTCAATTATTTACAGGCCGCCGTGATATAACTGTAATATTCGTGACTGCGTCGTAAAACAGCAAACACAGAAAAATGAACTCATCATTATAATATAGAACATGACTTCCTTCTGAAAGGAGGACAGAGCTGAATGTCTGCATATGGCTGACTCGATGTGTAAACAACACACACACCTTTATAACAAGGTCGGGTCTGCGTAACCGGAAAGAGGATGTCTCTGTGACGATGTTTCCGGTCTCCTTGACATTCGCGACAGCCTCGATATGGAAGTTGAAACCGTCTCTGGGTCGCATCATTGCTTGCTTGGGCGTCACACTCAAGGTGAAGACACAACCTTAGAAAAACAGATAACAGTTATACGTTACTACAATGTTGCACTACTCTCTCCTGCTTGTAATATATCAGTATAGTCTACGATCTGTGTCTCATATGACTACAATGTTGCACTACTCTCTCCCGCTTGTAATATATCAGTATAGTCTATATGATTAGTGTCTCATATGACAACAATGTTGCACTACTCTCTCCCGCTTGTAATATATCAGTATAGTCTATATGATTAGTGTCTCCTATGACTACAATGTTGCACTACTCTCTCCCGCCTCCAATAACTCAGTATAGTCTACGATTTATGTCTCATATGACTACAATGTTGCACTACTCTCTCCCGCTTGTAATATATCAGTATAGTCTATATGATTAGTGTATCATATGACTACAATGTTGCACTACTCTCTCCCGCTTGTAATATATCAGTATAGTCTATATGATTAGTGTCTCCTATGACTACAATGTTGCACTACTCTCTCCCGCCTCCAATAACTCAGTATAGTCTACGATTTATGTCTCATATGACTACAATGTTGCACTACTCTCTCCCGCTTGTAATATATCAGTATAGTCTATATGATTAGTGTCTCATATGACTACAATGTTGCACTACTCTCTCCCGCTTGTAATATATCAGTATAGTCTATTTGATTAGTGTCTCCTATGACTACAATGTTGCACTACTCTCTCCCGCCTCCAATAACTCAGTATAGTCTACGATTTATGTCTCATATGACTACAATGTTGCACTACTCTCTCCCGCTTGTAATATATCAGTACAGTCTATATGATTAGTGTCTCATATGACTACAATGTTGCACTACTCTCTCCCGCCTGCAATATCTCAGTATAGCCTACGATCTGTGTCTCATATGACTACAATGTTGCACTACTCTCTCCCGCTTGTAATATATCAGTAAAGTCTATATGATTAGTGTCTCATATGACAACAATGTTGCACTACTCTCTCCCGCCTCCAATAGCTCAGTATAGCCTACGATCTGTGTCTCATATGACTACAATGTTGCACTACTCTCTCCCGCCTACAATATCTCAGTATAGCCTACGATTTGTGTCTCATATGACTACAATGTTGCACTACTCTCTCCCGCCTCCAATAGCTCAGTATAGCCTACGATATGTGTCTCATATGACTACAGTGTTGCACTACTCTCTCTCGCCTACAATATCTCAGTATAGCCTACGATCTGTGTCTCATATGACTACAATGTTGCACTACTCTCTCTCGCCTACAATATCTCAGTATAGCCTACGATCTGTGTCTCACGTCCCTACAAAGTTGCACTTACTCTTGCCAGGCTCTAACTTCTCTGTGTACTTCGACTGAGCGGCCGTCCCCGTCACGACACCGTAGTATGTCTTGTAGGCGACCTTGACAGACAGGGTAACACTACGGACGGCGGTGCCGTTGTTGGTGGCGTTAACCTTGACGTCAAAGCCGTTGCCGACGATGATGTCACCTATGTCGTTGATGCCCAACACTAACGGCTACAAGTATGCAGGACAAAGATGGTTATTGCTAAATGCTCTGCTTCTGTAATTTTAGTAACATTTGAATAATAATTTGTCACGTGAATTACACATATACACAAGTGAAATTACAGTATCAATAATGAGAGATGATAGTATTCTTTTCTTACCTTTGTCAAATGTATTTTGTTTGAACATGTGTACGGGCAGACAAGCGGTTAAAGCGTTCGCTCGTCACACCTAAGACCCGGGTTCGATTCCCACATGGATGATTTCTGTGAAGCCCATATATCTCCGCGCTATTGCCTAAAACGAAGTAAACGCATACTCACTCACTCACTCACTCACTCACTCACTCACTCACTCACTCACACGTAACATGTCATTATCAGAAGAGAAAAACGAACTTGATCAAATCCTCAGCATCTGGAACTATTCCTGTTGAGCTTATTATGTCATGGGGATAGCAAATGTTTGATACAGCTGACCAATTTTGAAAGTTCCTTTAAGTTGTTACAATTTAAAAGCAAAACGTGGCACATAACCATTAAATCGGCTTCGTTGCATGAACAGGTTGCTACCATGTTTTAAAGTATATTATATTATTATTTTATTAGACCATGCCTGTTTTTAAAACAAACCTACTTCATGACCATTGGGGACAGTCGGGTTTGAACGGATCTCGGGCAAGCTATGCTTTCATAAGTGGAATTGGACCCGCGAAGATCCGGAGTAGAATAGGTCTTCAGCAACCCATGCTTACCATAAAGGCGACTATGCTTGTCGTAAGAGGCGATTGAAGGATCTGGTGGTCAGGCTTGCTGACTTGGTTGATGCATGTCATCGTATCCCATTTGCTTAGATCAATGTTCACAATGTGAGTCACTGGACTGTCAGGTCAAGAGTCTATTATTTACATCCCACCGTCACATAGCTGGAATATTGCTGAGTGCGACGTTAAGCAACGAACAAACCAATTTGAAAGGATCGAGTGATCGTCACACGCAATCGATTACAATCCGAACGGATCTGCGACTTGAACCCATGATTTTAGAATCCTCGCACGAATAAGGGTCGCAACTCTGTACACCGAATTGTGGCGCCAAAGACGACTGGGCCATCCATGACCCCTAACCCCTTTGATACTATGGTGGCACATGGACACATATCATCTTTTAAATTGTATGTATGTATTTAGATATGAGTGTTGAGAAATACGACGGATTGGTCAGATGAGAAGCGCTGACCTCTGACACTGGAGGTTCTTCCTCGTCCACCTCCAGGTTATCCTTCCTGAACATCGCCTCCGCCTGTCGCACCACTTCCCGCTCTCGGTCCGACCCTGTGAGGAGTACACAGTTAGTCAAGAAACGGCTGGTACCTGCTCCACGCAGTCACAGTATGTTTATTTGTCTGTTTGTTTGTGTGTTGTTTAACGCCGCACTCAGCAATATTCCAGCAAAATAACGGCCGTTTGTAAATAATCGAGCATCGGCTTACATAACTGAGATACGATGACATGCATCAACCAAGTCAGCGAGCCTGACCACCCGATCCCGTTAGTCGCCTCTTACGACAAGCAAAGTCGCCTTTTATGACAAGCATGGGTTGCTGAAGACAATTTTCAGGCCCTCCTATCTATGAAAGCGTTGAATGGGTTTATAATGATGGCGAATTGGTAATATTGCTTCCGTATTGGAACCGAATGCATTTATTATGCGAACGAAAAGACACACTATCGGATATGACAGCGGTCGTTAGCGGAATGCGTTCGCAGCCGCTATGGGAAACTCGGTCAAATGCAGCGGAATAACTTTGGCTGTATCCGTCAAAGTTAATAATATTTAAAGTTAAATTAATATAATTATTGTTTAGGTGCAAATCAGCCACAGAAGACTAGCAGAAGTTTTTATTAGCCATGCTACATCAACAATTATAGGGGAAATATTAGATCTAGCTCCAAGACGTAAACAGTGAATTCAATTATGGGTGAAATAATTTATCTAGCTCTGTGACTGATAAGCTTTCCATTAGACTATCATCACAATACATCGATAATGCATACAAAACATATTTTGATGAAAATGTATAATCTGTATCGAACGGGAATTATAATGTACGTTCAATGCGCATTAATTTCTTAATAAGAATTACATGCACTGGAAACAAGCGTTGATTAAAACACTTCCCATTTCTCTTCTCCACTACTGTCAGATATGCTTCGCGCTGTGGCGACAGAAAGTGTTGATGTAGTTCGGTGAAATACGGAATTTTACGGATATGACCGAATGTGTTCGGTTGCCGATGCTGTCGGTTCCAATAGCGACTGTGTGGTGATTCCAATGAGAACCGCTGTTACGATGATAGTAACTGCATCTATATCATATTTAGACTATTCCTTCGCACTTGGTAGCTGTACACACGATATTGCTTACATTATTTCGATAATGCTTCTTTTCATTCAAATAGATGGGAGGGCCTGTGTTCTTACCCGGATCTTCTCGGGTCAGTGACAGTATGTAAGAACCCTGGCTAAGTTATGAATCCCATTTATGATCCCCTTCCCTCCATACACACGGCATGGGCAGTTCTAAGTTGTAGCAGTGTCATTCGGGGTACATGTGGTTTTATGCGTCCCTCGTTAGGTTTTATATCACCTGACGAGGAACGCATACAACCACATGTACCCCGAGTGATACTGCAACAACGAGTTTACCTTAACGGCATGTTTTAATCTGTCTTCTTCGCGGTGGGGTATAAGGGATGTATTCTCCCACTCAGAAATTTATTTCCCCCCCGCCGGGCCGGATACACAGTACTTTATCAAGATCACGTCAACCAATCGGATTTCATCATTCGTTCAGGGAGGTATGATAAACGTAAATGCTAGGGCCAGGGACAGTGAACCTACCCTCAGGGTACTTATATTGATCAGTGAGGTCCAGTCGCTGCAGCCCGACCAGTGGCTCCTGGGTTGGTTCGTGGGTGCTGATCATCTTGCCGACACTGCAGCGAAAACAGAATAAAACATCTGAAAAATTAAAGAGGGTTGACGTAAATCAGGGAACGGTTGAACGGGTCTTCACTGTAACCCTTCCAATACATTCTCATGCTTGATGCAGTGTGTCTATTCGAGGTTAGTCGTCTCGTACAAACTTTGGAACCCGATGCGTATCATCCCCAAATGTTGAAACAGTATTTGGAGATCACGAGGTTATATACAAGTACAATGTTAAGGTAAGCCCTAGGAGCGCACACGAACGCACGCACGTACGCACGCACGCACGCACGCACGCACGCACGCACGCACGCACGCACAACCCAACAAACCCGTGGGTACATCAAGGGAGTTAACTTTCTGGAGCAGGATAGATAACTTGGTCCGGTGTTTGTTCACGTGATCACTTGCTTTGCCTTTGCACGTGTTTGTAATGGGTGCTACCGGTGAGGCAGGATAAGCTCGCCTATTCACCTGGTATTTGCTTGTGGTTTAGAAACACATGCTTGTGATATTTTTGGAATCGTACAATGAAAACAATGATTATGGGAATAGTTCTTCTTTTTCTGTTATTTACCTGTTCGGATTTCTTGACACTTGTTTCTTTTTCTTGGTCAAGACGTGTTCCTCCCAGACCACCTTGTCCGAGTTGACCTCGGCGAAGACAAAGGCCGTGTCCTGTCCGATGTTGAGGAGCCCCTCCTTGATGGCACTCACCGGGGTGGGGCCGCAGCAGTAGACGCCTATAAACCAGGGGAAGGGCGTGAGGAAATGTGGACATGGGTAGGGAAGAAAGAGGTAGGTAAACAAAAGGTTACATACTGGACCTATGAGCGGATTGTAACCACTGGCCACCCTCCATACCTGATGCCTAACACACCTGTCACCTGTCCATCCTGTCACTTGCTGTCATAGATGTTGTTTACAACTCATCGATCTTGTTCTACATTCCAAGTTTACCCCTCCGATTCATGACATTCTGCCACGTCTACAATATTTCATCACCTACTATCTCTGACCCCTGATACACCTACCATCTCGGACCCCTGGTACACCTACCATCTCGGACCCCAGACACACCTACCATCTCGGACCCCTGACACACCTACCATCTCGGACCCCTGACACACCTGCCATCTCGGACCCCTGACACACCTACCATCTCGGACCCCTGACACACCTGCCATCTCGGACCCCTGACACACCTACCATCTCGGACCCCTGACACACCTGCCATCTCGGACCCCTGACACACCTGCCATCTCGGACCCCTGACACACCTACCATCTCGGACCCCTGACACACCTATCATCTCGGACCCCTGACACACCTACAATCTCGGACCCCTGATGACCCCTGACACACCTACCATCTCTGACCCCTGACACACCTACCATTTCTGACCCCTGACACACCTACAATCTCTGACCCCTGACACACCTACCATCTCGGACCCCTGACACACCTACCATCTCTGACCACTTCAACACCTACCATCTCTGACCCCGACACACATACATCTCTGACCTCGCACTCAGGCACAATCTCTGACCCCTGACACACCTACCATCTCTGACCCCTGACACACCTACCATTTCTGACCCCTGACACACCTACAATCTCTGACCCCTGACACACCTACCATCTCGGACCCCTGACACACCTACCATCTCTGACCACTTCAACACCTACCATCTCTGTCCCCGACACACCTACCATCTCGGACCCCTGACACACCTACCATCTCTGACCCCTGCAACACCTACCATTTCTGACCCCTGACACACCTACAATCTCTGACCCCTGATACACCTACCATTTCGGACACCTGACACACCTACCATCTCGGACCCCTGACACACATACCATATCAGACCCCGATACACCTACCATCTCGGACCCCTGACACACCTACCATCTCTGACCCCTGCAACACCTACCATTTCTGACCCCTGACACACCTACAATCTCTGACCCCTGATACACCTACCATCTCGGACCCCTGACACACCTACCATCTCGGATCCCTGACACACATACCATATCAGACCCCGATACACCTACCATCTCTGACCCCTGCAACACCAACCGTCTCTGACCCCTGACACACATACCATCTCGGACCCCTGACACACCTACCATCTCTAACCCCTGTTACACCTACCATCTCGGAACCCTGACATACCAACTATCTCTGGCCTACACACACCTACCATCTCTGACCCCTGTCACACCTACCATATCTGACCCCTGTCACACCTACCATCTCTGACCCCTCACACACCTACCGTCACTAGTCTCCTGGGGCGTGGCATCAATCACCTGCCACCCGTCGAACTTTCTGCCAAGGTCAGGGCGACTCATCCATACCTCGTTCCACACATGGAAGTTCCTGCCAAAATGATGACACAGCATATACATGTAACTGTGTCTTAAAAGAAACATTATTTGTTAATCAATCTTTATTCATGGTACTTATGAGATATACTAGATAAGGTTCTAGTGTAATAGTTGTCTTTAATGTAGTGTAGTAATTTGCTTTTCTTGTGGACGAATAATCATGCCATTTTTGGATGTACATATCTTTTAAGGTCTGTGTGTCAAACGGGAGAAGAAATGCTGTGGCATATCTTCATGTTGCTTTTACCTAAATATAATCATATCCACATTCGTATAACATGTTTTTAACTTTTGATGCCCAATTTCTCAATAACATCCAAAGTTCTAGGCCCCAAATTTCTGATCCATACAATAGAATCGGGCTATTTTTGTATCAAATATTTACATCATATGTAATATTGTCCAGAACTCTAAGACTTTTTAATAAGACTTTATTAGTCAGGCCATCATTAGATACTATATTGTTTAGTTCAGTATAAAGTCATAGGCCCAATTACATACACTGCCGGGCGCAGGATGGTATGCACCCATCCTTGATAGTGAATCGATGGTGATGTATTTGATACGGGTGTTATTTTTGTGCTTTGGGCCTTAATTCTGCAGTTTTCCGCAGACTGTTTTCAGCTTGGTAACGTTCTGATATCGTTTGTAATTCCTTAGGCCAAATCCAATTGATACGTGGATGCTTTCCTTTGCCTAGCCGTTTGTATGCAATGTATGTAGCACAGGGGTACAAAAATAACAGTAACACAAATTGGAATAATGAATATAATAATGAAGCCGTGGAGTCATAGCGTCTTTGATACATTCAGAACATTATGTCAAGGTTTCAGTATTTAAAGTATTATCTAGGAAATTCACATGTTATACATCAAATTTGAAAATACATTTGTCTTTAAACGTCATAAGCTGTGCATGCCAACATAAAATGGATCTCATCTTCTTCCACGTTTTTACAAAAAAAGGGGAAAACCCCTCCTCCCTACAGTTAATACATACCATATGGAGTCATCGGATATATTTGTGTAGTTCCCTCTGCTGTTCGGCCGGAAGATCTCGTCACAGCTTAAACGTTCCTTGTCACTGTTGTGAGCTGATTCAAAGTTGGTGACACTCCGACAGGGAAGTCCTAGGGCTCGGCACACTGATGGCACAGTGAGGAGTTTAGTGAAAACATTGCTATGGTAATGATACTAATTAAAATAATGAACTATTATTATAAAGAGATAGTGATACAAGTTAGAGCTTGTGAGACCGGCAATAATGGCTTCCCAACAGTAACGTTGAGACAACTCACTGATGCATTGAACTTCATATCTGGTGCTGGTTTTCATTTGTTTTTTAAAGAATAAATATTTGTTAAACAACAAGAAGGAATGTTCCGTCCGATAGTTACACAACAAGACGGATTGTTCCCTCCTGTAGTTAAACAACAAGAAAGATTGTTCACCTTTTATTTATACCAGCAGGATTGTTTTACTTTCCTCCTGTAGTTAAACAAGAAGGATTGTTCCCTCGGATAATTTTAAACAAGAAGGATTGTTCCCTCCTGTTGATAAACAACAAGAATGATTGTTCCCTCTGATAATTTTAAACGAAATGGATTGTTCCCTCCTGTTGTTAAACAACAAGAAGAATTTTCCCTCCTGTAGTTAAACAACAAGAAGGATTGTTCAATTCCCTCCTGTAGTTAAACAATAAGAAGAATTGTTCCCTCCTGTAGTTCAACAAGAAAGATTGTTCACCCTATTTTTATACAAGAATGATTGTTCCCTCCAACAGTTAAACAAGATCGCCATGTTGGAGGGAACACACACATAAACACACTTTTAAACAGCAATCCCCCAAACTGTTAAACAATAATACTAATGGCTCCCACACACTGTAATCAACATTGATGATTGTTCCCCCTACTGTTAAACAACACTACTGATCGTTGTTAAACAACAGTGATGATTGTTCTCCCTTCTGTTAACCAACGATGCTGATTGCTGACCACACCTGTTACGAGGACCCCTGAGAAGACCCAGCACTGTCCGAACTTGACCGGTTTTCTGGTGGACATGTACTTTTTCAGGATCTTCACACTTCCCGTCCATGTAGATGGACTGGTGCCACCGGCGAAGCTGTCGCTCCAGTTGCCTTCAAGAACGCCGTTGTCGTCGGAGGAGTTAACCTGACAAAGACAACCAGAAAGTGTTTTTTCCTCTATCTGTTGCCTAATTTCCTCAAACGAAAGGCTGGCAAGGGAATGAGTGAACCTTGTTTTACGCCGCAGTCAGAAATATTTAGGCTGTTTCACGTGGCCTGTGAACAGCCGAGGCTTGGCCGGACAGATCAGTGATTGGTAGCAGGCGCACGGTCCACGCTATGCAGTGTAGGAAACATGGCAATACTACATACAGTCTTTTGAGCACTACACTGTATAACGTGGGACCTTTTCAGCCGCTGTTTCCAGGCACCTCACAGCAAGGGGCACCAAGCAGTGACTTCACACTATGATCCAATGCAGGTAATAGGACCCTTTTACCAGGACGAGCTACAGCGTAAAAGGGCTACCCCTTTGCTCACAGCTCTTACTTGCAAATTTGGTATCAGGTACACATAGATTTTAGGAAACGTGTGATCTGTTTGTGGACTTACGATCTTTGACAGAATTCTGGCAACCTTGCTCGCCTTCCCCATGGTGCGCGTCATCTTGTAGTCGAAGCCTTTCCTGACGAGGTGGAGAGCGGCGTGCAGGATACCGTCCTCAAACTGACAAAATGGTCGACAAAGATAATGATGATGGTAATAATAACAACAGACATAATAATAGTATGATGAAGAAGATGATGATGATGATGATGATGATGATGATGATGATGATGATCAACTGAGGTACCGCTCGAAACTGAAAATATTCAAACTTCATGACATATCAGAAAATATGTCAGCTGCTATATTGTAACGTTACTTCAACAAATATCACGTTAGTGAAGTTGGGTTGTTGTTTTTTATTTAGAATTAGTTTTCTTAATATTGAATTGGTCTCAATAAAATGTAGCAATGGAACAGAAAATGTTCAAAGCATAAATCCTCACTAGAATATCAATGATAAACGCAAGAATGATGAAGCAAGCACTCTTCTGACCTGGCCGAAGTACCAGCTACTGCCTCCCATCCTATCGTGTGTCCCCTGGTACAACACCCCCGAGTCGTTCTCCACCGCCTCCTCCAGCCACTGGGGGTCAGGGAGGTACACCACATCCTCTGTACGGACAGGTCAAGTTAGGGAGTGATTGTTATTTTACGCCACATCAATATCTCACCAAATTGTATGGGCTAACAATTATCAAGCGTGAACATGAACGCCAGTGGTTGATGTGAGACTGGGCAACGATTCCGCAGTCACTCACTCATTGATTTAGCTGGCCAATATTGCTTGTCATGGCCGAGGAAAAGGATGGTTGATTTTATTTTGCTTCATGTAGTTTGGTTAGCATAATTTACAAATATAGTATATAGGTTTATCTGAATCAAATTAGATTATTCATATACCGCAGCATGAATTTAACCGACTGAAGCATAAAACAGCATTCACTCAAAATATGGACTTTTTTAAAAAGACGTTTTTAATATAAAACGTGTAAGTGGTCGAATGTGATCGACGTCTAGCAAAAATATCGCTTCTTGCACATTTTACATTCTAAACTGTGTTTCACAGGTTTCACAGTTGGAAACGTGAGACAACGGAAATTAATGTCTCCCAATGTATACCATAACTAACTGTACTGTTTGCTCCATGCTCTTTATCTCCAGGGCTAGCATTTCGGTAAATGTTTTTTGTTTGTTTGTTGTTTAATGTTGCAGTCAGCAATATTCCAGCTATATGATTGCGGTCTGTATCGAGTCTGGACCACACAATCCAGGAGCAATTTCGATGTCACTGCATATACTTGTAGGAGACAACATATCTTCTCTGAGGGGCGGTCGGGTAGCCTAGTGGTTAAAGCGTTCGCTCGTCACGCCGAAGACCCGGGTTCGATTCCCGACATGGGTACAATGTGTAAAGCCCATTTCTGGTGACCCCCGCCGTGGTATTGCTTGAATATTGCTAAAACCGGCGTAAACAGTCTTCTCTGACTGAGTAAGTATGGTTTTAAAATTATATGACAATAAAAGGCAATATGTTTATGTTTCTAGCCATGCTGTAGTCCCGGGACAAATGTTATAAAGAACGAGTATATAAATGTCAACATCATCGACAGGTATTTGTAACCGCTATGTGGAACCATTTTCTTATTATCAGGTGATCAATTTGGAATATAAACATCGCATTGTTATAGTGAGTGAGTGAGTTGGTTTTAATACTGCTGTTGGACACTAATCCAGTTATATCGAGGTGTGTCAGCTTAATGTGGGAGGAAATCCCGAAGTGGTGCAGGTCTCAGACGTTTACCACTTTGGTAGATTTGGTTGGTTGGTTTGTTGTTGAACGCCGCACTCAGCAATATTCCAGCTTTATGACGGCGGTCTGTAAATAATCGAGTCTGGACCAGACTATCCAGTGATTAATATCATGAGCATCGATCCACGCAATTGGGATCGATGACATGTATCAACCAAGTCAGCGAGCCTGACCACCCGATCCCGTTAGTCGCCTTTTACGACAAGCATAGTCGCCTTTTACGGCAAGCATGGGTTGCTGAGGACTTATTCTACCCGGATCTTCACGGGTCGCCTTTTACGGCAAGGATGGGTTGCTGAGGACCTATTGTACCCCGGATCTTCACGGGTCGCCTTTTACGGCAAGCATGGGTTGCTGAGGACCTATTCTACCCCGGATCTTCACGGGTCGCCTTTTACGGCAAGCATGGGTTGCTGAGGACCTATTGTACCCCGGATCTTCACGGGTCGCCTTTTACGGCAAGAATGGGTTGCTGAGGACCTATTCTACCCCGGATCTTCACGGGTCGCCTTTTACGGCAAGCATGGGTTGCTGAGGACCTATTGTACCCCGGATCTTCACGGGTCGCCTTTTACGGCAAGCATGGGTTGCTGAGGACCTATTCTACCCCGGATCTTCACGGGTCGCCTTTTACGGCAAGCATGGGTTGCTGAGGACCTATTGTACCCCGGATCTTCACGGGTCGCCTTTTACGGCAAGAATGGGTTGCTGAGGACCTATTCTACCCCGGATCTTCACGGGTCGCCTTTTACGGCAAGCATGGGTTGCTGAGGACCTATTGTACCCCGGATCTTCACGGGTCGCCTTTTACGGGAAGCATGGGTTGCTGAAGATCTATTCTACCCCGGATCTTCACGGGTCCACTTTGGTAGAGGTAAAGAGCTGACAAATACAAACATAATGGAAATCATAATGAATCATGAATCAACACTGATGTGTTTGTTTTAATTGTGTGTAATTGTTGATGTGTGTGTTTCAGTGCATACACATTTTCTCACCTTTACACCAAGGATTGAAGATGATGATGATGTCGTCGTTGTGGTTGTACTGCCAGACGAGGTCTTTGCCGTTCTCGACGTCAACGGTGGTCCTGACAATCAAGTCCCACACACCGACAGGGGTAGAGGCGGGTGAAAACACTTCTACCGTCAGAGAGTTATCTCCCTTCTTGGCGATGGTGGCGCCCCATCTCCGTGGCTTGTAAGACGTGTCTTTGTCCTCTGCTACCCTGATGGTCTCATTGACAGAGCTGTTACTCTCGTCAGACGCTGCAGGAATAACGTGATGGGGAAGCACATAACGACACGAGTAGCAACAATCTCGACCAATATCAAAACAACCTAATCATATGCGAAATCGAACCGATATCCTGTAGAATATTCAAACATCCGAACCATACTGATTAAAGGAATAATGAAAAATATCGGGAAATAAGCTTTACTGTCAATACATCTGAAATAGTGCTTACCAATTCAACAAACGTCAGAATCAAATGTTGAGATGTGTTTGTGTGCATTGTTTCCAACGTGCATTTGGTAGACAAGACCAGGAACCTATGAGGTGAGGTGAGGTGAAATTGGGTTTAACGTCGCGTCCAAGATTATTGCACTTAAATAGCGACGTGTATGCACGTGTGTGGGTGTGGCTGCTTGTACTAGTCCGGACTGATTTATAGTGCTAGCACACTGAGATACCATGCCGCAGTTAAACATGAATACCCCACTCAGACTCCAAGCCGACCAGTCCTTGCTTTAGCCCCTTAATGCCGAGCGTCAGACAGGGTACCATCTTTTAACCTCTTTTGGTATGACGCGGCCGGGGATCGAACTCCGGACCTTCCGCTCTCCGGGCGGACGCTCTACCACTAGACCACGGAGGCGTTCAGGAACCTATGATAGCATATCATTTTACTGTATCTAAAACTTAGTGTTCCCTCATTCATTTCCATCAGTATATAAGTCTACCCTTTAATTGACATAGGGCGGTGGGGTACCTTGTGGTTAAAGCGTTGGCTCGTCACCCCGAAGACCCGTGTTCGATTCCCCACATGGGTACAATTTGTGAAGCCCATTTTCTGGTGTCCCCCGCCGCGATATTGCTGGAATATTGCTAAAAGTGGCGTAAAACCACACTCACTCACTCACTCACTCACTGCTATATGTCGGTGGTCTGTCAATAATCGAGTCTGGACCAGACAATCCAGTGATTGATATTATGATCCACGCAATAGGGATACGAAGACGTGCATCAACCAAGTCAACTAGCCTGACCACTCGATCCCGTTAGTCGCCTCTTGTAGGATAGAAACATAGAATAGTTGACAGTACGCATTCGCAGCAGCAAGCAGGTGTATTGCTAACAGTCCATGGGTCATAATCGGAACCAGCAGAACAAGCGGATCCTGGCAGCTAAGGTGCGCGCACTCTTGACAACTCTGCACAACATACTGCGATTCCTTGCAAACAGGGGCGGTCGGGTAACCTAGTGCTTAAAGCGTTCGCTCGTCACGCCGAAGACTCGTATTCGATTCTCGAATGGGTACAATGTGTGAAGCCCATTTCTGGTGTTCCCCGCCGTGATATTGCTGGAATATTGCTAAAGCCGGCGTAAAACCATGCTCACTCCCACCTTGCTTACACCTGGCTAGACGTGTACATATATTTGTTGTAAGTGTGGATATGTGTGAAACAGACATACCTAGGCTGAATAAGAGCGTGATGTCGTTCTTGTCGATGTCGTAAGGTCTGTTGAAAGTGATGGTGATGAGGAAGGTTTGACCTCTCCTGACCACCAGCTCGGCCTCCTTTTGACCTCTGACCTCTGTGCACTCATACATATCAGTATGGTGCTGCTTGGTGTTCTCCGATATGTTAAGGTCAAGGTTGGTCACGTGCAGCCTCGCTGCCAGATCAGTCTCTGGCACTTCTGGCTGTTCATTTTCATCTTCATCGCTGTCTGTTTCAGAAACATGGAATGGTATACCAATTATTGTTTGGGTTTTCATTAGAAAAACCATCACCCTATCTATCAAATGGTCAGACCCTGCTGGCCTGGCGTACACCAGGAGCCTTAACCTTGATGGTTTTAGTCATTGGGTTGACCATACATTGTCTAAAGGTCACTTTAGACCATAAAATGTGCTGACAACACCGCTTTATAATACCAGCCACACAAATACTAGACATGCGTGGGGTGGGTGGTATGTACAGCTGGAATTAATTGTGATTTGATAACAGCTTTTCTGACCTGAGCCATCGTTTCCCGCGCCAATGGTTTCTCTCCTCCTCAGATATTCCCCCTGCAAGTTCCGGAAGCGACTGTCGAGATCCCCAACCGTGGGCCGCGTCCGGCGGTGGGAGTACCATGGCCGACTGAATCGCCTACGCACTCTCCTGGGCCGGAAATAACGGTGTCGGCTTAACCCATTACTGAAAAAAAGGTCGTCCAGTTAATCTCCGTTAATCCCGAGGTAATGTTATATGACATCAATACAGAGCTTCAGATAAGCAGCGTATTTGCGTGAATTACCCCCAAAAAATATTCAAAACCCAATTACTTCAATTCACTTGCGTACAGAAACGCATGCGTTAAACAAGAAACTCAAATGTATAAAATCAGCACGCGTATATACCCAATGAAGCTCTTTCAGCATGCGTTCAAAGGTGCTAATATCCGAAACACAATTATGAGCTAATTTATTTTCCGAGTCAAACCTATATATACTCAACAACAAAAGTTCCTGTGACACCAGTATTTTAGTGTATTTTTTTAAACAAGTAAAGTTTGGTTTTCAATATTGTAGTACATGTATGGAATCAAGTCACAAAAACGCAACTGCTACAAAAAAAAGCATGCATTCCATGTAAAAGTTTACTTTTATGCAAGCCCCATGCATTTCACTACCCAAGAATGGGTATAAAAGCATGTGCGTTAACGGGATTCCCTATGCATTGTTTAGCATCGTGCTGACAACCACTCAGAAAAACAACAAAATTACGCAATTATTCAACATTACGAAATGCCAGGCCTGTCCGAAAATGAGCGTCTGCGAGCCATTGGTATGCTTTAAGCAGGAACGAGTCAACGTGATGTTGCAAGACAATTTAACGTCAACAGAAACATCATTTGGTGTTTATGGCAACGTTGGCAACAGACGAATGCAGTCAGAGAATATCCTCGGAGTGGCAGGCCTTGCGTAACCAATAATCGACAAGACAACTGGATTCGAACAACACACCTACGAAATCGATTCCAGCCAGCAACAGTGACTGCAAGAAGCATCCCTGGCCTTCGACGAATATCTTCACAAACCATACGTCGTCGCCAGGGATTGTCGCCAGAAGACCAACCAGACGTCCCATTTTGACAGGAAACCACCGTCAAGCACATCTACAGTGGTGCAGACAGCGTCTACGCTGGACGGCCATGCAGTGGGGACAAGTTCTATTCACTTACGAGTCTCGTTTTCACCCCAGCCACAGCGATGGACGGATTCGAGTGTACCGACGTCGAGGTGAACATTACGTCAATCATGGTGTCATGGAAGAAGATCGGTTCGGGGGCGCCAGCGATATGGTATGGGATGGTATTACAGCAAGTCAGAGGACTCGTTTGATAGTGGTAGAGGGAAATCTCAATGTACAGCGCTACCGCGACGAGATCATTGGCCCTGTTGTTCTACCGTTTTTACGTCGTCATGGCCAAGGCATTACCTTTCAACATGACAACGCCCGGACTCATATTGCTCGACTTGTTCAGGATTCTCTTCAATAAAACAACGTGAATGTCATCCCCTGGCCGGCTCGCTCCCCTGATCTCTCACCAATCGAGCACATGTGAGATGAGATGGATCGGCGCCTTCGAAGTGAACCACGTGTTCCACAGACAGTCCAGGAACTTCGAAACATGCTCCAGCAGATATGGACAGATATCCCACAGGACTTTGTGCGACGCCTGGTCCATTCCATGAGACGAATATGTGTTGCTTGCATCGCAACCAGAGGTGGACACACACGCTATTGATTTGTAAATTTACATTCTGGCAATTTGTCAGTATGGCAAATTAAACCATTTGAAACACTTACAGTAGCCTTTTATCTGTTGCAAACCGAAATTGTTTCAGATTTGGTAAAAAACATAACTTTGCATTAAATCTTATTCAATGTCACAGGAACTTTTGTTGTTCAGTATATTTAGGACAGTTATATACATCTAAAACATTATTTCGGGGTTTTTTACATCTCAAATGTACACTAATTTTTGGGAGAACCAAATAAAGTGATAAATAGATGAGTGAAAACATATTGGTTACCCAATGAAAAATATAATAACCCAAATAAAACCGAAACCCTAGAGTAAAAACTCAATTGCTAAAAATGTTATCTGGAGCTATGTCTATAGATTCGCCCTAATTATGATCTTTAGAATAACAGCGCCATGCCAATGTTCGTTGGAAAAGGAACAACCTCCGATATTATGCCGCAGATGAAACGCCGTGAAAAAACTGAAATACTGTTTTATAAAGGAGGCGATTAACAAGGCAATGCCTGATGCAAAATCTCAACGTCATCAGGTGTTTAAAATTTCGTCTCAGGGCGTTGTCTGTGAAATACAGCACCACGCAGCACGGGCGTAATCCCAACTGTTTGTACTTCGGATTTTCAATATCTTCCTATATTTTACACCCTTCCTTTAAACTGAAAGTATAAATTACCTTAGACTGAAGTTCCGGATGTTTCGGGAACGTGTAAACATCGTCGTTGGCGACGTGGATTTAGGCTGACGTAGCTATCTGGAGTGACGCTGTTCCCGGGACGTTCTGCAAGGTCATCAAAACAGTACAGTGGAGATTTATACCACATGTTTATCGACATTTTGTTTACCTTGCATTTAATCTGACAAACCTCCCCTCTTGTGCTATTACGTCCAAAACTCGTGTTCTCCTAAGAATTCAAGTGATTCAAGACCCCGTCCCTGTCTCATTGCCTCTATCTGACAGCCATGTCGCCAGTGACGGGGCGAATGGGTTCACGTCAACCGTACATGATCTTGTGAAAAATGAAATTTTGTTTATACTGAACATGCTTGTACATTGACATCAAAATGAAGGATAAGGGCAAATGAAATATAATGATATTCTCATCGGTTTAAACTCGGTGTTCTACAAATACCACAGATGTTCTGACCGGTTTAAAATAGGTGTTCTACATATACCCCATGTTCTGACCGGTTTAAAATAGGGTGTTCTGTAAATGCCGCCAACAAGAAGATGTTCTCGTCGGGGTTTAAAATCGATGTTATATACATACTGCCCACAATTGAATGTTCCGACATATGTAAAAGTAGCTGTTCTACAAATACCACAGATGGTCTGACCGATTTAAAGTAGCTGTTCTACATACCGCCACCAATCAGCGTCCTTTCTCCACAGCTAATCTATGGTACGTGTTCAACAAATGTTTCCAAGAACCAGATGCCTTGCCTTGAACTATTTAAAAATTAAATCCGAAAAAAGTGTCAGATGTATTCATGACAGCACAGCATGAAATGATCCTTCACGGCAGTATCTTACACATCCTAACACAATGAGTCCACTGTCGGGGTTATACTGGGAGGTGCGAAGAAAAGAACAGGAGTGATAGCCACTGGGATTTATATTTATATCGTTAATGGACCAGTCAAATACACAATACCTCAGTACAATGACTGCGTTGGCCTTCTCAACAAAGCAACGGACACATGATACTTTCTGAAGTTTATCGCATGACTTGCCAATATTTTATTTTGATGGTAAGCAATTTTGTATCTAGTAACCCACATCGGGGATATTCTTCATGCATGAATAATTGAATATTTCTTTTCATTAATATCCAGTTTACATTGTATCCATGTCGGGAATCGATTTCGTGCCCATATGGTGACGAGACAACGCTTAACACCTAGGCAACCCTATCACCTTCACCTTCACCCTCCACACACAACTCACTGTAATATCATAATAATATGGTCTGGAATTTTTTACATTGCTGCGGACGTGATGGCATTTTGCATTATCATGGCACTGACAAAGTAGACACAATTTATGGATAACAACTTCTTTGATTACTGAAAAGGCGACGTTTCGGTATAGATCATATACCGTTGTCAAGCCGTACGTTGTCATCCCTCTACTTCTAAGTAATGCTAAGAGGGCACTGCTGAAGTAGAGTTGTCATGTCAAATCTGTGTCAAGTCATGTGTCGCTGGGATATACCTGCCCAACCCCAGGGATACATTATTTCCTTCTCCTCTATATTATTTACTCCATTTGAAATTCATTTGAAGGTCCATTTAGTTGTAAACCATTCAAACTGCTGCGCTAAAGAAAGTATACATCCATGTTTGATGGTTGCTGACCTGTAACAAACATGAAACGGTTATTCTATGGTGATGTATTAAATACGGGTGTCATAGTTGTGTTTGGGACCTTGAGTTTGCAGTGTTTCGGAGTCTGTTTCCATCCCACTCACTTTTTGATAAAGTTTGTACTCTTTTGGTCAAATTCAATTTTCAAGTGTATACTTTCTGTAACCAGAAAGCTTATGGTCTTGGATAAGCTGAACCATATAGCAACACTCTAGTCAAATAATGTACAGTCTACTTCAGAAACGTGGTGGTAAACATGCTTGTTTGCTAAGGGTCGCTAACTCGCTAAAATGGGTATATATTTATAAAGAATTTAAACGTGTTTCCATATGACATTTGCCAGCGTCAGCGATTAATTGTAAGGTAAGCTCGCTGGAAAGCCTCCAGAGTAACCCCGTTCTGCATGAGCGTGCGACAGACAGCTTCACAATACCAGTACACGCCAGAGACATACAATTATACAGGCATGAATATGTGCCATGCTGCGCGACACACAGGGGTATTATACCACTAAATTGAACCTTTCATACGAGAATATCTTAACCGTGAATACAGTTTACACTTGTATGGTTAAACTTCGAAAACAGCGATGTGTTAGTTATACCAAATTACATTACTGTAGGTTAGACTTACTGCGATGTTATTCAAATCCCAATGTCCCAGAGAAGCATATTTACATGTGCATCATTTCAGAATATAAGATAAACAATTCCGATTTCAAAGTTTTGATAAGGGCACGGTGTTAATGAACCAACTGTGTATGAAGCTATCTCTTTATCAATGATTGTAGTGTAGGAAATGGTTTGATATGACAAGAACAAACACCGGCTTCAAACATAGTTGCCTATGACGTGACACAGAGACACCGTGACACCCCATGTAGTGACAACACTGTCATCTCATACGGACGTGACACAGAGACACCGTGACACCCCATGTCGTGAAAACACTGTGATCTCACACGGACGTGATCATCACACAGGCACGACTTTGGCATAGATACCTAAATACACCGATTGAGTAATGTGCCACGTAGCACTGAACAGATACCTTTAAACGGAAAATTTATGGTGATTTTCAAAAGAAGAGGTGGGGTCTTTACAGTTTACAGTTTACCAAACCACTTCTTTTAAGTATATCAGTTTACTCTGAATGGATCTGTACGCGCGTGTTGTTTCACCGCAGGGGTCGAATCATTCATCAAAGCTTTCCAACGGCAGCTAACGTCTCAATGTGGCTTTCACTGACATCGTTTATTGTTTTTTTAAAACAGTCCATACCTAGAGCACATATCAGTAATGCATAAGTTACATAGCATTACATCCGAATTAGGTCGTACGAGAACTCATGCATGCAAGCCGCAACAGCAGGGTGCATAGCTTGTATGTGGACGAGCGTTACTTCTCTGAACATATACGATTTTGATAGAAACAAATAACTCCATTAATATCGTAAAGGAGCCCCAGTGAGATGGGAGATTCACCTGAGGAAAATCTAGATCTAGACTTGCTTCATTTAGAGCGTTTGCATTGTAGAAAGGCTAAGCTTTTATGCATATCTGGCCAGGTAAATCACGTAGAGATTTTAATAAATGTTATGTGTATCACAACACGACAATGAAATGGCCATGTGGACCAGTGTAGGCATAATAACGACCGTGCAATATTATCGATAATATTGAAGAGCATTCTTGGTGAAATGAGTAAACAATGGGTAAATGAGAAGTGAGTAAACAAAAAAAAGCGGCCTACTAAAATAATGTATACAGAATTCGGCGTGGTTACAGCTTTTTTTAAAATGACGGATGGATTTTGTGATTTGGCAATTCACATATAGTAAGGGTGTAATCGTGTTTTAAATATATACCCAAATTTGTCATAGTTTTTGTTTGTTTGCTTGTTGTAAAACGCCGGACTCAGCAATATTCCAGATATACGGTCTGTAAATAATCGAGTCCGGACCAGATAATCCAGTGATTGACATCATGAGTATCGATCCACGCAGTTGGGATACGATGACATGCATTAACCAAGTCAGCGAGCCTGACCACCCGATCCCGATAGTCGTCTATTACGGCAAGCTGAAGACCTATTCTAGCCTAGATCTTCACGGGTGATAATATGGCTTGACGTGGGGGAGCATCCCTTCACCCTCCCTCTGAATCCGCGAATGAGAACATTGTGCATATGATGCAAGTGATGGAACTAGCTTACCTTATACTGCTGATGCTGTGCAATCCCCTTCACAGCGACACGTGCAGCAGGCAGCCCTATCCAGGAGGCAGACAGTGCGACTGTGAAACCTACACACGCCTACTTGATGCTGTGGTGACCACGCACAGCCAATAGTAACACTCCGAGTGAGACGTATCGTTACGCATTACACAGACCTACCCAGTAGCGGGGGCAGGGACAAGGGTGTGTGTGTGTGTGTGTGGGGGGGGGGGGGGGGGGGGGGGGTCGCGAGGGAGTTGAACTGGGCTTAATATAAATCTTAGTGAAGTTTATATATGGCTTGTATGGACGCTTAGTGAGATGTGTGTACTCAGAATACCTGCTTTTTTATAACGTTTTAGCTTTAGAAGAAATGCCTTTTGATATCAAGAGTTTGTAGTTATAGGTGGTTAGTTTCCGCCCGTTTCAGTAATATTCCATCTTTTTCATGTCGGAATACAGCAAATAAAAGACTCCACACATTGACTCCAACCCAATCACTTGCATAAGGTTTACCCACTAGGCTACCAACATATGAAGAAACCGGGCCAGCTTTATCTTACTGTGGATGTAATGTGGCTGGTGCATGATCTGTCTTACCACCTGCAAACAACCCAAGGCAACTTGGGTGCCGGTACTGAGTTAGGGTACTTGTCTAATTCAGGTTGTTCGCTGCACGCATAGCAGTCTAGTAGCAAGCATCTCAATGTTACTCGGTATATGTCTGGTGTAGATGTATGCATTATAGAAATCAGAGGTTGTTACCTTGTATACGTGTTGGTATTAGATGAGGTTAACTTGTATACGTGTTGGTATCAGATGAGGTTAACTTGTATACATTTTGGCATCAGAGGAGGTTAACTTGTATACATGTTAGTATCAGATGAGGTTAACTGGTATACATGTTGGTATCAGATGAGGTTAACTTGTATACGTGTTGGTATCAGATGAGGTTAACTTGTATACATTTGGTATCAGAGGAGGTTAACTTGTATACATGTTGGTATCAGAGGAGGTTTACTTGTTTACATGTTGGTATCAGATGAGGTTAACTTGTATACATTTTGGTATCAGATGAGGTTAACGTGTATACATGTTGGTATCAGAGGAGGTTTACTTGTTTACATGTTGGTATCAGATGAGGTTAACTTGTAAACATGTTGGTATCAGATGAGGTTAACTTGTATACATGTTGTATCAGAGGAGGTTGACTTGTATACATGTTGGTATCAGAGGAGGTTAACTTGTAAACATGTTGGTATCAGATGAGGTTAACTTGTATACATTTTGGTATCAGAGGAGGTTAACTTGTATAGATGTTGGTATCAGAGATGGTTTTCTTGTTTACATGTTGGTATCAGAGGAGGTTAACTGGTATACATGTTGGTATCAGATGAGGTTAACTTGTATACATTTTGGTATCAGATGAGGTTAACTTGTAAACATGTTGGTATCAGATGAGGTTAACTTGTATACATTTTGGTATCAGAGGAGGTTAACTTGTATAGATGTTGGTATCAGAGGAGGTTTTCTTGTTTACATGTTGGTATCAGAGGAGGTTAACTTGTAAACATGTTGGTATCAGATGAGGTTAACTTGTATACATGTTGGTATCAGTGGAGGTTGACTTGTATACATTTTTGTATCAGAGGGGGTTAACAGGACGTGAAACACCAGCCAATGTGTGTGTGTGTGTGTGTGTGTGTGTGTGTGTGTGTGTGTGTGTGTGTGTGTGTGTGTGTGTGTGTGTGTGTGATAACAGTATTTGGTACTAGCATAAGTTTAACCTTATGGGCTAATTTATTGGTTATGTTTCAATATCTGGTTTTGATGATACCAGTTAACACCTTGTGGTTACAGATTACGCCAGACGTTACCTTGTCAACTTGAAAAAACGTTTTCTTAAATCCTTTGTCTTGCAGACAAGTAATATATAGCCGTATCCTGTTGTCTACTGTTCAGATCCGGGTAGTGTGGGTGAGTGTCTTTTTACACCCGGGGTCATTTTCCTGGGTCATCAGTCCAGGTCCATATTGATTACATGTCTAGATGTCTAGATCCGGGTGGAAAACAGAATGGGACGGGTGCGTTTTAAACACATGCAGGAGACTTCAGTGTGTGTGTTGGGGGGGGGGGGGGGGGGGGGGGGGGACGCCATAATTAGAATATCAGAGAGCTGAACATCGATTGGTACCGCTAAGGTCAAATAGAGGGATTAATCATGGATGCAAACGAGTTATTCAGAAAGAGTAGAAATACATAAAATGTATAAAACACAAATATCATTCAGTCAAATAGATCACAAGATTATCAACTTACAGGTAGTGAGTCGACTCACGATGCTGAGGTGTTATCGTAGATACATGTATATCGCTTAATAAGATCAAAACATGAATATGTATTTTAACATTTTTAACATTTTAAACATATTACCTTAACTAACTGTTGGTAAACAAACTAAAGACTCATTGTATTAAAGGAACATTAATAAATTGGTTTAAATGTTATTTGATGGATAGAAAGCAAAATGATAACTACTTTATCGCCAAAAAACTCCTCAGACCTCCTTATTATGTTATATAAACGGATATGAGTGAGTGAGTATGGTTTAACGGCGTTTTTAACAGTGTCAGCTTAATAATTAATGTGGCAGACAAGCCCCAAGTGATTCAGGTCTTAGACGTTTACTGCTTCGGTGAAGTATGGTGCTGACAAACCTAGAAACATAATCGGGGCGAATCGGGATTCCAACCCACAATGATATATTTCTGGCGTGCCCAAGGGATGCAACTCTGAACAGCGAATCGCGGCGCCTTAGACGACTGGCCCCATGCCCCCTACACATAAGAGTGGTACTACACTATTCAATGGCAATACATAATAATTATATTATAATGGCAGTTTCAAATTACAAAATTACAGTGGTAATAATATATACTGCCCCCGCCAAGGCAGGGATGATGAATGATGAATGATGAATGACCTTCACACACAAACTGGTCTTCACGTAATGAAATGTGTGAGAGACACATAAACACGCTCTTGTCCCACAATACATTTAGTCCAGCTAGCCATTGGAAACTTCCTCACAGTGCTTTTATCAAACAAAAAGGCAACGTCTTACATTCAAATATTTTTTTAAAATTTGAAGTTTACACGATATACGGCTTTTCAATTGGACGAGGGGCGGTCACCTGACCGCGAAATTGACGTTCATAAGTGTATGGTGCAACAAGTAAACGAACTACATGAACTGAACTGAAACCACGCATTTCCATGTCGTCTAGTTCTCAATTCCTGCAGTTGAATATGTTCCCAGGACCTCTTCATTGCCTCCCCTGGGGAACTGATCATTTGATATTCTGGGACAAATTACTTTGCCTCAGATTTCAAAACAACAAAGGTATAAACCAACAATTGTGAAAGTTCTTTTTGTTTTTTCAAATAAATCTCCATGCCCTTCAGTGGATTAGACCCCTGTCTTTCTCAAGTTCAACGATGGTAATACGTCCATCTGACTGTGTAAGTTTTTCTATCTCCTTGGTTGAATCTTCATTGATGGAAGTTGGGGGACGTCCAGGTCTAGGGTCATCATCAAGACTTATTCTCGCAGCCTTAAACATAGCTGCCCAATTCAACGTTTAACAGTGGAATAGCTAGGGCACTTATCCCCATACGCTTGTGACATGCAGTCATGAATTTCTTGGGGAGTAGATTTCCCTAAAGTAAAAAACTTGATGACTGCTCGGTACTCGTTCTTTTCCATTTCTGTATCCTTTTGGACCCCTATCACGTTCAACTGGTTGTCACTAATATACAGACCTTCCTTTGTTTCCTCGTTCATTCCTCCGTCAAATTCTTTTTCCCTGTGCACTGTATGATCTGGCAGCTACTCAGTTGCACCTTGATCTTCACCATATCAGAAGCTTCTCTGTGAATTTCTTGCACACACCATACATGTATATCAGTTTGGCTTGTCAGTGAGTCAGTGCGTATGATTTTATGCCGCCTTTAGCAATATTCAGCCATCTCAAACGGGGAATAAATATTTTAAAGAAGTCTTTTTTCTTCCAGTCAATGCTCTTGCATCCTCTATTATCCCGTGTTTTTTACCTCCATTCTATTACGAAACATACCCAGGACCCATTCACTACCAGGGCTTTGACTGGAATCCAACAACGCTACAAATAACCGTCCATTTAAATTACGCTTAATCTGTTGGACGTCACTGATGTGGTATGGAGATGGTGAGGGCACTTCGCCAACCAGATATTGATCCAAGCATTCACGTTAATGAAATGGAGACAAGATACACTTAAAAATGGAGGATGCACAGTGTCATTATCCGAATTATATTACATGGTAGTATCAACAATGTTGCTACATAGTAGTATCTATAGACAATAATATTTGCTATACCATTCCCAAACACGCAACATGTTGAAGTACAACGAAAGAAATTTAAACGGCGAAAGTCAAGGTGACCCGCTACACTCTATTGCACGTTGCGACCTTGTGTATAAAGTCGTTGCGACCTTGTGTATAGAGTGATATCAGTGATAAAAGAATGAAATCAAATATGCACAATGCATAATGTGCACACACCTGTAACAGTATTGAATAACTCCTTCACTTCAATGTGCAGTGAACTAGTACTGTCGCAAACACAACTTTGAAATTTGAAATGAACGACTGTTTAGTTTCAATATTTGTAGAAGGGGGTTAGTGAGTATTAAAATGCTGACGATGGAGCGAGTGAGTGAAACATGAACATGAAGATTGAGAGCTTTATGCACTACGCAACATGTTATCGTTGTTTCGGGCACGAGTGGCCCAGTCGTCTGAGGCGCCGCGATTCGCTGTGCAGAGTTGCGTCCCTTGGGCATGCCAGAAATCTATGATTGTAGGTTCGAATTCCTGTTCGCCCCGATTATGTTTCTAGGTTTGTCAGCACCATACCCGTGCTCGTGGGTTTAACCGAGGTGGTTAACGTCTGATACCTGCATCACTTCGGGCTTTCCTCCCACATTAGGCTGACACGCTGCGATATAGCTGGAATAGTGTTAAAAGCGGCGTTAAACCCAACTCACTCACTCACTGTTATCGTTGTTGTTTGTGGTCGCAAAGTGTGGCACGGTG